GTGCGTCTTGCATAATTATTTTAGTTTACTCTTCTTTAAGTCGAGTACTATTTTCTCTTCATAAACCATTCTAGCTAAGTTTCACGGGCGTTTCAAGAAACCTAAAGCTATAGGAAATGTGTAATTACACTTAAAATAAAATTTTTCATTCGCTATTCTACAGCGTGGATTATAGTTTTATTACCAATTTTTCCCAAAATTTCTATAATTATAAAAGGGAAAGGGAAAAAAAGCTAGCAGAAGGCGGCGTGTAAGTATTTTGTATTTGCGATAAATGAATTAGAGAGTCTGGCCCAGTTCGGCTTAAAGCTGGTTTAATGGGGGACCTGTATAAACAACAGGGAGTTTAGGAAACGACGATGGCGACGCCGTGGGTAACGTCGGTTAAGAAAATGAACTTTTATTCTATCTACAAAGAAATTTTAGAGCGAAAGGGCGGAGGGCTAACGCTCTGACGAAGGGCTAAAGATCGAAACGTAAGCTTTCTAATCTCAAGTTATGTTGGCCAGTTCACATTATCAACTCAGTTGATAACACCAAATTATCTTGTGCCCCCCCTCCACCAACGCAGCACCATAGTTTCCTTAAAAAATTGCCCTTTTTTGCACTGCATGTTAATTCACTTGGAAATTATCATACTAATTATAAGCGGCGCCAAAATTGATCCCCTTGCGCAAGCCTGACGTTTGATCTTTGGATTAGATAGAGCTTACACTTTCCTTTGAGACATTGTCACCTTTGCTAATGTGTACAGCAAGCAAATTTTTCGTAATTATTAGGGGGAAAGTCGTCAGTGTAAGTATGGCTTTATGGCAAATATGATTTGTGTTGACTTCAACAGAAACTTCACGGCAGTTCCCTAAAGTGACAATCCAAGTTCTCGACATGAGGCTTATCACAGAAACGGCGTGAACCTCTGTCAAGACAGTAATTTCCAGGATATTTTCCTAACTGGCAGAGATTAAAAACGAAACGCTACGTCACAAGTATGCGGTCTACAACGTGGGCTCAGGCGTGCGAGGTTTAAAATTTAGCGAAATCCGCGGGAAAAAGGGGGCTGGCATTTGAAACTGAGCCATTTTGTTGTCGTCGAAGGCATGTCCCTGTCACCAGTGTTTTTAAGGAGAAAACTAATTTTCGAAAATATTTAGGGGGTGTACGAAGTTTTTCTAGGTTGCTCAGTAAAAGAAAAGCGGCCACACAAACAACGCCTCGAATCAACAGAAAATCAACCATACAAACGACTAAAGATCCGATTTCCGCGCCAAAGCCTAGCGCATGCGTAACGTTATTCAACTATGTCTTCCCAGCTCTCTTCCTTTTGAAATTCAGGCAGAAATTCTATTTTCTAATTTTAATAATAAATCCGTTAGAAACCAGTAACTCAAGTTTGATTAGCATGATAAATTAACGAGAAAGAGCCTATAAATAAACGAAAAGGCTATCAAGGATAAAGAGGATTACGGGGTATAACAAATAAAAAACATTGAAACATTTGCATGAAGCAAATGGTCACGTAGTAACTCAGGGGCGCTGTTGTCAGATTTCCATCAATTTTACGGAAGTAAGACAGTTTATTAGCAGGCTCAGCGTGAGAGGAAGTTAAAAAAACTCAATTAAACGTTAATATCACCACCAACTACTCGTTACTGTTCAAGAAGCGAAAAGAAATACGGTATATTTCAAAACCGACGCCTCACGTCGTTGTGTGTTCAGAAGTAACAAGACAATAGTTTTACCAGTTTTACTATAACAGACTTAGACCAACAGGACGTTAGAGGAAGTTTTAAATCAGAATCGATGCTAAAAATAAAGAAAACATAGAGATTTGTACAGAGAAGTGCTTAATGTAACCAATACGGGCCAGGAATGTGAAGAGAAATTTCAGAACAACTGGAACTAAATTACCAACCAAAACTATTGTTCAAGAAGTATTAACTGAAGTTGCAACATCACTTTACGAACGACACACAGTAATCACATCGCCCATTCCTAAATTAATAGGGCTTTTTTTCACAGTTGCTATGACGCAATGTGATTCATGTCTCGATTGAATAAAAGGATTACTAAGCTTAAGACAAGTTTACAAACCTCTACAAACAATACGTCATAGGCACAGACTTCTATAACAAAAGCGTTTCAAGCTACTCGTTTGAAAAACAAAAACGTACCGAAACACACGTGCAGAAAAAATAAAAGGGCAGCTTAGCCATTGTTTGTCGAAGAGAGCTGATATTCGGTCGCCTGTTAGTCGAAATCACGACGACTAAGCATAGATGATACAGAAAGGCACGCTGGTCGAGCGCCTGAGTGAGTGACTCTCTTGAAGCGTTGGTTGTCTGGCGAAGTCTGCCGTCAAGTTAAACAATTCAGAGCAAATCCAGTTGCGAACTTGATTTGAAGTACGCCTAAGGGCCTGGTAAGTGCATTATAGAAATATCGCGGCGTGATTTTCAGTAAGTCGTGATTTAATTGCACCAAAGAATACTTAAGTTCACAAACACGTGATAAACACCTTGACGAGGAGCAATGGTGGAATTTAACTTGCTAGGATTTGCACTCCATAACTCAAACATTACAAACAAGCATCGTAATGGTTCAATACCGCGTTGGGAGAACTGTAATTGAGTTTACGAGCAAAAGCTTTCTCTTCTATTACAGTAAGGACATTTACAGATTAGAACCAACCTTTTCATTGTTGTCTTATTTAAGCCGATTAATAATAAACATGGGGCGTATTATATCAGCTTCGCGGGAAAGACTCGAAAACTTTCCCGGAAAAAATATGTCGGAAAAGCATACTTCATCGAACGTTTCGCTCTGTTCTCTTGTATCATCAAGAGAGGCCCGGAGAGTATTTTTGAGTAGCTAGGACTCAATGATCGCTTTAATTTCATTGCCAAGGAAATCTCGTGGATAATTTAGCAATAGCGCCATTCTTGCAAGGATATCGGCTTTTGAACACACCGTTCTCGATTTCATCAGTACCTGATGTGCCAATTTTCCTCGGTTGACATTAAGTTTTTTTTTTTGGCACTAGTTATGTAATCTTCTCTTCCTGTAGGAAGTGAAGTAAGCTCACTAATAAGAACGTTTAGTTGTATCTGAGTCTAAGAATTTCGAAATCAACCGAACATGTTTAAGCACTGCGAAGTGTATTAAGTTAGCACCTTTTCACAGGTTTAAAGCGTGTTTCATAATCACAGCTGGGCGTGACATCGCGAGTTTCAGGTGCTTAATTTCTTAACTACATCAAATGATTTCACTAGCCCTTCTGCCTTTTAAGCCAAATATATTGGGTAAAATGAAAGCATCGTCTTCCACCACCTAAAGCTTTTACTCGAGCCGCACAGTTCAGAACATAAAGTGTTGTTTGTGGAATTCCAATTTTGTGTTGTCTCTTCAAGACGCCAGAAAAGGAAGTGGATTGAATTCAATCAGCCTATTTTCAACTATTCAGTAAAGAGTTATCGAACAATTTTTAACAAGATTTAACAACCGTAGGTAAGTACTCTTTAACAAACCTGCTGGTAAATAAACATCTATATTTCGCGATTTTGGTATTCGCTAAAGGAGCGACGAGTAAATATTTTGTCATCGATCGTACGCGCACTGAATTTGATCGAAACGCAATTACTACGAAAACACGGATTAAAGACTTAGATTATTGTTAAAATTATTTTCTGTATGATGAACTTTTTGTTTGTTGTGCAAGCTTCCTCTCAGTTAGAGAAGAGGATTTAGTTCTTAACAAGAACATACTTAAAGCACATTCGCAAGTTTGGCAGCTTTAGACAAAGTACGCTGTCAGCATATCGAGTGTAACATAAAACCATAACGAGCCGCAAAACGGACTTGAGTAGAATGGGTGAATGGACTAAAATTGACTTGAATCATGCTGGATTGACAACCCTTGTAGAGCCTTGGTAGTGTGCAATAAACAAGAGATTAACTCGCCGGAAGCAAGAGCTCTGCTGAAGAATTTTAATATCACCTAATAATTCTTATCCAATTTTCTTTTTGAGAGAGGTAACGACCTCCTGTCTGGTTTGATTAGATTTAGACGCTCACTATTGTTGCAGATTATAAGTCTTGATTGGCAGTAAAAGAAGCATTAGCGCATTTTTAATTACTCAGTTGACAAATTACTTTAGGACGTAATTGCAGTTATTTCTCGTGCGCAGGTTAATTTCTTGTATTTGCGAGCAAGGTCCGAGAAACGAACCGATATTTAAAGAACTCATTTTTCCCAAATTATTCTTAAGCCGGTCGCTTAATTTGTTTCACTGTGCAAGTACAAAAAGTAAATTGTACCTCACTTACTGCGAACCAATTAGAGCGCTTTCCCATTGATACTTAGTTTAGCGTCCCTAAGGCAAATGATCTCTGTAATCTAGGTTGTAAAGAAAATCCTTTTGTGAGAAAACAAAAGGACGCCTTAAAATCAACAGCTGGCGTGCTGGTCACAATAGTAAACCAGAGAAACTTTAATTCCTTCTTGCGAATTTAAAATTTGCATTAATGACCGACCGATGTTAGCGTTTCGGATTCAAATGTTGCGTGTTGTCATGTAGTTCAAACAAATCCCGTGTGGCTAAGTCATTTTTGACATGATTTTGTCAGTTTCTGAGGTATTTTATTGGCTTGTGTCAACGAAACTTTTGTTTTGTAATCTGTGTTATCCTTTCGTTTGCAATATTTGCATTTTTAACATTCGATTTATTTTATCTTTGTACTTTCCAGGAGTGAATTTCTGCCACGTTTCGTTAAGGGGAAAAGCAATTTTCTTGAGGCGCTCGCCTATCTTCGATCAAGCCTTTGGTTAAAGACGGGAAAATATCAAAAGAAACTTCCTTGTTCAAACTCCCCCGCAACGATTACTTATTTTAGCTTCGTAAACAACGTCGGTTCCAAAATTTGTTCTCAAGTGCTCTATAACCGACTTTCGAATTCATCTGCATGTGGTTGCACGATTCAGATCTTGAACTGTCTCAGGAAACATGGATCAAAGCAAATTGAGCGATTTAAACGACGAGATTCTGAAACGAAGGTTTTACAACTGTATGATGAACTCCTTTCTTCCAGACAAGATCTCCCAAACGCCTGCGGCGCTGTTGAATGGCTATTTTGCTGAAATTGTAACGATTAATACAACAAACTCGAAGTTTCTCCGATCACCTCCTGTTCATCATAGTCATCATCGCAAGTTCCACAAACATTCAAAGGACCATGCGATTTATCATGTCCAAGATCAGTTCCTTGAGGACATACCCGAGGAACAGCCTGAAGTAACCAGTATGTTGGGAAGCTGTCCTGATCATCAAAAAGAGAAACTGAAGTACTTTTGTGAAACTTGCGATGAGCCCATTTGCTTAGACTGTACAGTCACGGAGCACAGAAAACACAGATTTTCTTATCTACGAGACGTTTATCATAAGCAAAAACACAGCATGGCCAGTCTACTAGGACAGGGAAAAACTCAAATGGAAAACACACGAAAATCTTTAAACGAAATCAAAAACATGTTGTTTAAACTTCACGAAGAACGGACGAGTATGGAAAAAGCTATTCAGAAGCATACGCAGATTTTAATTGCGACTTTACAACAACAGGAAGATAAATTGTTGAATGAACTTAACAGCGCATTTAAAACAAAGGAAAGCTCTTTGCGGAAGGAGAAACAACATTTTGAGCTGATTCTTGAACGTCTGAGTGGCAGCTGTCAGTTCACTGAGGGAGCCATAAAAATCGGCAATGAGTTAGAAATTTTGGTCATACAAAAGCACTTGAAAAGACGGCTGAATGAGATTTCAAACACCAGAAGAGATTACAATACGAAGAATTACAGGAACATATACTTCTTTCACGACGAAAACTCCGTCGAAACCACTCGGAAAGCTCTCGGTCATGTGCTCGTTTCCGATACATGCTCAGATTTATCGACGGCAAATGGTGACGGACTATCAAAGGCTCACGTCGGCACACCAGCAGAATTTGTAGTGAAAGCGAAAGGTTTCGACAACCAGCCGAAAACGCGCGGCGGAGATCTCGTGACGATCGATGTTCGGAGTCCAAATAAGGCAACTGTTAGGTCGGAAATCGTCGACAGAGGCGACGGGAGCTATGCAGTCGGTTTTACTCCGAGTCTTAACGGCGAGCACGAAGTTGGAATCGCAATCCATCATCAACCCATCAAAGGCAGCCCATTTAAAGTTATGGTTACCAATCCCCGCATTTACAGCAACGTAACGCGTCCAACTTTATGCATCGGAGGCTTGGGGGAAGTTAAAGGAAAGTTCAAGCTTCCTTGCGGCGTGGCAGTCGATAGCGAAGGGAAAATCCTCGTGGCCGATTGCCATAATAATCGTGTGCAGATTTTCGATCCTCAAGGAAAGTTCCTTAAGAGTTTCGGAAACCAGGGAGATAAAAACGGACAACTGAATCATCCTACAGACGTGGCTGTCGACAGACATGGAAACATTATTGTCTGTGATAAGGACAATCACCGCGTACAGAGATTCACGAAGGACGGTGTCTTTATCAACAAATTTGGTGGTTATGGGGAGACACAAGGCAAGTTCAAACGTCCGTGGGGAGTTTCCTTGGGCAACGAGGACGAAATCATCGTCACTGACCGGCGGAATAGCAGGGTTCAAATTTTTAAGGAGGACGGCAGCCTTTTGCGCGTACTTGGTTGCCATGGACACGCGCAGGGACAGCTTGATCACCCTTATCACGCTATTATGGACGCTAACGGACAAATATTCATCACAGACAGCAACAACCACGCTGTCAAAGTGTTTGACTCAAACGGGAACTTTGTGAGGGCGATTGGTGCGGAGGAAAATGGCCAATCAATGCTTAAGTATCCAACGGGGATTGCCTTCGACATGGACAATCACGTGATTGTATCTGATCAATACAATCATCGGGTTCAAGTTTTTAACGAGGATGGAAGTTTGAAGGCAACTCTTGCCTCTGGACTCAATGGCCTCGCCCAGAAATGCTACCCCAAGGGTGTGGCTGTTTCTCCAGGTGGATACATCGTTGTTGCCGACAGTGACAATCACCGAGTTATTGTGCTGTGAGGCTGACTTGTCGGAAGGTAATGTTTGAAGTATAAACTCCGGCGCTGTATAAACACTGAAATACTCGTAAGGAAAAAAAAAATTTTTATTGTTGGCGGAAATATTTCAATCCGTGTTTTAGAAGAGCCAGAGTTGCTTAACCAGTATATTTCATTCCTAAATGTGTTATCTACAGTTTTGTAGGAAATTCTTACCTGTGTCTGAAGGTTCATTGACACAATGACTCAATTCAAAGACTCAAGGCTTGAAACAGCCATAATATCTTACTGGCGCGAATTACGCCGGAAAAGTCAGCAATGCAACGCAAACCACAGCGGCTATATTAACGAAAACGTGGTAAAAACAAAACATTTTAAATGTAGAACAATGCCTGTGCGGGTGCTTTTTAAGTCTTGTACACGTGAAATCTTTTCCTCGCAGGCCGGGAACAAATTATACCTTTTTTTTTACCTCTACAGAAAGGAATCCCTTCGGCAATTGTGCCTAGTTTTATTCGGAACTTAATACATCCTTCACATATTTAACTAAGTAGAGGTCCTACGCAATATGCCGGTGCTAACTGTTGACTACTACTTGCATAATCCTTGAGGCAAATGTAAGTTTAAATTTCAACCGACGTTTAGCAATCGTCGTGATTTGCTTGACATTCCATATTGTTACTTTGGGTAAAGCATGCATACAAATGTGTGTACAAAACATTTATCCACCATAATGACAACCGATTTGGAAGTTCACATAACAGCTGTGTCTCGTCTACTCTAGTCGGCCAACAGCTCCCTTGGAAAAACGGCACAAATCGTGGGATGCCAGGCTATTGTTCGAAAGTAATAATATAATTCGTAATGTTACAGGACTATCCATAACTAGCGTTGGAGCTAAGCTCCGTTCAAATGAATCAGTCAACTTATTTCTGACAGCCGATTCGGAGGAATCTCAATACAATTATATTGGGAAAATAGAGAATAGATTTGTAAAATAAATCTATCATTTTAGTCATTTTTGAAATTGACATTTTTATCCCGGTTTTATGAAATATAACATCATTATAATCATGGAGAGCCATCGTACTTCAAAGACGTAACGTATTCACCTCGAAGAGAAAAAAAGTATATCTTAAAGGTTTATGATAAGTTTATTATATCGTTATATTATATCTTATATTATTCAGTGTCTTTTGAACAAGACTTATATCCCTAGATGATAAAATACAAATTCGAATTGTTAGGAAGCTCACAAATATTGGAACATTTATACTGTTGTTTTACGCACAGCATATTTACTGATATAATTGAAAGTAGCTCCAGTATCATAGTAACCACACTAGGAGATAGGAACAAGCTATGAAATAACTGTGATATTTTGCACGCTCTGATTGGTCAATAAGTTATCACTAATTTTACTTAAAGGAGTCACAGGATACTTCCCTCAATGTATGTCACAGGGCTTGTAAGTATTTAGTGATAAAAATAAATATAACTGTTATTGTATACCATGAAAAATGTCTTCCTTTCTCTCTCTTTGTTGACGTCTCTGCTTCTAGTACGTAAAACATGGAGTCAAGACCCCCCCTTTCCCAAACGAATTGCAAACAATCGCTGACATCCTTAGTCTGAAAACTGTAAGTTGGGTGAGTTTTCCGTGAATACAAGAATTGCTATTCTTACCTGATTTCAATGTGACTTTAAACAAGAAGAAAATTAAGAAAGTCGCATTTTTATCGCTGGAGTCTTATGATCTTTTTTGGTATTTATTGCCAGTTACATTTTCAGTGTGACAGGAGAGGGTCATGGAAGGAAATGGGGGGAGGTGTAAAAAATCCCAACTGCTAGATAAGATAAATAACATTCTTTGTTTTGTTGATGTCATTGTTGTTGATGAAGATTTTTCAATTTTTCCTTCTGTTAATCTTTTTTTTTTTTGCTTGTTGCTTTTTCTCTAATGCTCATTATGAATTAAAATCACTGACTGAAGCATTTTGTACACACTTACCTTCACCCGATAAAATGTTGTCACTGTTCGTGGGCGAACAAAAAACCCAATGCTTGTTGTCATAAGTTTACAGTAATGACATACTACAAATGGCACTTCCATGGGGGTTGATTGGCTCCAATATGCACCCCAACCTAAACATTTCCTCAGCATTTGCCTTCTCAAATCCCCTCTGCGCAGGAGGGTCTTCAGTTCAACAATTCTGTAGGATTATGTTTGATATATCTCAAGGGCTGCACTTTAAGTTCAACATGAGTTTGCAATTTCTTGGGTGGATTATTGTATTTTTTTTAATTAATTGCTAACTTTGAGGACCAAATACCAGTTTGATTTCTCCTGCATCAAAAAGACGAGCGCGTAGCATTTCATCAGCAAAACAATCGCTGAGTAGGAAAACTTACAGGGGGAGCTAGTCTGGGTTGTGCCAAAATCCTACTGGCTAGAAGTATGCCTGAGGAGCACTAGTGATTTATGTCATTTGGAAACTTTATCAAGAACTTGAATTTGTCTTTTTATTTTCTTGAGATGATACAATAACATATTTGTCTAATTATATGACCCACTGTATGACCTATCTAACCAAAAGTTCCCCTTTGGCTCAGTGATAGACTTGTAACTAGTGACCTACTAGAGAAGCGATAAAGTCGTATTAGATGTGTCTCTGATCAAATTCAAATTCATGTCTCAAATAAATAATGAAAAATTGAATTTACATTGCACAAGACAAACTCACCCCACCTTCTCAGAACTAAAACATTTTACAAGTTTGTAAATGCAGCAAAGACCATTGAAAAAGATGGTAAATTGGTAAAAAATATTACAAGTTTGTTAAAGAGAGTTTCCCATGCTTATTGGGAATTACTATGTATATCATTTTAGTTGTAAGTTATTGAGTGTAATGTTTACCTCTATTCTGGTTGGCTGTTGTAGCAACCCTCAGTTTTTGGTTTATAACAATGTCTTATCAAAATCACTCCCTTTGTCTTAACCAATGAAGTTCTTTGACACACCTTCAACAGTCAAGCTAACAATAAAAATAATGGCAAGGTTCTGCATCAAAAATGATAAGTTGATATTTTCACAGTAACAGACAACAAACATGGATTAAATAATGAGAGTTACTCAAAGGGATTTGACTTGGATAAACATTAAAGCATATTCAACACGGACTCATAACAAACAGTGTGCTCAGTAGGACTTGATTCATTAATGAAGATACACAAATTTTTAAGCACTTAAAAAAATCTACATTTTTCTTCCAATACTGCAAATTACCTATTTGAAATAATTCTGATCTCACACCAGTTCACACCCATCAAAACACCTGTCCCCATCACAGCCATAACTGAAAACATTTTTTGGGTATCATCCTTTCACTTTAAAAAGCTAGCAAGTACAGAAATCCTGAAACATTGTTTGCTCTTACTCAAATGCTAAACAAATGGACTTCACTGAAAAAAGGAAATATATCTTATGTTTTCAAACCACCCATTTACAAATACTTTATCATAGTGATGGCTTTTTTTTTTAACTGCATCTTTAGTGTTTCACCCACAATATAAATATATGAAATTTGCATCTGTCCTGGAAGTCAAACTGTCAGTTAATCATGAGTTTCACTCATGTACAGGCAGACGGTTGTGTCTAAATCTACTGGCTAGAGGGTAAGCCCGAGGAGCACTAGTGACGAGTTTCCGAGTCGGCTGATTATCGGAAATTGTCGGTTATTCCAATATGGCGGACTATTCCAGACAATTTCCGATAATCAGCCGACTCGGAAACTCGTTAGGATTTAAGCACAACCGCTAGTCAGCCAGCTGGCTTGAATTTGGTTTTCCTGTGGGTGTCTCAGCCCGCAGAGCCGAGGATAATTATCCCATATTAAATAATTGTCCCCCGTAGAAATACAGCCCACTATCTATGACGTCACGATAGACAATTAGGCATCATAATGATTTCACTTAATTCTCCTCTTAAGATAATCGAAGTATTTTTCTTGAAAACAAAAACATGAAAATTACTAACACATAGTTTTTAGCACTCTCTGTCGCACATCGCCGAATTCTCGAAGAACTTTGAAGAAATGTAATGGGATGAAAAATCGGAGAGCGATGAGTTTTCCTCCATGATGTGACGTCACACTCGCCTGCATTTGACCAGTGGTTTTCTGATGGCGGTAATTTCGTAAGAGCCACCATGTTGGCATCTTTATCGTCTTTTTATGAAAATATTCGCTCATATTCTTTCTCTGGAAGGAAAGCAGGAGACAAACGCCGAAGAGAGAGGTATTTTAATATATCCTGTTTGGTTCTGTGTCTTTTCCTGGGCACGATTTAGAGTTATGTTGGGATTTAGAGGTGTAAATTATGGCGATCCTCATAAAAGTTGATGTGATATTGGGCATAACAGAGCAGCTTTATTTGCAATTCATCCCGAAATATCTGAATTATAGGAGGCTGACTTATCTTTTTCCGGTACTTTATTTGAACAAATGCCAAGTCTTTCGTCGAGGGAATGGCAACCAACTTTTGTCATCCGAAACACTTAGTTTCGTTCGTACTTATACAGTGATGTATTACAATAACTTACAAGTTGTCATCCATGTTTACTGCGTATAGATTTCGACTCTTTTAGAATTCATCGATATGCATTTTGTTCTTATAGGGAAGACGAGGATGTAATTATAACAGATGTACTTCAGGTTAGTACATCTATAACTCATAATTTTGGCAAGACTTTAGAATGTGGGGTCTCTTGTTTACATCTAATTGAGTCACTGTACACTGCAGTTCTCATTTTGCGTTTCTTGGTCCTGTGAAGACTTTGCATTAGATGGATCTTGGTGGTCCTGTATACTTAAGTTTTTCTCCAATTTTAAACAGCAAGGAAGAAAAAGTAAACATAGCATGAATTTTGAAAGGGGAGGTTGAAATTTTGAGGTGTCATATGATGGTCACATATTACAAAGGCAGTATCTAACTTTACGAAAGAGTGGAATTTTGAAGAGGAAATTCGTGTAAAGATGGAAATTTAATTGTGTTAAGGTATAGAGCACATGGATAAGTGTCTTTCCTTTATTATAACAATAAATGTGCAGTTATTTCTTTTATTGCAAGATGTTGACCAGAGCATTGTAAAAGGCTTAGTTTAACAAAGGCCTAATTGCTGAATGCTTTTTTCGTTTTTGACATTAGACACCACCAGCTAAGAGGTTAAGAAATCTAGAAGAAGGTGAGTGAATAAGCAGCTGCATGTATTTTAAAAGAATATGATAAAGTGATAAACAGTTTTATAGCAAACTCTGATATAGTTTTGAAGCTGCATTTTGATACTGAAGCCACATGGTTGATAAAACAAAGAATATGAGAACATAATAAAGGGATATACAGTTTTGAAGCAAACTCTGAGATGGTATTGATGCTACAGTTTGGTACCGAAGCTACATGGTTGATGTAACAATGTTAAATTGAATTGTTTAAGCATTTTTAATGTGGGATAAAATGCTGATATTCAATGGTAAAATGGAATTTGTTTATCTGGGTAATTCTGATGGGTTTAAGAAATTGATTTGCAAATATTTGTTGAGCAAGGCCAAGCTGGAATTTGGCACGTTTACTCTTATGGAGGTAGGAAAACCAATAAATCTGGACAAAACTGCATACTGCAGGGATGAAAACTGTTAATAAATTCGACCCACAATTGATGCCAGTAGAGAATTGTACCTTGGCCAGCAGTGGCAGGAATGGGATGAGTATTCTTTTAACCACACTATCCTTGATCCCCCAGGAAAGGAAGAGGCAAAAGGAAACTTGTCTTTGTTATTTAATGAATATACCATATTCCATTTCCTCTGCCCTGAAAGATAATGCACTCCCTGCAGTGTAAAAGTGTAACTGTGTGTGCTGTGCAGAGTAACTGTGTAAATAATTATAACTGTTTGAATCTGTTTCCACTCAGCTTCTGGTGAAAACAGTGACAACAGCCCTCTTCATAGTTTTTCGGATTTTGTTCAGAAGGTGAAAACCTGGTCTGGTAGATACATCTGGCAGTACGTGGTCAAAGGAGATAATCAAGATGTCACTAACACTTCTTTAAGCAGAGACCTTAATGAGGCTGAGAATGAAATTATGGAAAAACAGACAAGTTCTGCATATACAAGACCTATTAGTGTGAGTAAAAGATATTACAGTGCAGCTCAAAGATAAGGGGACTCAGCAGACAAGTACTTACCGTATTTCTTCACTTATAAGCCGACCTCGGCTAGAAGCCAAGACCCTAAAAGTTCGAGACCTTCCAACAGACTTGTGTTGTCCAAAAGAAAACGCAAAACCAACAGCTATAAGCCGAGAGTGAAATTCTTGATTGTAACCGGCCATTTGAGTGAGCGAACCTCACGAGAAAAAATTAGGAAATGGCTCAATGAACACAAAAGCTAATGAAAGAGAATAAACATAAAAGAAAAAAAAGCGAATCAGTAAAGATGTAAATACTACTACGCAACTGTAGAGACACAACAATACTCTCAGCGATGGAGTGGTTTTCACAACATAGAGACCAAGTACTTCATTTGTAATGTGAAATGAGAAGAGTTTTTGCCGAGTTGAGCAAAGAATGTCTTTCAATGCATGGGAAGCAAAGAATCTGATTGGTGGTCAGAAATACATTGTTGCCATGTCAATTTTAAAGCCTGTCACATAAAGAGCGCTGCAGTCATGGAATTTACGGTCATTTGCATTAACATTAAATTTGTACTTGTTTTTGACTTCCAAACCCTTGGCTATAAGCCGAACCCCGTTTCTTGTGAAAAAATCTCCCAAACTTTTGTGTCAAATACTGAAAAATCGCTCAGCTTATAGGTGAAGAAATACGGTAGTGCTAAAATACCTGTTTTGGTGAACTTTATTTGCATTGTGTTTTGCTGCAAATGCAATGCCCGTTTAATTAAGCAATGACCATTCCATAGTAGAAAAAACAATGGGCTAGTTCATACTTTCTATTAATACTTTCTATGCATATACTTGTCTGTCAAGAGTAGTACGTGTCTGGTCTTAGACTTGCTCTGTGCATGTTTAACACACATTTTGGTCCTGTTACCTTTGAGCTGCACTGTCTATAGTACATTCACATGTTTGTAATGGTATCAGACTCAAGACTGCTTTTTTTCACATGCATGTTATGGTGTGAAACAATTTCAAGTTAAAATGACCAAAAAAAAGGTTCATACAGTATGTGTTTTCTTATGGTTAAGGGATAAGGTCATTGACCAAAGAGAAAGGAGACAACATTAAAACTAGTGTGTTATTATCTTGAGCAGTAATGTTTTAGATTTATTACAATCATAAATAACTGATAATAGAAACCTCCAGACTTTAGTAGGCACCTACTGCAATTACCAACTCAGGCTCCTTTAGTCAGGATTTGGTATATGCCAGGATGCCTTAGAATATCAAGGAGCTTTTTCATGACTTGAGACTTTTATATGGTTCTGTTTCCATTAGGAAGGTTTCTCTTGTTCTCATTTAACCCTTTTGACTCCTCAGAGTAACTAGCAGCTAGTTTCTCCTTACAATATCACCCTCTGAATCACAAATTGAGGTCATGAGAATAAAGGAAATGATCACTGACTAGAGAAGCTCTTCTTCAGCATCACAAGAAATTTATAAAGGACAGTGTGGAGAATATACACACTTACATTAAGGTGTAGAGGGTGAAGCTATTAAAACTGGTGCTTTCCTTATTGCAGAGCATTTGCACAGACAACTTGGGACAACAAGGGAGTTCTAGATTGACAAGGAAACCCTTGCATAGAAGCAGGAGATCAGAAACATCATCGCCTGTACAGTCTCACCCAAGAAAAAACAAGATGGGATTAACAACATCCACAAAGCAAAACTTGAGCATGACAAGAACATCTGAAAGAAAATATGATTGTAAGTTCTTTCTGTGCAAGAATAAGAACTATTTCACATGAATTATGATGAAAATTGTTTTTCTTATTCTCTCATTATTCCAGTGTTATTATTGGCTAAAATACATGAATGCCATATCAATCATTTTTCTTCAATCGAAACATTGAGTCCAATTAAGTACCATTTATTTGAACTGTCTGCTATGTGGCAGTGAAGATGTATTGAGAGAGAGCAGAATCAGTTAATTGAGAAATCATTGTTAAAATAAGAAAAAAAAATAAACAAACAAACAAATTAGTATTTTAGTTTTAAATTTAAGAGCAATGCAGTATTATTGGCATGGTGTATTTTTAACCAAAAAGAGCATCCAAATTGAATGAACTGTATCCAATTTTTTTCTCATCTATTCAGTGTTGTTCATCAAATTGTGATGACTTATAATGCATTTATCTCACCAGCATCAAAATATAAAAACACTCTCAATAGTAGATCTTACAATGCTAACCAGTACAAAAGTGAAAGAACATTAGAGTGCAACTTGCCTGGACCTTCTCAATCTGGAAGTAAGTCTCCCTCAAGATCACGGAGGACTACAGAAGAGACTGTGGGAAAGAGATCTCCAGTTGAAGGGGGGAGATTTACAAGCACAGCAGAAAGGGTAAGACTTGAAATTGTGAGGGGCAAAGTGCAGTGTACTAGTATAGCATGACTGGTTGTGTTAAGAATTACATGTACTGAAAAGTGCTGGTGACTGTGGCTGACATTTGACTATCTGAGAGGAAATCATAGTTATATCCAGTAGATGTTGACTCTGTTTTGACTCACACTCAGGTTTGCAGTCCACCAGTCACTCTTACTGCCAGTAACAGTTAGTTTTGCTGAATTTCGAGTTTGCTACTTTCAACTTCACTACACTGTACATGTTACAATGTAGCTCCATTCATCTTTGAGTTCACTTCATCAATAAACCCAGTTTAACCTAAAGTTTCTAACCTGAATTATTCATGTAAATCTCATTTGTTCTTTTAAGTTTACACCTAAGTTCAGAATGCAAAAGTAAGAGTAAGAGTTGGTTAAATAAAGGTCTACTGAGAGAGGACATTTCGTGCCCAAGTGGAAGTGGCTAGGCACCAATACATTGTAAATTCTTTGTAGTTCTAAAGTCTTGAAAGAGTTTCCTTCTAAATTTTTATTTTTGTTTGGTAGCAAACTTGGTCAGTTGATGTAGCAAACTCCATATTTGTGTGGCAGACATGTAGCAAACTTAAATGTAGGGAACTCAGCATGTAACAAATTGAGCATAAACCTTAATGGAAAACAGCCCTTTTCAGAACTAACCTGTTAGGTCATTGCTGCAAGTGCATCGCCATTGTTCTTTGACATCTCTTTACAATACACAATACACAATACATGTTTCCACCCATTTGTTTACAAGATATTCATGGACACTGTAATTATTCATTTATTACAAATTTATCTGTAACTTAATTATATATTTATGAGTATTTCTCTATTTCTGTTGGCATCTGAGAGAGACTAAAAGACTTTTATCTCAGCCTCTCACATGCACCTTGTTACTGTACCTCACCTACAGTGCTTGTACAGTATCTTGTGATTTGTGATTTATTTTTACCACTGTGGGTGACTAGCGTCTAATTTTTCCTTGTGATATCACCATCTAAAGCAGCCCTTGATTGTTAAGTAAATTCTCCCACTCAGCTCCTTAGGGAAGATAAAGAAACAGTATGGAGACTATGCATACTGATGTGCGGATGTAAAGAGTTACAATGACCACAATACCTTACTTTTACCTAGTGCATTGTATACAGTCTATTTACAGTGCATCCCTGTTTTTCTGTCATACAAGGTTGTTCGCCTGGAAGAACGAGACAGATACAGGCAGTTAGTGGCTCAGTTTACCAACATAGAGACACCTGATAGAACAGATCGTACAGGGAACAGAACAGTATTAGATGAACCACTGTATGTGGAAACTGACTTTCTTACCAAGACAAGATCCTACACAAGGTACAAATGATAGTGAACTGGTCAGCAAGTTTTATTATTCCACTACTATGTCATTTTACCATATTAGGGCAATGGATCATGCAAGATATGCCATGGTATTACACAGTAAAACAGAGCAAAAATACAGAAGGAAAATGGAGTAACAAAATGGCCTCTGGGAATGATTTTAATTTTGTTATTTTTCCCCTGTTTTTTGGCTTTGCTTTTTTAACAAAAAACTTTTACAAATTTTTTTGTTGGCTATGAAAACCCTTAAATCATTTTATTGCTATTGTTTTCATCTTTGGTGCATGCCCTATGCAATCAGTAAGAAGCTCAGATGAGGCCATATGATGTATTTCGAAAACTAGAAGACAAAAACTAAAAGTTAGCAGAGTAATAAATCTCCTACCCGATGGTTTAACATATGAGACATTATTTTTTCTTGTTGCTGGCATTTTCCTCACCCCCACAGGCTCAGAAAAATGCAACACAACTTGCAAAATATCCCCAACTATTATAAAAATTATGTTTTCACCCATCAAATAAGGTTTTCATTTCCAAGCAGCCAAAGAGACAAAATCTTGTCAAGAGTTTCATCTCTGACCATTTTGCAGTATATTGACAGAGTTGAACTTATGTTGAACTCATGGGAGTTCTAAGGTTAAATATCCACCACTATTCACCTCCACTTAAATGAATAACTGTGTATCATGATACAATAACATCTTCTGCATACATTGGCATTTAAATTGCTTTCTTCATGTTATCATTGGCATATACTATACCTCAATTGTAGCACTGAGATGTCAGGAAAACCAGTAAAACAAAATCACTCTATCATTTGTATTTTTTTTATTGAATAATGTTGTATGGCTCTGCCACTCAGGTCTGGAAGTGGAAGCCTCCTGTCACCAAGATCTACCTTAGTGTCACCCCCCGTGTCATTCACTATTCCAGCCTCCCCTCCCCTGTCAGCAACAAGGTTGAAAGTAACAGCATCTCCAAGGAGATCAGCCAACAGGTCACGTAAGGTCACAACAGATGTTAGCTTGTATTCAAGACCAGGTTTGTATTGATTTAGTGTAGAGTTCTTTTCAAAGTTTAGATGTGCTGGGGTGAAATATTTGACAGAATGAGGTCTAAAAGTATTTTGCAAAGCTGAAACTTTTGTAAGTGATGTTTCTCGCAGTAACTCTCCCAGTGATATAGAGAAAACTTGCAAGGTATAGAATTTAAACATTATACAAAGATTCTTTCGAAAATTGTGCCCCTGTCTGTCTGCACAACCTGGCTGCATGTGACACATGTAATTGTAGACTCTTTCTGACACAACTGGTTGACACAGTACAGGAGTGTATGACCCCCTAGTACACAGTAGGTTTCTAACGAGTTCATAATCAAGTGGCTGGAGAGTCTCACTCCACCATCTGAACTTCACGTCCTTAAAGTAGACTTAAATTTTCTTTTAACTGAAAACTTGTATAACAGTTTTTTTAAAAGTAGGAGGTAGGTTTATTGAGCTCCATGTTACAGTTTGAACTGTATTTGTGGCTTACAGGTACAACCAATATATCGCCTCCAAACAGTATCACCAGATCAAGGTAAATTGAACATTATACTTCATGCTTTGCAGAATTGTATGTAATGCACTATGTGTTCACTGCTTGTGTAGTTGTGTTGATAACCCTTTGGCCCTCCTTAGTTATAAACAGAAAACTTTACATCGTCTCAGACACAGGTGATGATATGGGAAGAAGTTATCAGCTTGGGAACGTTATCTTGATATAGGACCTAATACTTAAGCCTCATGTACAGGAAAATTTATGGCAGATAGTAGGGAGAATTACAATTTGGATGTTGAGAGTTGAAAGGATTAATGATTACAGCTGCATTTTTTTCCTACTTCTAAGCCTGTTCAAGGTGTTCAGTTGATGACACCGAAGCGCGTTGGTAAACAGTGCGATAGTAGCGGAGGAGCGAAAAAATTGAGAGAGACTTGGGTCGAATCGAGTCGAGCCGAACCTACCTCGTTTTCGCTGTGCCGCTACCATCGTGCCGTTTTGATATTTCGCTCCGTTTGTTTACTGAACGCCCAAAACAGGCTACCTACTTCCTAGAACCTATCTTTGAGTCTCCTTGGTCTCCAATTTTGTAAATTTTACACTCATTTCGTTCCTTCTTTTTATTTTAAGCAACAGAACACTGGACACGTCTGATGTTCGCAATCCTTTTGATGAGGACTGGACCACAAGATGGTATGTGTTAGGAAAGACTTAATCCTACTTCTGTTTTCACATGTTATTACTTATCAATGGCCTTTTTTTTTTCTGAAGTGATAAGAAAAGGAACACAATTCGATACCATCAGAGAACCCGCCAATTTTTATGGTCCTCACTTTTGTACCCTCTGTTTCTGTGAAGGTACATTTTTGACCCGCTTTGATTCGTACTTTTAAGATATTGCACTACAAACATACATGCAGGGCAATACTTAGAGTACTTACTACACGGGGCAATTCAATGTTAACGCTAGCGAAAAATTCTCTTTGCCCACAATTTTTCCAATTCGTACACTACTTACAGGGTACTCTTCTTACAAACAGGACCCTTACCTTTATGAAGAGAAATACGACAAACCTTCCCATGACTGTTGTCTAAGAAGGACAAATGGACTTGTGCGTGCGCGTAGAACGAAAGTACCCAGTACTTTGCCATTTGTTTATTTTTTCGGTTTACAGGCGAAATCTCCTATCAGAGGATAGTTTAGCCCGACAAAGGGAGATTTCAAAAGAAGAAAAGAAACTGAAAGCAATAAAGCAAAAGGTAACAGTTTTGCAGAGTTGCTTTTTAATAGTGAATGTCGGTCGTTCCGCCAACGGTCGTTTCGCAAACGTCTCTAGTCAGTTCGCAAACGCGTAGAAGTCAGTTCGCAAACGTTATAAACATTTATGATGTGTAGAAGTCAGTTCACAAACTTTGTAGATTTGAGATGTCAACGTTTGAGTATACATTGACTAACTTTATAGCTTAAGTCATACAGTCTTGTGGTTGATTTCGCTCTATCACAGTATTTGCGTGTTGCATGTACAGTAGCTGTAATCCGCAAATCAATCTACCGATATGAAACAGGTCTTACTGTTGTTGTGTTCGATCAAGAAGCTTTGCTCTTTAAAGGAAGGTCCACAACTACCAAGACACGGGATAAAAACTTCCCATTTGATAATGAATTATACTTTAGCGAGAAATAAGCTGTGAGATTTCACATCCAATAATTTATGCACAACGTGTCAGTAATGTAGTATTCTGAACTGTATAGTTAAACCCAGGTTGATATGTAAATGTTTATAACGTTTGCGAACTGACTTCTACACGTTTGCGAAGTGAGCAGAGACGTTTGCGAAACTACCGTTGGCGAAACGACCGGTTACTGTTGTGTTTGGGGTGCAAATTGTAGATACATCATTAATCTTCAAAAAGCCGTGCGTTGATTTAGAAGCGAGCATTTTTAACCTCAAAATAGTAAATTTTAAGAAGTATAGTGGGCCAATTTTGGACAATTCTTCTCTAATTTATGGCTCTTCAAAGTGAGGTAGCGACGGCGAGTCGTCGAAATCGCTTTATGAATAATTAATGATGTCCTAGTTGTTCGTTTTATCCTAGGCTCTGATTTGAATTAGGGATCGACAGTTTTATCGAGAGGAAAAACTGTCATGTTGTCCTACGGTTCACATTCATGTAACTGTAATAAGTACGACAATAACGGTGATACTGATGGCATTTCCATTACTTCCCTCTTTCAGCGAGAAGAAGAAACGCAAGCTATTAAAGACAAGGTACAGTTTTATGCACTGTAGAAATCTACAATTTATTATCGATTATCATAGACTCACTGGTCTTGTATTTGTTGAGATCTCGCCTCCTTTGTTTCACACAATAAAAAATGACAGTGTAATGTAGTCTACCAGGATTCCTTGTGCATTGAAACTTCCTAAGTAACGAAGTGCTAGGAACAATGTAGACGTCTTTTTCTTGTAATAGTGATGCATGCACGTGATTATCAGGGTTACGGGATGGAAAATTGCCTTCTCTATCGTAGGGATTCCCTTAGGAAGGAGATTTTTTTTAGTACTTTTATTATAGAGCTTCTGTGTATACCAGTATGTTGTCGTCTCGTAAACCGAGCTGCCGGTACAAGCTATACATGTGCAAAAAAATATGTGGGTTTTAATGTTATTTTCAAGTCATAAACGTGAATGAAGGGGGTTTTTTGTCCGCCTAGTCGAGGAAACGATTAAACAAAATGATTTCCAAGTATATTATTTGGTGGATAATTTACATGTACGAATATTGCTGAAATTTAATGTGTTATATTATTTGATATTCATACTTGCTTGTCTTTGATTTTAGATAAAGGAACGACTGAGAAGAAGGAACTTAGGACTAGACGAAGATGAGGAAGACGAGGTATTTTAAATCAGTGCTATCTTTAAGTTGTTTACACAGCATCGACGCTTTAATTTCGTGAGTGCGTGATGTACGAGAAAACAGCCCACGAAATGAGAATGAACAAGGTAAGAGCAAACTGCTCATGACAGAAAAAGTTCTCTGGGAAAGTGGGAGTTAATATTTTTTGTCTGCTCTCTCACTCCAACTTTACAGCGCTTTAAAAAAAATAGGGTCTAAGTTAATCCCCAACGTTTTCAATGGAATTATCCATTTTGAAATTATCTGGTCAGAAGCCTGAAAAACCCAGACGATCTTTTAATCCTGAGACGTGCATTTCACCGGTGTGATGGTGTTCTCTTCGGGCATCCCCTGCGTTTGCTCCTTCGGTTATATATAATCTGTGAAGTTGTGCATTGTACACCAAGCATCCTTTTCCAACTGCAAGAATGGTAATCTCGAAATTCTAAGCGATATCCAGCCAAGTGTTCTTTCAACTGAGAGGGACTCGTTCGTGTTCACACATGCACGTGATCTTTTCATATGCGCTCACGTTACTAATAGTTTAAGTGGCATAAAACGCTTTAGTTACTTACTTGGAATACCTTAATGGTTAAATGTAAATTCGTGCTAAAAAGTTTATGAGATCGCATATGTTCTTTACCAGGCAGAGGAAGAAGTAGAAGAAATAACAGACTCGTTTGTGCCGCTCACGGATGAAATGGAGAGAATGGTGAGTTTAAAATGCTTTGACTTACTTTCTTACTTTCATCCTTACTTAGGAGCAAGGGTGGCGGGGTGGAAGCAAAAGCCTTCACTTCTCACACGGCTTGGATTACATGTGGTTTGAGTATTTTTATATTGACGAGTTTTGTTTCTGTTTCTTTGGCTTTGCTCCCTTCAAACGAGTCAACGCTCACGTTTTCGAAACGTCAGTTGTTGTCACCAAGACAAGAACACTCTCTCGCGGACGATCAGATAACACAATCAACAAAACATAGAAAAGCCAAACACGAACGAGGGCGGGTAAAACTGGAAAGGATAAGAACGGATTGCTTTTGAATTAAGTTGAGATACAATTGGCAGAGTTTTTTCAAGTAATTTTTGTAGTATGAACGTTCAAAGAAATCATCCTGTCGGTTACGCTGTAGCGACTTACAAAGCGTTGACCTAGCCCTCTGTATTAGTTACCAGGTTTTTGTTTAGAGGAAGGGTTCTTCATTCAAAATCCTTCTTTAGGTTGATGTAGCACTAGCCCCTGGGTATTCTGAAGATCCTCTTGTTGAAGGCTTCCGAGTGACTCTGAAGAGAAGTGACGTGGCAACACTCAGTAATCTGAACTGGCTCAATGACGAGGTAAGCTGAAGTGAAGGGTATTTAAAATTGGCATTTGAAGATGGGCTGGAGACAGCTCGGGCATACAGACTGTATTCTAGCTCCAGATTGGACAAGCGGATTGGAGAACTAGCGTGGGTCTCTGTGTTTCGTCGTTTAAGTCAAGGAGTCAATTCACGTCTCACATTGCCCCTCCCCTCTTGGGAGTGTGATTGGGTACTAGCGAACTTTCAAGGAACTTTATTTATTAGTAACTGGAGAGGATGGACACGAAAGAGGACTATTACAACTGAAAGTAAACCGAAGCTAATTGCTTCGCTTGCGGGAAAATGCGAGTGAAGAAGTCGCGAATGGTTTTAGTCTGAATATGATTGGTTGAAGGGATGGCGCGAGTTTTTTGGGCCAATCACATCGCGAAGTGAGACAACCAAATCAATGCCAGATTAGTTTCGAAACTCAACTGAAAATTACTCTAACGTGATAGCTAGGGGATCCTACCCAGAAAGTTATTAAGACATAAGAATTGGCTGAGGCGTTTTCAGATAGCGATACCATTTGATTTGTGTGTTTCGTACCATTGGTGTATGATTTTTTACGTCAATTATTTTGCAGATAATCAACTTCTTTTTCAACCTGATCATGGAGAGAAGCAACCAACAAGGAAATGTGAAAGTGCACGCCTTTAATTCATTCTTTTATCCGAAACTGATCAAATCAGGATATGCCAGCCTTAAACGGTGGACGAAAAAGGTAAGGAACACGATTTTGTGGGTGTTTCTTCTCAATGAATTGTGGTCACCTTAGTTAGTCCAGTTAAGCCCCGTGTGCTGCAAATAGATAACCTGATCAATGTTTTCAAGAGATTGTCGATTGATGTTTTGAAGCTGCTTTTGTTGTTGGTATTTATTTAATAACAAATACCTAGTGAGTAGTCAGGCGCGATTGTGCACAAGCCGCGCGTCTACAAGCCTCGGAAACCGATGAGGACCCCCCAAGGGGAGGGTTGCTTTTGGAGCATTTGTAACAGCTGTTTTAATAGTTTATTTAGTTCTACACCCTTTGGTAATAACAATTGTTTGAAGTGTTTGGTTTCATTCATTTTGTACTTGATGTTGTTGTAGGTGGATATTTTTGCGATGGACGTGGTACTTGTTCCTATTCATCTAGGGATGCATTGGTGTCTCGCGGTAAGAAAGTTGTTCATTGTAAAACCTTTCACCCCCGTTCTTGTTACTAATGTTGCGTTTTTAGCCAATTCAGATCCTCCGACAAGGCATATTAAATAATGCAATTGAACAAAATTAGATATTCACTCGACGATCGTTTTGGCCTCCGTTCACACTTGGCAAATAATTTTGTCCTCACTGGAAATCTTGTAAAGCCATTTTTCATCCGCACTACGACGATAAACAACGGTGGAAAAGTTTGAGTGCATTCTTAGGCAAGCACAGAACAAAAGCCCTGCTCTGCGATGGTATCAGCGCTGCGTTTTCAAATGTAAGAGAGTGTTTCAGGACATTTACATTTGGTGGAACTGCAGAACTATGAGAATGAATACGACGCCGTGAGGACGTAATGATATGAATATTTAAGCACAATTATTTAGCTTTATTCAGGCTGTTTGACTCAACATGGTCAGCTCAGGTCAAGTTATAGACGGCTCTCTTATAGTTTGTTCTCTTCGTTCTTCAGGTGATCGATTTTAATAGGAAATGTATCTCATATTACGACTCGCTCAAAGGTTCCAATCCACAATGCCTGTCTGCACTAAGGTGAGAAACAGCACACCCTTTTCCCCCCCTCCCCACCCAGGTCCATTTTGCCAACCGCTGGACCACTGCGTCGCGCACCAGTATGGAGAAAAATGAGATTAAACCGATAGAAATAATAATGATTAGAAAAAACTAAAAGTTGTAGTGTTCCATCTATATCCACTTCCATCTTGTGGAAATTCATTGTCAGGCGTGTTCTTTTTTTTAGTGATTACTTGAAAAATGAATCACTGGACAAGAAGAAAGTGCCGTTTGACTCGACGGGCTGGAGGACAGTTTCTCCAAAGGTGCTTTACTATCAAATTATGCTTCGTCAGTTTGTTTCTTTTAATCCCTGATCAAACTATCAAACCTTGAACTTGTCCGGCATTAATGTTTATCCTATAAATAGTAGGCCGATAAACTTCTTACATTTTAAGTGTAATTTCCGTTTTCCAAGTAAATAATGTTTGGTTCAGTACTGCTTTTTGTCAGCCCCATGCACTGGAAAGAAGCTGGGTCGGGATAGCCCTATCACGTGCTAAGTTTTACTTTCCCAATATCTTCTCGCCCAAAACTCTTGCTTGCGATCGAAAAAAAAACAGACTACAAGCAGTCCACTGTAGACCTCGAACGTTTGATATCCTACGCAAACCTCCTGTTAAAGTCGTTCGTTAAAGTCGGCTTAGTCTCCGGAAGTTGACTGCAACCAGTGTCTCGCTTCAATTTTGGCCCGGTATCGCAAATCTTGTCAATTTGAAACATTTTCGCTGACCCAAGGAAATTCGCAATAACGCGACTATTTCCCTGTGATGAAAGGGTTAACCTCCAAAAAAGATATCATCCTTTTCTCGTTTTTTTTTAAAGATAGAATTGATATCGTCAATTTTTTTTTCTGTGGTTTACAGGATATACCAGAGCAACTTAACGGATGTGACTGTGGAGTATTTGCCTGCAAGGTATAATTCAAGTTTTCGTGTTCTTTACACTGACTCGCAAGAACCTCCTTTTGTTGTTTCTGCCAAATTCGATGGTTTTACTACATAATGCTTCAAACCGATCTCATCTTGTAGATAGAAATAAGAGAGATGGTAAGTTTTGAGCTCGGTAAAGAAATAAAAAAAGAGGTTTTTTCGTCTTGTCACGAGCGTGGGACAAGGAAAAAATTCTGAGTCTCTACGAGGAATCGAACCTCAGACCTTCGGATTCCACGCTCCGGTGCTCTACCACTGAGCCACAGACTCCACGGTCAGCGAGTTTTATTACGAAGTTCATATGACACGCGTCCTGCACACTGCTAGGATCAGCAATGTCGATAGCGTAATGTTTGTAGATAGAAATAAGGGAGATGGTAAGTTTTGAGTTCCGTAAAGAAATAGAGAGGTCCACATGGGGACTCAGAATTTTTTTCTTTGTCCCACGCTCGTGCCAAGACGGAAAAACATCTTTCTCAATCTCCTTTTGGTGTACGACACTTATCAATCACGTCTATTGTGTGCATTATTACGATAATTTCCCACCTCTTCTTCCTTTTTCCCTTTGTTTCGAACATTGTGTTCGTTTGCCTCACTTCATCAAGGGTGTGAAAAATCCGTTTACGAAAAAAGAGTCAAGAGTCCAAACTCGGTGGAAAATATGTGTTAAACTTGTTAAATGAACCACAACATTTGGCCAAAATAAATACGCCGAAAATTTTTTAAATTCCAAACAAAAAGGTAACAAATTTGCCCGAACGAAAGCTCAAAGACGACTAAAACTCCGCTATAGTAATCGGTACATAAGGGGTAAATTTCCTGGATGACAACGATGCTTAGAAAATAAAATGAAGAAATTGAAATGGGATTTAGCGGTGGACATTCCACGAGGTGGTTTCTTTTGTCCACTGATTCCGGTTCAAGCGGAATTTAGAATGTTGGACTGAATCTAATGAAACTTAGTAAGAAACTTCGTATCTCCGAGCTATGTTAATTCAAGATAAACTGTTAGTAAAAGATAATTTTCGTTTTTTCTTCTTTCTCTAATTCCAGTACGCAGAGTATTTATCACGAAGAGCGCCTTTCGATTTTGACCAGGTATGAATATTGTAAAGAAGAAATTGAGTAGCCGCCCTTTATGCGAATTTTATTTTCGGTTGTTGCGCAACATGGCTCACAAGTTTGAGAAGTGAACGAGTGAAGTACATCTACCATCAACTTAAGCGGATATGTAATGCTCTGTTTTTTGTTGCAACCATTTTGAAATCATTGATGATCCTTGCAAGCTGATTGGTTCTCGGCAGTGCCGTAATTCGGGAGCTTCTATGGACACAATCTCAAATTTTATTGAATTTGATGCGACCACTGCATTAGGATCAGGCTCAGTGGAATTAAACATTTGAAGCGTGTCGCATTTAGGGCTCAAATGAAGTATTTGCAGCTTCAGTTTAAGCGCGTTCAACCAATGAGTATCATTTGTCCTTTGTCTCAGCCAGTTAGCATCAAGCAATTTTCCCTGTATATGATAGATTTACGATTCTTTTCATATCGTTTCCTCCTTTAATTTCGAGCCATTTCATCCCCAATCGTACGAATCAACTAAGGAAGATGTGTGAAACTACAGGAAACATTTTTGCTTACATGTATTTTGCTCTTTTCCAGAGACACATGCCTTACTTCAGGCGTCGAATGGTCTACGAAATTCTAACAAAGAAACTCTTGTGAGAGCCAACCGCTGAAAGACTCGGTTCTTTGTGTTACTGATCGATTCCTTCGTAACGCGCTCTCTGGAGTCACTAAGAAGGACTCGCAATTTACGGTTATTATCCCAAATGTTCTCCCTCTATCTATTTATATTAAGCCAATTTACGAGTCTATCTTAATACTTTTCGTTATGCTATCGTTAAAACTGTACAGTGAAGCATTTTTTGAAAATGAAAACATGTAATTAAAGTTGGTTAATGTCTATGGACTGTTTTAAAAGCAAGAATATTAAAGAGCAAGAGCTGATTGATACATGTCAACTAGCTTTCACAGATTGTTATTATGAAAGGAACTCTAGCTCTGGTACGAATCGTTGAAACAATGGAAACGGCTGGCAAAATGAGTGTCTGCCCAAAATTGACCATTATGGTGGGATGAAAGGTGTAGGAGTGTTACGAAAAATGTCTGGGCTGATTATTTTAGTGTCTTCCATCGCATATTCCTTATCTGCACATCTACATGGTAAGGAACAAATAGATTTTATAGTTATAGGGGGAATGAGAATTTTCGTGTAATTTTCCTTAGCTTTCTTGACAGAAAATTCTCATTCTCCTAAGAAAGTTGTGATTCGCAGCATAATTAACAGAATTTAATGAAAAGCGAAGAGATAATGTAAGTGAAAGGACACACTGAATATCTTTTATTTTTTTGTTTTGTTTTTTCTTTTTCTTTTTTTTTTTTTTTTTTGAGCACCGAAAGAGTGGTTTTCAGGCGATGAGGTCGAAAGTTTATGTGTCGTTTACGTGTTTTTGCTTTTAGGGTATTTTTTCGGCCGGGAAGGGATATCTTGGCGAAAGATCTTAGCAAAAGATCCTTAGCTCCTAAATACAAATGCATGTCAGCCAATGGGCGAATGACAGAATCCTTCGCGTACAAATCAAAAACAGGAAACATATGGCAGGATTTTAGAGTATTCTCTCACCGTGTAAACACTCAGTTGCTTTTTATTTGCTTTTATCCAACAGACTCCCCAATTTGTTTTTAAATGAACGTGACTTATCTTGGATGATCAATAATTATGGCTTTCTGGGGAATACATATCAAAGTAGTGCCGATAGCTCCCTTTATCGCTTAAAACCTGATCATTTTGCCATGAATCCAATCAATGTGGGTGTGGGCGATTTCTTGAAGAGGGTGTGGGTGGGTGTATATGGGGCTTTCATTGATGCTTTCTGGTTCTGTGACAAAGAGTGTTGAAAGTGTTTTTCGAAGTCAGTTGAGTTTGACAGCAGGACGAACTGTGGACACCATAATACTAAATTCTTTACAGTTTTAGCGTTCAACGCACAGCTAATTTTTGAAATAGGGTCAATCATCACAGTGGAGAGCGAATCATTTGTTTGCTAATCTTGATTCAAGCGGGTATTTCTTAATGTAGTATAGTTGAACAACTGTGAGCAGGAGATCGTTTTATTCTCCAGCGTGGTTTGATCTCTAGCAGACAAGAGCCATTTTATAGGGTTACTTACTTCTTTCATTTTTATCAGTGACATCTACAAAAGTACTCAGACGCCGTAACTACTATGAGCCGAATAGAATTTAATGACTTTCATTTGAAGTCGAGTACGAGGGTCTGAATCAGTTTCAAAGTTCTGACTGATTTTGGATCGTCTTTGTTCACGCCGTCAAGTTAACCACTGATTTATCGGCCAAAAGGTCACAAAAGGCGAACCGACGATACACACTTCAAATCTTTCTCCCATTATATTACGTTTAGTCGGAATTAATTTCGGCCTTTGGATCAGTTTTGTCGATTTTAAGTTATTTTGAGTTGGCCCAAGTTCAGACTTTATTTGTCTCCTAAACGGCGTGGATTCAATCCACGCCTTTCCGGAGGCAAAATGATCCTTTGGGTTAAGCACGAAATGGCATCAATTTATCGTCATTCGTGACCGAAGCGACTCGTTTCTGCACGTTGGATATCCGCTGCATGTAGGCTGATTTCCGATATAACATTTAGTTTTAGGAACACATCAGCTGGTGTTTCTTGCGCGTGGATAAGTTTATGTAGGAATTTCAGTCACCATAGTTATTTAGGATCGAGTTTCGTTACTGATCAACTCCTGTTGGTGGAAATATTTCAGCTTTAGAGTTCTTGACGATGGGTTACGCCAGTCCTAAGAGAACTGCGTCAACAAGAACCTGTATAAAACCAGTCGTTAACTGAAATGTTAAGGACTATGTTATTCTAGACCTTTCCTTGCAGCATTCACATGATAACATTTAGGAAATAGTGCGCGTTTTCGTACGTTTTTTTTTTTAAAGCAATGAATTTTTTTAACCTAGTTTTTAGCGCGGCAACAGTTAATGGGTGAGGGACCCAAAAAGGACCCAACTGTCTGCGATCAAATCATCTGGAGAAAATTATTAGCTTTTACAGCGGAGCCTAGCTGTTAAGGGATGAGATGATCGACGAAAATTGACTATGTATAGTAAAAGTTAAAAATTTTCTGCTAGCTTTTGTCAATTTATGTACAGTCAAATAGAAAAGACCACTTTTCAAATGCAACAAAATATGGTGTTGAAACAAATTGACACCAATTACTCTCGATTTTGGCAACTTCAGGCGCTTGCTTGCATGCACACAATAAAAAATGATGAAACCTTGTTTTACCCGATGCCTGCTTCCAAAGTTGGGAAGTATTCTTTCCAACCACTGGTTATTTTGATAATGACAATAATTCTTAGTTTCTAGATTTATGGATAATGTCGTCTTGTTTAACTTTCAGAACGTAACATGGCAACAAATTGCTACCATAGCAGGGTGAAAAGCAAACCATGACCACACAATACCTAACTTACACTGTGGTTAAAAAAAGAGATTCTCTAAAAAAATAACGTCTCTATCGACGATTGCAATTCGTTGTTTTGCATGTGATACAACCTAACGAAAACTTATGTCGATCATAAGATATACGCATTATGAATTTATTTACTTAGGCCTTGATCCAACCGCCCACGTATACAAAGGCCAATAATATAATTAATTTTTAATGCGAGAAGTTGATTGATTTTTCCAGTGCGTTTCCGACTCCGCTTCAGCACCTTGTTTTGCTATTTTACATATGACAGTGTAACGTGAGTTTTGAATGTGATCCAAACGCCTCCGAATGCACCTTCACGGTAACTTTGTCCATGCAGCTATTGTGTAAATTTTTTATGTAAAACTTCTTTTAAATCACTCTAAAGAATCGTTTGAAAGTGAACGTTGAAAAAGCAACGTGTTTAAGTCAGAGGAAATCTTCTTTCTCAGCAGCTGGCATAGATTCGTGAAACAGTGCAATGTTTTTCTCCAACTATGTCGAGTTTCAGACTTTCATCATGTTGTTTCTCATGTTTAAAAAAGGTAAGATGCTCCGGCTTTTCTCGTACTTTAACCTTTAACCGCTAAAGCGGGCTATGGGAAATTGTTTATTGTATGGGGCATTGAATAATATTTTCATGAGTTTGAATTTTGGTGGCAGTAAACAACTCAAAAGGAAAAGGAAAAGAAAACTGGTCTAATCGTAGCAGGCTCAGTCGGCCGGGAGTTTTCAATTCCAACTCGCTGCTAGGCTTGGGTTATCCATGCTTCTCGTGGTGTGGTCATGGTTTGCTTTTCACCCTGCTATGGTAGCAATTTGTTGCCATGTTACGTTCTGAAAGTTAAACAAGACGACATTATGCATAAATTTAAGTTTTCCCCTTTAGTCACTAAAATCCTTCCCGGGAACTTTTTAAAAGGCAAGTCTGTTTGATTTAGTGCATCTTTTAGTACATGTCACTACTGTGTTATATTCAAACGCTAATCCAAGGAGTACGAATTATAATGTATGTATTGATCGCTACCTTTATTTTTCTACGTGATTCACCTTCAACCCGAAAAAAAAAATACGAAAAAAACTACGAATTGTTTTCACTTTGACAAAATGACAACCAAAAGTTAATTGGCAAGTCACTATGCGGCTTTTTAATTAACTAAATTTTTCTGGTTATCACTAAGTTAAGGGAAGCTAAGAGAAGCTAATTTGTTCATCGTGGTCACGAAATATTTCCATTTCCCATCTGCTTCAATCATGTCTTGCAACAGATCATTTTAGAATCATATGTTTTTCACCTTTCGGTGTCCCATTCTGCATAGAATTTTAAAATAGTACTTAGTATTTGTTGTGTTTCAACAGAAGGCCATCATGCGATCGGCACGAGTGTTATGACTTAAGATTATCTGGTACCCGCTAAGCGGAAATTATATATTTTACTTAAGACACCTCATTAAGAAATTGCATGTCGATTTGTCAACCGTATTTGTATTAGTGTCTCTAAGCAAACTTTTTAGTGGGTGCATAAAAAAAGATTCCCCATGAAAACCAAGCAAAAAGAAACTGAAAAGCATTCTCGAACTAGCAGTTCCAATGTCGAGCCATTTTCTTGATAAATCTATACTCAGGCAGGCCCAAACTTTCATGTTTCCCCAACAATTTACTGTTACCCTTCGCTCCAGTTTGGTGTCGGCGGGGTCATTCTACATTTCGCAGCGGGCACAATGAAACAGAATTGATTAATTTGTTTATTCAACATGCATAAATTAACTGTGGACATCTGAAAATTAAGAGACGTCTGACATTGAATCCTGTTCCTACTCTTGTTGTCTGGCTACTTAAGGCTCTTTGCCACCTACTTCATCATCAATAGATACCCGCAGAGGGTAAATATAATTCTCTATGAAAACAAATTGAACGTTTTCACCATTAGAGAGAGACACATAAACCAGCTTCTCAAAGTGTTGTCAGTCATCGTAAGATAGCTGTCATGCTGTTTAGTACTACTTTCACCAGCAATGAATTTAAAATTTTAGTGTTGGGGAACAGATGTACATACATATCGCACAAAAAGTAAAGATGGGCTGCAAAAACTTGGGGAGAAAACTGAAATTTCTAATAAATGTTGCTCGACCTATTGCTCAGTTTTCCACTTTCTTCTATTTTCTTCCAAAGAAATGGCAATTCTTCAGAAGAAAATTGAAACCAATGACAGAGAAATTGGCTTTTCAAAATACGGTTTGTCCAACATAAATGTCGGAAACCTCAGAAGAAAGAAACACCTGTCAACCTGTCATTAAAGAAGTCTTCAATACCCGTATTTTTTGAAGCTGAAAAAATACAGTTGATTGCAAAATAAGTAAAAATGGAAAATTCAAGGAACAGACAAACTCTATGATTAAATACAGCCATACCTAAATCTTCCGCATGCATTTTGCTCGGACATCGTCTTGATTTTAGGATAAATCATTTGACCAAGGCGATACTGATAAAACATTTAGTTTAAGTGGTTGGCATATTAACGCGATGGTTTCTCAAAAGTGAACGTAACATTTTCCAGAATAGTTTAATCCAATTTCATTAATAAATAAATTACCACACCTTTCTTAGTTCACTGTTGAGTTAAAGGAGTTTATCGGTAAAAAATAAAAAGCATCAATTGCTTTTTGTTAGCAACAAGGAACTTAATGAGGTAGGGCTAATATTCCTCAAGATATGAATAGCGTGGGCATACCATAAAACGTAAATTTCAAGAGGATACTGTTGACGAATAAACCACACGGAATAATAGTGCGCCTCAGGCCATTTACTTCGGTGGTGATCTTGTGATGGATTATCAGCAACGGTCGAAAAACTTCAGAACTCTTGTCATGAAATACTTTTTGACATGTTCTTTGTTTCTTTTCATAATGCAAGGTAAAGTCAAATGTTTTTTTTTTGTTTTTCTTTTCATGAGTTAACCTTTATACCGTAACCATTGCATGACAAGCTGTTTTCCAGTTGTCTAAGATGGCAAAGATCAAAGATAGCTTGAGAAATTTTTGTTTCGTAGACTTTCAATTCGATTTCTAAATCTCGTTAGCCTTTGAAAAGGGTCTCAGGGTCTCTCAATCCTGTCTATGATGCATTTCATTTCGGTATCGAAGTCGCGTTATTTTTCAAAGTTCTCGAAGTCGGAGATTTCTTCTTCCAGTCAATGGTTTAGAATAAGGAAGCTAGAGAAGTGAGCGTACATAATCTGTATCAAATCGCTGTTGTTTGAAATTACTTCTATTTATGTTTTAGTAGAAGGTGATTTAGCGCAAAAAAAAAAACCCAAAAGAGCGTGCTGCAACTCTTACACAACATTTGATGGTTTTGATGATAAACTTGCAAAGCGAAGGTTTATAATGAAAAAGAGGCATGTAGCTAAAATCACTATCTCGCACGAATTTCAAACAGGGCTCTCGGCGCTACACAAGTCACGAATTCCCCTTTGGTTCCAACGCATTATACCCGCATGATATCAAAGTATAGTGCGCTGCATAGAGCCAAACACAACAGGTTTTTGTTCCCCGTGGCCTTTCTTTGCATCTACCTTTCAATGAGGATAACTTTAGTAAATTTAAAGGAGTGAAATTTTAACTTTCAATCCCCTCAAAAAATTTCACCAGTGCATGCATTTAGGATATCAACAATTCCCTTTTTGGTCCGTCTGAATTTTTGGTCTCTTTTCACACAACAAGCTCGGCAAGCTAAAAACCTACGCCGATTTTTCCGCCTACAGATGCATTTATTCCTTTTATTTTCAATATTCACGCCCCAACAAAGGTTCTCAAAGGATTTGTTTTGCATGTGAAATACTAGCTGTGACAAGTGATGTCAATCTTCAACTTCAGAATTGACGTAGTTATAGGACGAGTTTCGTCACCTCATTTTCTTTTTTTTTCTTTTCGTGCTTGATTTTTAAGAGAAAATCTTTCAGTTTTTGCACCCGCTATTTCTTATTCACTTGCCAAGAAAAGGAACTTTAATTTGGCAGATTTTCAGGTTGTAACAAAACATTTTTAAAAGCTCTTATATTGCCCTAGTTTCGGTTCGTGCTCAAAACCAAAAATATTGATAATTCAAGCTGGAAGCAGAATGGTGTTAAAATACAGCTTATGGCAACTCTAGCTGGGCTTATCAACGACAAAACGAATACAAGAGGCTTAATTTTATGGAGAGTGTAAACTCACTGAAAGCGAAATGACGCACATGCGACTTTAAACATAAGCGGCTCCAAAAAATGATTATGCAATTAACATTTCTGCTATTAATCGAAAATATAACCATGGTTAATTTTCCGAATCTTTTTCCGATTCAGGTCCTTTTTTTTATACAGCTTAGCTGGTCTCAACTAAAGATTTTTCATTGATTAAAACATATACCACTAAAGTTTATTATCCCAGTGCAAATGTGCACAAAAAGACGTTTCATATGAAGGTCGCTAACATGTTGTTTCTTTTGCTGATAATTAATTTTTCTTTTTTATAACAAAGTATAATGTTTATACTAAACACCCGAGGAAAACCAGTTCCGTCAAGACATATTGACTAGAGAGATAAGCAAAAAAATCTGTGTCGGAGACAGTTTAGATCAACATTGTCAGTGACGGACAAGAACAGAACTTCGTGTTTTTTTCCTATGTTTTTTTTTTTTATATAAGACCCTGGGGGAAAAGATCATTAACATAAAACTCGCAGGTACCTCGTTTAAAATAGAAAGCGGATCAACTAATCGATTTAACAGAGTCTAACAAAAACCTGCTGAAAAAAAAATCTGTCTGATGAGCGGTTCCAATTTTACAGAAACGTAGCAGATTATAAATAAGTAACGATTCACTCTGATATAATCTGAACGAAAAATCTTGACACGACATCAGTTTGGAAACATGAACATTGTAGTACCAAATACAGAATTGGTTCCTAATTCGTCTATTCCTGCGTGGACAATAGTTCAAAACAAGTAGGATCATTTAGGACATGAATGAAAATTGATACTGTCAATCATTAGTATCATCGTAATTAGTGTTTCATTCCGAGAATTTGTAAAGGACCTTGTAATCATCTACATTATAATGAGATATTCAAATTGCTCTTTGTAGACCATAGATGAATTGTATGCCAGAATTGTTGTTTTACCGCTGATCGCAGTGAGTTACTGATTAAGATAACGTCGAATTTGCTATATTTTTGCCCAACCGACCCAGTAGACCTGATTATACGAGTTTTCTTCTAGCAGATGGGTCATCCACAGCTGACATGAAATGCGAAATTAAGTCCTCCTGTTCTGGAGGATGTGAATCTACGGAACCGATGACGGTAGATCCAGACTCCAATGTAACCCTCAACTGCTCAATCACAGAAAGACTGGAACTAGGCATGACGTGGAAGCGTTTGGCAAACCGCACCAATTCCTCAGAGTTGTATCTCTATCGCTGGAGTTCGATAAATGATAAAAACTATTCATGTGTATGTACCGCGATACTTTTCACACGTAAGTCTTTGATTGATCAAATCTGCCAGTCTTTCCCGTATTAGGAGGGAAACACAACTTGGGCCCTGGATAAGGGCAATGAGGAAGAGGCAGGGGGTGGGGGAGGGGGAGTTCTAGGAAAGTTTGTTCGATCTTTCCCGCTTAGTTCTTGTTTAAATCACTTGTGACAAAATTTGTTACTCTTTTTGAGACAAAAAAGAAGTGAAGGTTGTGGCACATCGAGCCATTCACAACATACCAACTTGGTATGTAATATAGTCTCATCGGCCGGGTTAAGTTGGTCCTGAAATATGAGTGACTTTGATCGATAACCTGGATTGATCATGACTTCCTTTCAGTTTGCGGAGAAGTTAGTCAATTAATCAGACGATCACACAACGCAATTGACCAGTATCTCAGTCCCGTCTTCAAACAATCAATTCAAATTGATATGATATCTGAAAATGACTACTTCTTTCTTTCAGATGCCCTTAAAATTGTCGATGGTTCAAGTTCGCCAAATGATATTGTCGAAGGCAAAGAAACCAGTATAGAATGCGTTTTCTCTGGTTGGCCTCTTCCCACTATTGTGCATTGGTTCAAGGAAGAAAAACTGATCACTAACGGAACGGACGGTATTTATCACTCAATGGAGAAAGAGGGAAATAATCTCCGGAGCACTCTCTACTTTCCGAGTGGCCAAGAGGATCAAGAAGGGTTTTACAAGTGCAATGCAAACAACAGTATCCCTGGATGGTCGAGTTCGGCGGCTTACGGGATAGAGATGATTTTATGGTGTAAGAAAAAAACGATCAGAAAAATCATGGCGCCTACATTTTTCAGTTTGTTATGCGTACTCCGTGCCAAGGGCATCAGAACGAAACCATAATTTTAAAAAGAAACACAAGACTGCTCTACTGTTCGACACCTACACACATTAGCGGGGAAGGGGGAAATGATTCAAAAACTGGATCACGGCAACGTGGAAGAAAGCATCATCCATGTCTAGTTCTTTGCCTAACGCCCCTCTGAGAGGACCGGTCCTAGAATAGATTGTCCATTTCTTACGACTGGTTATATATTTTCATTTTTTTCTGTCTGTCTGTCATTCTATATATCTGTCCGTCTGTATCACTGTCTAACTGTTTTTGTACACGTATCTCTGTCTGATTGTGGTTTGAGGTGGCCTCACTGAAAACCGCCTCAGCGAGTTGAGGTCCCTCTGTATATATCATTATCATTATTATCATATTGCATGTCTGCATTACGGTCTGCATGTTTATGTTTCTGTCTGTATCACTGACTGACAGCCTATCTGACTGTATGTCTATATGATAATTCATTTTTATCAACTGAGTTGATAAAGTAAATTTGTCACCGTAAAGAGTTCGTAGGGCTGACGTTTCGAGTGTTAGGTCTTCGTTTTTTGTTCACTCTGACGAAGGGCTAACACTCGAAACTTTAGCTTGAGAAATTCTTAAAGTTGGCCAATTTCTATCATCAACTCAGTGATAAGACCAAATTGTTTTGTATTACCCCCACCAACGCAGCACCTCAGTTTCTTTAGAAACATACTTCACTTATTCATTTGTCTGTATCACTGTCTAACAATTTGTTTATGTGTATCTCTGTCTTATTGTCTGCATCACGGTATGCGTGTGTTTGTGTCTGTCTATATCTCTGACTGACTGTCTATATGTCATTATCATTATGTGACTCTCTGTCTGTTGGTATGTCTGCCTATATTACTCTTAGAATGTGCGGGAAAATCTCTGTCTGAGTCTTGACGATATGACGACTCATTTATAGAACTGGTTTTCTTTTGTAACAGGTCCCTCGGCACAAGGTCCAATCATATTTCCCCTTGAGATTCTTGCCAGCGCTTTTTCTAATATCAACCTGACATGTCGGTTTGATTTTGATGGCAATTGTCCTCATAACGTACTATGGCTCAAAGGAAATACCACGGCATATTTGGAAAATGCCAAAAAGTACAGTACAAAAGAAAGAAAAACGCATACTAAGTGCAAGAATGACTACGTCCTTTCTATTTTCAACGTCACGAAGAACGATGAAGGGAGATACACTTGTCATTGGGAATGCGATGAAGACATCAAGACAGCTGTGATTGACTTGAAAGTATCTGCTGATCTTCCTACAATAGGTAATAATCCATTGATCTCCGTTAAGTTGAATTGGCAATTCCAAATAGGGGTTAAACGCGGGCTTGAAAACTTTCGACTGAATATAAACTTGTTGCATAACCCTCACGATCAATGGTGTCGAAAGAATTTTCCACAAGGGAGGGGTAGGGGACTTCCACACCAGTGTTTGTAACCAGTTTGTTAATACCTTACTTTTGGGTTATGAGTAATTTAATGTGGACATTTGATTAAAAAAAAACTGTCAGTCTCTCAGAAGGGTTGCAAAGGGTAAGGCATTCATAATAGTGAAAAAGCAAAACTGCCTTAGGTAGTTTTGGATAGACGCACTAAGGTAAAATTCGTACGATAGAAGCGAGTGAAAAACTAGTCATGTTGTTCCGAATAAAACACTATGACAATTTCTTAATTTTATCCAAGGAATTACCGAAAAAAAAGGAAAGAAACTTCTATTGCATTTTACTTGCTCGACAACATACACCGCCTTTTTGAATCTTGCAGAGCAATCTAGCAGTTAATCAGTGACTTACTGAGTGTCTTCCATCTTCATCCATCTCTTATCGATCTCAGGTTCAAACTTTTGGGAGCTGAGTGAAAAAATAAGCAAAAAAATCATTTCTAACTCAAAGACTGATTCTTTTGCTTCAATCAATGCACAGCTGTTTGAGAGCCATGCTTTGTTATCGGGCTGGAGGCCAGGTTGCTAAAGTTTTTTCAAAATTGCGGCCTCCATGCCCAGTTGAGTTTTTAGCACCCTTACAGACGCCTTTTGTACAGACTGGTTATTCTGTGGAATCTAAAAATGGCCGAAGTAGTATTTTCAATAAACATTGTATACATTAAATTTGGAGGCGACTGCGTAGATCGGATAACTGAGTATCTTTATTACAACTGTACATGTCTAGGTAAAGATGATAAGCCTTTTTCTGGCTTTCTTTTTCAGATACCGCAACTCAGTCAAACATAATTTTAGCTTCTCCTTCTCACGAGGGTAAGTATCAACCAGGGTTTAACAGGGCCTTTACAAGCTCAACATTATTGAGGTGACTACGAATTCATGCACTTCAATTTGAATTTTTTTACTCTCTTAACCAAAGGAGGTCGACAAAAATGGCTGCTGCCAATCATCATTCTATCAGCAGTTGGTGTCGCCGTCATTTTCATGTCAGTCCTGCGGTTTGGTTTCAAGAAAAAAAGGACATCTTCTTATAAGATACAAAGACGTAAGTTAAAATCAACAACAACCTTGACAGTAACAATAACAGTGAAGTTTTTTAGATTCATTTTTATCTGTTAGAGATGAAGGTTACCTTTTTTCACGTTTAAAACGCCGTTTATCTTAGCAATTGAAGTGTATTTCTGTGGACCACGGCTTCATTCGAAAGCCTGCTTTCTGGTCAATGTGCTATCGTACTCTAACTACTGATGTCCCTGCGATCCTTTCTATTCATGAAATTTACTTAACCTGTTTCAAGACGACACTATCGAGATTGCTCTGAATAAAAAGGTGTCAATGGAGTGATGGCTTTTACGGCTAACGGTTAAAATGTTGACAATTTTACGTCTTACGATTAATTTTTTCCCGTTACGTTTATCACTTAGCCATAACAAGACCCTCTAAAAATATGTTATGAGTCTCCTGTGAAAATGAGTTTTTGTGTAGTGAATCATAAGAAAATTAACTTCAATGTCAGATGATTCGACCTTGGCCTTGATTTAAGACAGAGGCTTAGGGCATTTCAGAAATGGCCTCTTCAGGTTTCACTGCACATACATCACTCACCCTTAACACATGTTTCTGGATGTTGTATCAAATAAATACCGATTGGATATCTATTTTTCAAATTCTTAGTAGAAGGCATCAAAGAAGGAGACCTCATAAATCGACTGTTTATCAGCTTCAGCTCAAAAGATTTGGCCTGGGTCAATGAGAACCTCATTTCAATTTTTGAGAAGCACTCCATAGCTTACAGCATTCACAGCCGGGACTTTGAGCTTGGGAGGCCAATCGTCCAAAACATGGCGGATAATGTGTATGGCAGCCGTCAGGTTTTGATCGTTTTATCCCAGAATTACCTCGCCAGTAATTTCTGCCGGGAGGAGCTGCACATGGCTGTCCAGAGGGGGATAGACTCGGGAGACTCGTCACTAATTCTTGTGATGATCAACAGCTTGAAGAAAAAGCAACTACCGGCTGCTCTGAGAAATAAGAAAATGTTGGACTTTGACAAACATAAGAAGAAACAAGATTGGGAGGAGAAAATACTGAGCGAAATAATAGAAGGAAAAACTATGATTATTTAGAAGCTAGCTGCAGCTCTGTTCATGCCCTCGACTCGCATGAGGTTTTATTTCATTACTTTAAGGGTGAAAAGGATTGCATCTAATTGGTTTTTGTTTTAGCTATCGTCTTCTCTACCATCATATCAAAAAGGAATTGTGGTCGTTTTGCCTACGAGTCGTTTCGCTAGCGACCAGTAGGCTAACGTCTTAGGTCGTTTCGCCAACCTCACAGTTTATTTTGCTAACGTGGCATAGGTCGTTTCGCTAACGTTTCAGGAAGTTTCTCTCGTCTGTCTAGTTTTACTTTCTTCTAACCAGCGACAAATGAACTGTTGTATCGCAAACATACGAGTAAGATCAGCCAAAAATGGACTGGGGTCGACCTGTTAAGGTCCTCTCAAGAACACTTTATCGGTGTATTGAATCGACTTAAGTTTGCCTTGATTCGACTCGTATCGAACCGACTTTCAGTTTGTACTGAGACAAGCTAACTCCCCTCGGTTTCTTCGGTCGATTAGAAGTCGATCAAGCTCAAATTCTGGAATCACTTAACGTTTTTTATTAAGTTAGCGAAACAACCTAGGGGACGTTCGCTAAGTTAGCGAAACGACCTGAGACGTCAGCGAACTAGTCGTTAGCAGAACGAAGGCGAAACAGCCGGTTACAGTGCAAAGCTAAAATCGAATTCAACTCCTAAAGCTAGCCTTAGCCCCAATTGGCAGATGAAATTTCTACAGCGTTAGTTTAAAGACAGTCAAAGGAAAAGCACTCAAAGTAGTTGTATTTGATTTAGTACCGAATAACTTTTGCTTAGCCTTAAAAATCATGTTTCTGCGCGATAGTGAACTTTCATTTGGTATTGGTCTTCCATTGTATTAGATGGGAAAGCAGATGTTAAAGTACGTTCCTGCTTTTCGTATCATGAATCAATGCGAAAAAGCTGTAAAAAACGCTCTCAATTAGTCGCTGTGTTGTTAAAAGTTGATAGAAATGTTGTTGAAATTTGTAGATTAAAAGCGTCTGTGAACAAAACGTTTGAGCTGACTCGTCAGTAAGGAAATCTGCAAGCATTTCTTGGGTTTAACAGGGTTAGGTCAAACAATACGCCGGATAAACTTTCAAACAGTAGGTGTACTATCATTTTAAAAATCATGATTTTTGGAATCATTTAAAGGTACATATCTAAGCTTGGAATAGACACCTTCACACACGGAACAATTTAAGTTTCATTACATTTAATCGGCTTATCTAAAATTTGCTTATCATTCACCAAGAGGAAGGTAGCCGAGTAAATTATGGTTTTTAGACCACTCATCATGAGGCTTGCGGTGAAAACAGGAGATAACAGTCTTAAAAATCTGTTGTGGGATGTTTTTGACTGTGAAGAGAACAGTGCATTTGAAGGGAATGAATCACTCACTTGAAAAGATGACCTAAAGATAATTCATCCATTAACTTTGACAGTGGCTAGAAAACAGTCACAATGTTTCTTTGTTATACAAGTTGTACCTACCGTTCTTTTTTCTTCCCTCTGATCGTAGACCTGTGAGATTTCTCCGAGAGTACCGGAGCGTATAAACATTAGTATCATTGAAGATACCCCAAGTTCAACCAGCGCGTGCTTCAATCTAACCGCTTTAGGTGCACGCGCTGTGACGAAATAAACGTGCACTGCCATGACGATGGAAAAGATCAGCAAATCAGCAAGTAAACAGATGATCTTATCTGGATTCCGTACCGCAAGATGATCAGTGAGTGAAGCGAATTAAGCTTTAAAAACACTTCTTATTTTTAAATTCGGTCCAGGGCCAAGAAAGATACAGTATTGCTGTTGTGAATTTGAAAGTTTGTGAAAAGAAACAACGACTTTGTTTACGGCGAAATTTCAGATTGAGCGCACAGAGCGAAGTCTAAACAGATCAAGTAAGTAGAAACTTTTCGCTGCGTTTTCTGTTGTTGTTTGCGGGTAAGCAAGACCAGTCCCGATCATCGCTCTGAGATAGTTGGAAAAGCGAAAGCAATTTACACTCCATTAGAACAATTTCCTTTCCATAATGAAAAATTCTACAAACAAATTAGAAAGTTGACAACTTGTTTGATTGGTGAAACAGGGGCAGTCCTCGGTGATTTAATTAAAATGCTATTTCCGGCGAACGATGAAGCCTCCTGCGCCCAACTGAAACAAAAAGATTACTCCAATTTAGTGCAAAAAAAGGGTCGTGAACTATTGTTTAGAGAATCACATTATATCAGTAAGCAAAATTTCATGCTCTGATTATGACATTACCCGTAATGTTCGCTCTAATGCCTAAGGAAAAACTTTTCTGGTGAAGTCTTTTTGTGATTGATTCATAGTTAAATATGTCGCTTAAGAAACAAACAAATCCCAATGGCGATTAAAACTTACCTCATCTCCTGGATTTTAAACCGAAAGTTTGTTAATTTAGCGATAAAAGGCTGATTTGGAGAGACATGATTATTATTTATATTTCTATCCCCTGTATTTCACTCAGACATGTGGTGTAGCTCATTAAATACCAGCGAGCCTTCAAAGTTCCTGCAAGAAAACTCCACAGATTCATATCTCTCGTATGGCGGTGGAAAGCTGCCATCGGGTTTCATTCTTCAACAAAATTTCCAACAAACCCCAAACAGAAATCTGCTGGTCCCTCAGCCTCAAATCCAATACTACGCTTGGGGTAATCCGACACAAGCGATGAATAATACATTCGCACCTGCGTCTTACATGGGCCCAATCCACGGGCAGATGCCCTATACACCTCATCCACAACAGCTGCTTCCAAACGCCGTAAGTCAGAGTTATTTTCGTTTGAAAGCTCCATTGTGATTCTCACAATCAGTTCGTCAGTTTGACATCGTGATCCGAATCCTTCTAAACCAAAAATTAGCGAAGAAGTTTTGTCTTAACAATTCAAGCTTGTAGAACTTTGCATTTTTGTTCAAAACAGGGAAAAAGCGTCATTGTCACCAAATACAACAATGCACGTCAAGATAATGAGTTCCTGGCCGAGGAGATGGAAGAGCAAAAGAAGCGAAACAGTTTACTTATGCAGCGTATTTCAGAAATACAGAAAGAATTGAAAACAGTGCAGGAAAGCACTGCTAAACTCTACAATGAATGCCGGTCCGTCGATGAAACATGTGAAAGATTTTCCAAGCAGCTCGACGAGGAGAAAAGAAAATTGTTGGAGACTATCATAAGAAAGAAAAGCGACATTTCAAAGGTTAAAGTTGATGCTGAGTTGGTGGCAACTCTGCGAGAGGAGAAAGACAGATCTCTTTTGGAAATTGCGCGTCTCCGTGACGACGTCATTGATGCTGACATTGACGTTGATAATCTAACGATTAAATTCCAGTATGAACTTGGTAAAATGGTTATATTTCCCTTCTGGAAGCTGGAAGAGGAAATTGATAAAGTTCTTCCTCATTGTGGTGTAAGGTCCTGTGTCGAGGAAAGCAGAAAAGAGCGAGCTGCAGACACATATGGTGGCTGTTTCTCTCAAGAAAGGGTAAGTAGTCCGATCAAAAATCGTATTATTTCCCGTTCAAGACCATCGCTTGCGCGACAGTAGACTCCTGCTAATAAAACAAAGATTACCAACTGATGCTCCTCGTGTTCACATTTTTAAGATAACTCATTGAAAGAAGATTGGTCAAAACTTAACAAAACGGTCACAAACAGAATTTGCCGCCTGTACTGACTAACTGTTAAGTTATTGGTACTCGTTTTAAATGGTTAAAAATATTAGCTGAATTTTGTTGTAAAAGGTGACGCCTGAATGACTATTTTTCTTCTTTCTTTAACAGTTCGCACCAGGCTCTAATGAGAGCTCAGAGCAAACCACGTTGAACGACAGTTTGGAAAGAAACTCGGCAGAAAATTATACAGAACTGTCAAGGAAAAGCTCCCAAGAAAACTCACAAAATGATGAAACATCAGTTGCATCACAAGTAACCGTCATAAAGGTCAACATTCCGGTGGAACATAGTCACTCTGTCGACAAAAGTTCAACAATCAATGAGTCTGCCTCGAACCAGTCCAGTCCGCCATCTGCTGATGATGGTTGCGTGGAAACTGAAAGTAAATATGTTGAAGATTTGTCATTTCTTCACAGCAAAGCTCACACAAAACCGGGAAAGAAGGTAGGTGTTTGCTCATGCTTATGCGCTGCCTTTAGGTTAATATCACTAATTCTGTATGGTTTTGGTCTTTTAAAACTTCTTAGATAGGTTTTCTTTTTTTTTTTATCTCTGGGAAAGGTCAAATATGTAATAAAAAACTGGCTCCCAGGTCCAAACGTTCAGTTTTTGTGATCAGTACGTGAGCTTTAAAGTTAGTGAACCATACATTTAAAACAAGACTTTGAGCGAAAATTTCTAAAGGGGTTTGTTGTTGAAAACCTGTTCTGATCTCGAAATCGCTGAATTTTACCGACCTGTGGTCACGGTTGTTTGATATATCCGAGGGCCTTGTGGGATGGCCTGGATACTACCATTCATATTTTAGACCCAAATATGGTTGTTCCAGATCTGTAAATATTTCGTGCGATTAAACCACTCGGTGGAATTTTCTCTTCTAATTAAAATAACATTCTAGCTCATAGGATAGCTCCTCCCATGTTTTACCACTAATTGTTTCCTTCAGATGTGCCCTAACATGTTCTCTTTTACTTGCCTTTAACAGATTCGCAAAACCGGTCGCTTCTCTCGATGGCTACGGAGCCTCTGCTGCATATCGAAAAGAAACAAGGACCAATGAACTTGTTCAATTTTATTAAGAAAACAGATCTGGAATCTTTCAACTGTTTATCATTTTGTGATCGTTCACAAAATGATTGAAATGTTTAATATGTAAGGTGTCGTGCAAAGTGGAAATAAATAATATATTTCATGTCGTGTCGTTTTGCGACGGTAAAGGACAAATCTTAAAGTTGGCTTTAATAAATTTTTTTTATGATAAACGAAGGTGTTTCTAGTTGCTAGACTCGCTTGTACCGCCCTTAAGATCCCCGCTCCTCTCTTGAAAGTATCAAACGTACAAGTAGGGGTTGAAATTTCCAAATATTCTGCCACCAGACGTTAAGACAATTGTGCGCAAAAAAAAATATCTCAGGAACTATAGCCGGGAGTAGAGTGCTCTAATGATTTCCACGGCCTGACTTCCATGTTATCTTTTTTCTTTCCTTTCTTCTTCATTACCATCTTTGGACATGCAACAGCAAAAGGTACTTGTAATTGCTATTTTGAACTTTCTTGCTATATCTTTCAATGTATCTTGATATTCAGGGTGTTTGAATGCGTAAATAAAAGGATGGCATGCGCTATGCAAGTAAATAGCCCAAAACGACAACTGCCCCAAAAATCGGGTGGATGGTCTAAATCTTTGGTTGTCAAGAAGACGAAAAACAGAGTACGACAAACCAGAAATGTCAGAACCAAAATTGACACTGTCAAACTCAGTTTCGTTTCCAAAGAAACGGGAACACCTGCGACCGGTCCTGGCGAGATGGATGACGTCACTGCCATGCGCGATTGGTGTTCATGCAACGCTGCTCACGAGGAAAAAAATAACCGCAAAGCATCATGGTAATGTTGTAGGAAATATCTGCTCTGTTTGTAGAGTGATAATATACGTAGTTGAAAATGTTTGAATTGAATTGATAGCGCCCCCATTACGTATCGCGGGTCCCGTGGCGAGGAATATGGAAATAATCCATGCGCGTAGCACCATGACGAGGCAACGGAGGTTGGTGAGAGACTTGTTCATAGGCAAAACGACAGACACGTACTGGAAAACACACAGCGAACATATCGTAAGCACACTGGCCATCGCGAAAAGCGTATTGATGAAACCGTTGAAGTAACAAAACGATTTATTGATGGTCTATGGAGAGATAGAAAGAAGATAGAAATTTATGTGCCGTAGGCCACAAGTTTACGTCTGTAAACCAACCCTTAAATTCCAATCATCTGATTTTTAACTTCTATGCAATTCCTTGTAAATTAGAGAGGAGAGTTTGACGTTAGATCAAGGTTTAAGTCGTTCCCCCGATACATCAGTCTATTTTCATTACCTGTTTAGTTAATGATATATTAAAGTTGTGGAGAGAAGTTAGAGTTTAAGACTTAAAGCGTTAATGAACTTCGAAGTGATTATTTACTGTCAAACCAACCAATATGCGATTGCGTTTGTCACCAGTCTTTAACCGTTGCTCTAAAAAAAAATTTATTTTCTTCCGGGATTAAACTTCAGTCTCGAGTGAGTTTAGATTTGATAAATCACTTACGAGCAGCTCTCAGCAAAAAATTGATAGAATTTCAATATCAGTCTACAGGGAAAAAATTGGTTTGAATGTTAGCTTCAATGAGGTGTTGATTTCTTAGTATGGCTTAGATGACACTGAACTAGTTCTCCATTTTCAATTTATGTCACGGGTATTACTAGCGATTCGGTTGAAAATTCAGTAAAACAAAACGGAGAATAAGATGCGTAAACATACTTAGCCATTTTAAGCAGATAAAATAGGAAAACTATTTATTTGACATTACAAATTAGGACGAGAGAAAAATAGCCATGGTCATCCGATACATGTGACTAGGCTCAAAGACTTCTTCAACCAAGCCTGCGAGATGCAACACACACTGATCTGTCCATGGAAGAGAACAGTTACCACGGCGAAAGGCATGCAAGACGCCGACATTCCAACATCAGTAATCGCTAAATTGACTAACAAGAGATGTAATTGGTTCCGCATGGAGCGATTCCAAAACACCACGAGACACACGGAAATGTTACCAAGGATACCAACGAGCGTAGTGATACCCAGTAATATTCCAACTATAAGAATAATGCCTGATAATGGCATGCTTCACACAGCAGGTGCAGATGCACACAGCAAAGTAGTTTGGTCCTAGGAACCAGACAAACAGTTTACGACTGGTCATTTACTTTTATTATTCCATCTGTCTTTTTGTCTTTTTATATATCTGTGTCAGTATGGAACGCCAGAACTGTCTTATAGTACTTAATTCTATTATATGTGGTATATATTTTATTACACTCGTTGCCTCCCGCTGTATATTCAATGCTTTTTACATGAAATGAGGTGCAAAGCTTATTATATTCGGTTCAAACACCATCACATTCGGTGCTTTTTTCCATTATGTTTGACTCGAATACGACTATACTCGGTGCTTTTCCCGTTATATTCAGTTCAAACACCATTATATTTGGTGCTTTCTTCATTATATTCGGTGCTTTTTCCATTATTGGTTCAAACGCCAATATATTTCTACGTTTGTCGTCATGATCGTCACCAGTCTCCCATGTGGCCGTAGGGTTCGCAAGTAGGCTGGAGGAGGCCAGAAAAGCCCAGCATGCAATTCTGACCCTAAGACTAACATTTTCAGATATAGGGCCAATTCAAATTAACTTCTGGAGACTAGAATCACGCATGTCAAAAATTCGCTAACATGGAAGAGGGGCTGAGAATAAAAAATCCTCTTAAACGACATTGCTCGGGGAAATTTGCGACAAGAGCCGTCAAACACAACCACCGAGTCATTTTCTACCCATTCGTACTATTACAGTACTATCCTCTTTGATATTTATCATAATGCTTGGGTGCCCTGTGGTAAAACATTAAATATACCTGTTTACATTATTTTCTGAATCACGATTGGTAAAACTTGTTTATCTTAGAAACATAAAGCTTATGTCTTTGCTTGATTTGACATTCTCTTCTGTTACTTTTATAAAATTAACCAGCCATTATAAATAAGCTTTGGTTAACAGATTTGGGACGCCTGTAATAAAATGTTCAGCCACACTTCCTCTGAATGGCACTTTAGGGGAAATCCTAAAATGTTATCCTATCTAACCAAAATTCAACAAACGATTGATGCAGTGCCTAGGGTCCTTTCGACATTCTCGGACGCGTGTTCCTGAGAACTAGAAACCAACATGTGAACGAGGCTTAGAGGACAAAATGGATGCCAGCTCTGGTGCGGGCATCTTCAGCACTAAACCAGTTCCTTGGTTAAAAGAATATGTAAAACAAAGAGGCATTCAAAGCTCGGGAAAGCGCAAGAATGAACTAGTAGAACTTTGTGTAAAAAGTGAGGAGATAAAAGTCCCGAAAATCCCAGAAGAAGAAGAGCCAGTCGATCCAGCAATTTCAATGAAAGAGCAACTGAAAACTAACAATGAAGGGTACTTGGCCAATCCGTTGAACAAAGAAAATCAGGCTTATGGTAAATGGACCCACAATTTTTCGGAAGTACCAGACTTAAGATTTCCTGATCTTTTTAATTATCTAGTGGGAAAGGATCCCGGGTATAACGCCGAAAGCCTAAAAAGTTACAAATCTCTTCTGGGATACAAGTTGTACTTCGATAGACACGTAGAAGACCTTTGTTACCATCCGCCACAATCTAGGGAAGTTTGCCTATTCAGGAGCTACAAACAAATAGTGGTGGCTATGGTGTGACAGTAAAAGACTCTGCAAAGCCAAGAGATTTTAATCCACTTTGTATTCCTTATGACCCAGCTGAATTAGAACAACAGTTCAAAGCTGGGTTGCGGGAAACATTCCCAGGTTCTTCAGCTCTCCCTTTCTTACATTCAGCTGAAGAACCAGGGCAAACAGAGGAAGAAATCAGGGCTTTGATAAGTGATGATTTAAATGTCAGTAAACAAGAAAGTGTTCAAAGTGTTGATGTTTATTCAATGAGTGATTACGCTAAAGTGTTTGTTTCTGTTAATATTGAAAAAGTGACACCTACAGTCTCTACAGAACTTGCAACTGAGTTCATTGAGTCTATTTCATTTAATGAAGAGCAAGCAGAAATGATCAACAAAAAGACTGTCAATCAATCCCAGTCCCAATTTTGGTTTGATCAAGGGGCAGGAAGAATTACAGCTTCCTCATTTTACACCGTGTGCCACCTCAGAGAGAGCACAGACTAGAGAAACACTGTGAAGCATCTTATGAATTACTGTCCAATTGCTGAAGATGCAATGCCAAAACAGTTAACATGGGGTCATGAAAAGGAAAAGAAAGCACTTGATCTCTACATTAAAAAACAAAAGAGAAACCATGAGAAGTTGTCAATAAAAAACAGTGGACTAATAGTAAACACACTATGGCCCTTCTTGGGAGCCAGTCCTGATGGTGTTAGGATTTGTGAGTGCTGTCAGAAGAAGTTAATTGAAATTAAGAGCATGTATGCAAAAAGAAATCTCCCTCCACAGGTTGCAGCTGAGGAGAAGCTCGTGTTTGTTGGTGACAAATATATACTAAAAAAAGAAACAAAATGGAACTATCAAATTCAGGGTCTGATGGGAATAACAGGGATTCATTGCTGTGATCTAGTTATTTATACCTTCAAAGGAATATTGATTGTCAATGTCAAGTTTGACAGTGAGTTGTGGAACAAAATGCTTGAGAAGCTGAGAAACTTTTTCTTAAAGTACATAGTTCAGGAACTCTTTCACCATGACATACTTAAATCATTATAAGGGACTATCATTGGTGGTGAATGCTGACGCTCAATGCTGGATAATTCCTCAGTGGGTCTAAAGAAGATTTTTGATATGTGTTATTAACCATTAACATAAACTGACTGGTAATTGTTCAAAGTTACAAACTTATTGTGCTTCTCAGCTCACAAGGCAGCAGTAGTTATTTAGCCAGGGGTGGTAGCAAATTGCACAGAGCAGCACACACACTAAAAATGTTGTCAGCAATGGGCAGCATTGGAACAAGAAAGTTCCCTTGTAGAATTCTAAAGTCCTTAAGTCGTCCAATGGCACGTTCTACATAGATCCGAACACTGGGAATAGCACTGGTAGATTTTACTGCCTTCTTAGACAGTTGCTTTCCTGAGTAAAAAAAGAGATTTCAAATTAAGTAAATGCCAACTTGAGAAGCTACTGATAGAGAAGAACTTGCTGTTTTTCAGTCAAAGCTGTTTATGTTAAATATCAAAGCACCTAGAAAAGAGATCACATATGATGGGAACTGCAGCCTTTATAAACATATTTGTAAGATTGAGTTAAAGTAATGGTTACATGTATCTCCCTGATGAGCAGCTTGCCTTAACCATTAATAAAAATACTGATAAGAATTTGTACCTGTTAAGTAACTTCAACTTCATTGTTACTACCAATTAGATATAGGTATGTTGCTATATCAGATTTTTTACCAGCCTAAGGAGACCATCTGTTTGCTTTTTCCATACCTTCTCTCATTCCTTCCCTCTGAAACTCCCTTTATCTAACTAAACCACTAAACTTTAAAGGGTGAGTTTCCTTTGCAAAGTGGTGGGATATTAAGTGCTACTTTCTTTCTTGTAAGCAGATCCCTGATGTTGAAGCCTTTGTCTGCCATAACACAATCCCCCTCTTCAAGTTTGTCCAATAGACCACTTTTTTCAGTAATATATCTATCGCTGACATTTCCAGTCCATAGTTTAGAAACAAAGGTGAAATAACCTGTAGGTGAGATTCCCACTAGTGCTTTCATTGTGTTGTGCTGTTTATAGTTACTCCAGGTGGCCCTCTGGGCACTAGGGGATGTTGGCTTTTGTAAAAATATCTCAGTACAGTCTATTATTATTCTTGTGCTAGGAAACTTACAAAAAGACCGTGGTAAAGTTTACTTAATGCCTTCCTTACAAGACCATTTAAGGAGAATGTCACGAAAAACTGTAGACAGAAAACAAACCCAAGTTGTAAAGACTTTGCTAACTGTTCCCTCTGATACTCCAAATATATCTGAAAGATGTCTGCTTAAAAGCCCAAGTCTGAGTCTCACCAAAGTTAAGATGAACTCTTCCATAATGGTCAATAATCTTTGCTTTCCAGGCTTTTTTTTGCTTGAATCTTTTTGATACGTAACTTCCTTCTCTTTGTTTTTGTCCCAGTACTTAAGTTTTTCTGCAAAGGGCTTTAACAAATTAAATATCATTGTTAAGCAAGCCAGACTAGGTATCCCTGTGTAAAATTTGACTGACTCGTCATCTTTTAAAACATCATCCACAAATAGCTCTCTTTTCAGCTGCTTGCTGTTTGTCAACTTTGCCTTAAGATTTGCGTTTTCCTCCTTCAAAGTATTAATTTCACTGTTTAAAGCCTGTAAATCTTCAAAAGAAAAGTCTGTTTGAGTTCCCTTGTCATTGTTTAGAAGACGCTGACAATAATTGTGATCCAAAAAGAACTGCCTCGTTGCTTGTTGCGACCCAGGTATCTTTGCCTTCCTTTGTAACCGTCCTACTCTTTTTAGGTTTAGGACATTGCTCATGAGATGTTCGTTTCTTCCTATCATCCAGTCTTTTTTCACGAGAAGAAACAGGACCCTCGTTTGTTGAGGGATTAAAATACTTCGGCAATTCACCTGGAATAATTTCTCTTCTCCCGCCAAGGGAATTTTTGATGGAGGAAGCCTCGAAATGTGCACTGCAAATCCGAGGGTTTTTTTGACCTCGGAATTTGGGATCATTTCGTCGACAAAAGTTCTTCCAAAGCCTTCTAGAATTCTGTTCGGAAGGGAAGCAGAAAAAGGAAAGATCCGGACGATTCCTAGAACTGTTCAAGCAGTTCGCTACAGAACAAAAATTCACCATAACTTTGGAAAAATAATGGTAACTTACACATTACATACAGTGCACCGGTTTCTGTTTTTAATTTTCCCCGCGCGCGGTCCTCTAAGCCTCGTTTGCATGTTCATTTCTAGTTCTCAGGAAGGCGCGTCCAATGATATCGAAAGGACCCTTTTCTTACTCGACCTGCTCTAGTCGTTAGTGACACCGTTGTAAATATTTATGGCTTTTAGAAGTTGCCGCCACAGTTGCACAAACCAGTGCATGCCAGAGTAGCCTTTAAGCACTTGCATCGTCAATCGTCAATCTAACTTTGGAATCAATTTGTGTCCAAAAGCCCTTCATATTGTTAAAAAATTCAGTGGCTACTTAGAGGGATGTACACGAACCACTTCAAGAAATACAGTGAGAGAAGGAGAAGGATTTTAAACTTTGGGGGTATAGGATGAAAAAGTAAAAAGGCATTCATTGAAACTGTAACAACCTTCACTTTAATCTATCTTCTAACAAACAATGAAACTTCATTATCAAAAACCTATTGATTTACAAAAATAAAGCAAACTGATATGAGTGTGACAATTAAGTGATCAGAATTAAAGTTCTAGTTATGAATGACAACAAGGCTGTGCTGAATCTTTCTTGTCAAATGTTATATAAACTCTTCCATTTTTAACTTGATAACATTCATATTTATCTACACAACAGTAACTGAATCTAGTGGAAATTTCAACAAGTACCATAATAAAGGACCCGTTCAAAAAAGAGGTCTATCAAAGGAAACACCTAAAAGCCCTCTGCAACCACTTAACTCAAAACAAACTGTAAACTCCTTTTTTTAAAAAGAGAACTAGCCATAATTACTGGCAGTATATATATTAATGGTTACCCAAGTAGCCATTCAAGAAGGCACAGTCACAGAAATCAAATAGCTTGTCAGATTGAAGAGAGATATTAAGTGATGGTGTGGCAAAAGTAATGGCATTTATGCAAGTGTTTGCTAGTGGTAAGAATGAATTATAATAATTATCATTAAATACTAGTGTGGGATGCAGCTTAAATCTCAAGAGAGGTTCTTCATCTCACCCTGTAGTTAACCACAAAATAATCAGCCAAAGTTACTCCTTTTCGTCTCCCACCTGTTTAAACAGGCAAACAAAGAGAAGATATGAGTTTCACTGAATAATAAAATAATCAGATATGAAGAAAACAAATTAACCCTCCCTCCTATTGTGAACAAGTAGTCCCTCTAGATGTGCTGTACAGTTGTGTGCTGGATCTGGGTGCATGAAGTCAGACTAAAAGACCAACAGCATGGACCAAGTTTACCAGGAAGTCTTATTGATTGTTTAAAGAAATATTTCTTCAATTTGGAGCAACTTATTCTGTTAACAGGATGTATTGAACATAATATGTGTGTGCTTCGGTATACAAGGGAGACTATTACCAGTAATATTTTGTGATGAAGTTACATGATGATCACCACCCTCACTAAACTGCCTCTACTTTCCTTATCAAGACAATTAGGTTTGGAGTACAGACTTTGATATGCATGTGAAAGGTTGCACATCACACCTCCTCACAAAAAGAGATTAACAGTAGTTGGGAAATGGCCACTAAAGCATTGATTTGTTTGCACACTTACTTGTTATTTCTCACAGGTACCTGCTAAATGCAGCATAAATGACTCCTTCATAACATCTTTGATTTGATCCATCTTCAGAGAATACTGCTTCAAAAGGTTTTGTCAATTTCCCAATGGTAAGAGTGGCTGCTGTTTTGGGTCTGAAAATATGGTGAAAGACAGCAAACTGTCAGTAGACTTGTCAAAATAATTTTCTCCTCAACAAAGGGAAGAGCAATTTGTACAGATTTTCCCTGAATAAGAAGAAGTTATACTATTTTCATAAAACTGGAGCACTTGATGTTTGGAGATTTTTTTAATGTGGTGTCAGTTAGTGTCTTATTACCGTTGCTGTGATATCACAATTATATCAAAACATTTCCTGCCTGATTGCCCTAAAAACTTCTGGTTCTTAAATGATATTGTCAAACAATAAAGTATATGAATGAGTCAGGAGATATCTCTAGTCTCATTCCCACAGATATAGCTCTATTTAAGAAGAGAAGATGAGGTATGGTTCAGAGTTTGAAAAGATATCACTTTTATCTGCAAAATTTCTAGCTTGGTTAACCCCTTTTGCAGGTTAGCAACTGCTGATGATGATGAGTCATCCTGAAATATCTCATCCATTTGATCTGTTCAGAAAAAAAATTGGGGGATCTTCCCATTCTGAACAATGCTTAAGCCTGCAAAAAAGTTGTAGCATTTACTTATTGTGTATGTCCATTCTTCCAAAACTTGGACTAACAAGCAATTCATGTCAACTCTAACTGTGACATGTAAAGACCAAACACAAGCGAGTAAAAATGTTTGGTGGATTACAAGTCTAATCATGTTCTCTACTTCCAAGTAGTGTCATAACAGATGACCAAGAAAAGTGCACAAATCAATTTATTATCATGGATAGCAATTTCAGAAAAGTTGACTTAATAAAAACTGCTTGAGATTTTTACTTACTCAGAATCACACCAACTATAAAGTAATCATCTGCAAGAAGTTTGAAAGCTATTGAAAGCTATTGTCAAAATACTTCTCATTTATCTCTGCAAGTATCAGACAAAAGAATTCCCTTCATGGCCCTCCATAATCACAAGCAACCTGGAATTGAATAAATATGGAGATGAATAAATAAACAATTAATTAAACCCAAAAAGTAATAAGTAGACTCAGATTTTGTCAAAGAGAGGTGAAAGCAGAAGCCTGAACCACTTAATTCCCAATGCAAATTATCCTTTCTTGCCCTCACACCTTTCTCCTAGAAGTAATGTAACAACATTATAAAAATCTAAAGAGAATTCATCATGGATGCTCATGTCATCAATTCTTATTACCTTTCACTGATTACATGGTTATTTTAAATGGAGAAATTTTGCCACACTTAATTTTGATGCTTACAGGGTCGGGCTTTTGACTTTAGGAGAAAAGAGCAGAAAGTTGTAAATGTAACCAAAATTTTAAGCAAACTTACCTCACCATAGAATGAAACTTCTAAAGTTAAGCGAAGGTTTTCGAATGCTCCTTCTTCAAATGTGGTTTCAAGTAAGTTCATTCTATCCACATTGATGTGATTTGTTCCCCCTCCAAGGTTTCGCTTTTTGATTCAAGCACCAAGGCCTCACCAGTGACAATGTATTTTAACATGCAACGCAGAATCTCCAGAGGATTTTGAATATTGTTTGCCCACAAAAGGTTGTTACAGTGTCAATAGGATCCTTTCATCTTTAACACTGGGTTGACTGGACTCTACAGGGGTGAAATCCTGCTCGCCTACAGCTTGAGTATTCTGCAGTTACAAAGGATTATCAAGTGATAAAGCATCGACTTTACTCTATAGAGTGTGGCTTTCTTTAGTGGTCTGCCCCTCTGAGTCTGAATCACTATTAAGACTAGCGATGCACATGTAAAAAGAATGAGTACGAAAACTCACTCATTGGGAATTCCTTCTTGCAGCTTATGCATCTCTCCTTCACTTCACAAGAAGTTTGAGGAATAAGAGATTTGGGAGACAGATTTCTTTGAATTGGCCTGAGACAGATCTTTGACTGGCCTCCTAGATTGCATCTCAATTCCCTGGTGGACCAAGAACACTTGAGGGGAGTTAAGTCTCGGCAGTTTTGGAAGACAGGGTTACGCCTGTATCACGTAACTGTGGAAAGTCCTTCACGTCACTCGCTTCATCTTTCTCATCTGAAATCAGTTCATGATGTACAGAAGTTTCGTCATCATCTCACTGGAGTTTAATCTTCTTCACTCACAAGCCGGCCTTTTGCAAAGTTTGCTTCTCGGTGGCTGTGGGGATTTTGCACTGATACTTGTCTACCAGGCAGACAAATTGAACACTCCAGGTACGTGCGTGTCGCTTTTTGCTATTCCTGGATTGTGTCCTGGAGCGTCTAGGATTAAATAGCCGGCGGATTGCATCAGCTGAAGGTCTTTCGCATGATGTTGCTACATTTCCACCGCCAGTGGAGGTCCCAGCACTGCTTTCTTCGAAGTTTCTGCAAAGCAGCCGCAAACACCAAGGCGCTCGATTTGCTCGTCTGTCAAAGCCAAAATTGCGGAAGGAATGATCCGTTCACGTCTAAATTGAGCTACCAAACTCTGTAGATGAACCTTACTCAAAGTAACCTCCATTTCAAGCTGGTCAAAATGAGGAATGGCATTGGCTGTTTTTCAGGCCTTCCCAGACTTCCTCTAAATTCTACGGCCCCTCCGAGAGATTGGTGACGATCATAACGACAAAAGCACCGAGTAGAACAACGCACCCAATAATATATAGATTTAGCCAAGCCTAAAAGCGGAGCTCGCAATTTTTTTCCCGCACGTCTCAAGGGCACAATGCCTTGCCCGGCCAGGACTAGAACCCGAGTCGTCCGACTCGGAGCCCAATGCACTGACCACTGGACTACTGAACAAAGCCGTGGCGTTGGCGTGCCCGCGGTACAGTTGACTACGCATGTTAAATGTAGCACCTTGTACGGTCGTACGGTCGTACATCCAAATTTTTTCGGCTTGATGGGTTACTACTATTTTGTATAATTATGGGGCTACGCTCTGCGGGTTCCGCTATAATGGTGTTTGAACCGAATATAATGAAAAAAAGCACCGAATATAATGATGTATAAATCGAATGTAATGGAAAAAGGACCCAATAGAATACTGTTTGGACCGAATATAATGGAGAAAGCACCGAATATAATGGTATTTAAACCAAATATAATGAAAAAAAGCACCGAATATAATGGTGTTTAAAACAAATATAATGGAAAAAGTACCGAATAGGTAGCGTTTGAACCGAATATAATGGTGAAAGCACCGAATATAATGGTGTTAGAACCCAACATAATGGGAAAAGCACTTAATATAATGGTGTTTAAACCAAATATAATGAAAAAAAGCACCGAATATAATGATGTATAAATCGAATATAATGGAAAAAGGACCCAATAGAATAGTGTTTGGACCGAATATAATGGAGAAAGCACCGAATATAATGTTGTTAGAACCCAATATAATGAGAAAAGCACCGAATATAATGGTATTTAAACCAAATATAACGAAAAAAAGCACCGAATAGAATGGTGTTTAAAACAAATATAATGGAAAAAGCACCGAATAGAAAAGCGCTTGAACCGAATATAATGGAGAAAGTACCGAATATAATGGTGTTAGAACCCAACGTAATGGGAAAAGCACTTAATATAATGGTGTTTAAACCAAATATAATGAAAGAAAGCACCTAATATAATGGTGTTTAAAACAAATATGATGGAAAAAGCACCGAATAGAATAGCGTTTGAACCGAATATAATAGAGAAAGTACCGAATATAATGGAAAAAGCACCGAATAGAATAGTGTATAAACCAAATATAATCAAAAAAGCACCGAATATAATGGTGTATAAACCGAATATCATGGAAAAAGCGCCGAATAGAATAGTGTTTAAAGACAGTCAAAGGAAAAGCACTCAAAGTAGTTGTATTTGATTTAGTACCGAATAACTTTTGCTTAGCCTTAAAAATCATGTTTCTGCGCGATAGTGAACTTTCATTTGGTATTGGTCTTCCATAGTATTAGATGGTAAAGCAGATGTTAAAGTACGTTCCTGCTTTTAGTACCATGAATCAATGCAAAAAAGCTGTAAAAAATCGCTCCCTTCAGTCGCTGAGTTGTAAAAAGTTGATAGAAATGATGTTGAAATTTGTAGATTAAAAGAGTCTTGAACAAAATTTTGAACTGACTCGTCAGTTAGGAATTCTGCAAGCATTTCTAGGGTTTAAAAGGGTTAGGTCAAGCGATACGACAGATAAACTTCCAAACAGCAGGTTTACTATCATTTAAAAGATAATGATTTCTGGAATCATTTAAAGGTACATATCTAAGCTTGGAAAAGACACCTTCACACACGGAACATTTCAAGTTTCATCACATTTAATCAGCTTCACCCGTCGATCAGCGAACAGTAAATGTTGAGCGGATGGTGCAAATGAAAGCGCAGCAGTGAAATTTGCTTATCATTCGCTAGGCGGAGGGCAGCCGAGTAAATTGTGGTTTTCAGACCACTTACCGTGAGGCTTGTGCTGAAAACAGGAGTTAACAATCTGAAAAATCTGTGAAAAATTGTGGGCTGAAGGAAAAGATGACCTGAAGATAATTCATCCATTTCAAGACTGAGTTTCAATAACTTTGACAGTGAGAAGAAATTAGTGACGATGCTTCTTTAATTTGTTATACAAGTTGTGCCTACTGCTCTTTTCTTCCCCTAATCGCAGAACTCTTTTCGTGTGAGATTTTTCCTAGAGTACTGAAGCATATAAACATTAGTATCATTGAAGATACCCAAGTTCAATCAGCGCGCGCTTCAATCTAACCGCTTTAGGCGCGTGCGCTATGACGAAATAAACGTGCGCTGCTATGACGATGGAAAAAGATCAGCGAATAAACAGATGATCATATTTGGATTCCGTTCCGCAAGGTGATCAGTGATTGTAGCGAATTTAGCTTTAAAAACACTTCTTATTTTCAAATTCGGTCCAGGGCTAAGAAGGATACAGTGTTACTGTTGTAAATTTGAAAGTTTGTGAAAAGAAACAACCACTTTGGTTACGGTGAAAGAAAATTTCAGATTAAGTGCACAGAGCGAAGTCTAAACTGATCAAGTTAGTAGAAACTTTTCGCTGTGTTTCCTGTTGTTGTTTGCGGGTGAGTAAGTCCAGTCCCGATCATCGTTCTGAGATAGTTGGAAAAAGCGAGAGCAATTTACACTCCATTAGAACAATTTCCTTTCCATAATGAAAAATTCAAAAACAAATTAGAAAGTTGACAACTTGTTTAATTGGTGAAAAAACGGCATTCTTTAGTGATATCCTCCAAACTATGAAGCCTCCTGCACCAGTAAGCAACATTTCATGCTCTGAAAAACTTTTCTGGAGAAATCTTATTGTGATTGGTAGTTAAATACGTCGCTTCAGAAACAAGCAAATCCCGAAGGCGATGAAAGCTTACCTAATCTCCTGGATTTTAAACCGAAAGTTTGTTGATTTAGCGATAAAAAGTTGATTTGGAGAGACATGATTATTATTAATATTTCTATCCCTTGTATTTCACTCAGGCATGTGGTGCAGCTCATTAAATACCAGCGAGCCTTCAAAGTTTCCTCAAGAAAGCTCCACAGATTCATATCTGTCGTATGGCGGTGGAAAGCTGCCATCGGGTTTCATTCTTCAACACAATTTCCAACAAAACCCAAACAGAAATCTGCTGGTACCCCAGCCTCAAATTCAGTACTACCCTTGGGGTAATCCGACACAAGCGATGAATTATAGATTCCCATATGCGTCTTACATGGATCCAATCCACGGGCATATGCCTTATACACCTCATCCACAACAGCTGCTTCCAAACGCCGTAAGTCAAAGTTATTTTCGTTTGAAAGCACCTTGCGAGCTTCCACTACCCATACAAATTGTGCCCTTGTCCTTCGTGATTCTCAGAATCATTTCGTCAGTTTGACATCGTGATCCGAATCCTTCTAAACCAAAACTCAGCGCGCAAGTTTTCAAGGTTGAGAAAGAAATTGTTCTAGAACTAGGGCTGAATTTCGAGTGCACCCGTTTCAGTGGCTAACAAACACACTCACCGCATCCTCTATTCCGAAGTGTACAAGATCGATGGATCAACCCACAGCATAATCGACTCAACGGTTGAAAGAATATCTCATTATATTAACTGTGAGTTCTAGGAGCGAAAGTAGTCAACGTAACATATGATATACTCTCATATGAATACAAGGCCAGGGTAAAGTATTCCATTAGTTTTTCAGACATTTTAATGCTGAAGTATTGGTTTTGTCTTGACAATTCAAGCTTGTAGAACTTTACATTTTTGTTCAAAACAGGGAAAAAGCGTCATTGTCACCAAATACAACAATGCACTTCAAGATAATGAGTTCCTGGACGAGGAGATGGAAGAGCAAAAGAAGCGAAACAGTTTACTTATGCAGCGTATTTCAGAAATACAGAAAGAATTGAAAACAGTGAAGGAAAGCACTGCTAAACTCTACAATGAATGCCGGTCCGTCGATGAAACATGTGAAAGATTTTCCAAGCAGCTCGACGAGGAGAAAAGAAAATTGTTGGAGACTATCGAAAGAAAGAGAAGCGACATTTCAAAGGTTAAAGTTGATGCTGAGTTGGTGGCAGCTCTGCGAGAGGAGAAAGACAGATCTCTTTTGGAAATTGCGCGTCTCCGTGACGACGTCATTGATGCGGACATTGACGTTGATAATCTAACGATTGAATACCAGTATGAACTTGGTAAAATGGTTATATTTCCCTTCTGGAAGCTGGAAGAGGAAATTGATAAAGTTCTTCCTCATTGTGGTAGAGGATCCTGTGTTGAGGAGAGCAGAAAAGAGCGAGCTGCAGACACAAATGGTGGCCGTTTCTGTCAAGAAAGGGTAAGTCAGATTATTTCCCGTCCACGAAAATCGCTTGCGCGACAGTGGACTCCTGCTAATAAAACAAAGATGATGTTCACATTTTTAAGATAACTCATTGAAAGAAGATTGGTCGAAACTTAACAAAACGATCACAAAGAGAATTTTCCGCCTGTACTGACTTACTGTTAAGTTATTGGTACTTGTTTTAAATGGTTAAAACTGAATATTAGCTGGATTTTGTTGTAAAAGGTGACACCTGAATGACTATTTTTCTTCTTTCTTTAACAGTTCGCACCAGGCTCTAATGAGAGCTCAGAGCAAACCACGTTGAACGACAGTTTGGAAAGAAACTCGGCAGAAAATTCTAAAGAACTGTTAGGGAAAAGCTCCCAAGAAAGCTCACAAAATGATGAAACATCAGTTACATCACAAGTAACCGTCATAAAAGTTAACATTCCGGTGGAACACAGTCACTCTGTCGACAAAAGTTCAACAATCAATGAGTCTGCCTCGAACCAGTTCAGTCCGCCATCTACTGATGATGTTTGCGTGGAAACTGGAAGTAAATATGTTGAAGATTTGTCATTTCCTCACAGCAAAGCTCAAACAAAACCGGGAAAGAAGGTAGGTGGTTGCACATGCTTATGCGCTGCCTTTAGGTTTATATCACTAATTCTGTATCTTACTGGTCTTTTAAAATTAAACCCCTTAGATAGGTTTTTTTTTTCATCTTGAAAAACTGTTCTGATCTCGAAATCGCCGAATTTCACCGATGGTCACGGTGGTTTGATATATCCTAGGACCTTGTTGGATGGCCTGGATACTACCATTTATATTTTAGACCCAAGTATGGTTGTTCTAGATCTGTAAATATTTCATGCGATTAACCACTCGGTGGAATTTTCTCTTATAGTTAAAATAAAATTCTAGCTCATAGGACAGCTCCTCCCATGTTTGTTTCCTTCAGATGTACCCTAACATGTTCTCTTTTACTTGCCTTTAACAGATTCGTAAAACCGGTCGCTTTTCTCGATGGCTACGGAGCCTCTGCTGCATATCGAAAAGAAACAAGAACCAATGAACTTGTTCAATTTTATTAAGAAAACAGATCTGGAATCTTTCAGCTGTTTATCATTTTGTGATCGTTCACAAAATGATTATGTGATTATTATATACATTATTATATGTAAGGTGTTACGCAAAGTGGACATATATAATATATTTCATGTCGTGTCGTTTTGCGACGGCAACGGACACATCTTAAAGTTGGCTTTAATAAATTTTTTTATGATAAACGAAGGTGTTTCTTGTTGCTAGACTCGCTTGTACCGCCCTTAAGATCCCCGCTCCTCTCTTGAAAGTATCAAACGTACAAGTAGGGGTTGAAATTTCCAAACATTCTGCCACCTGACGTTAAGACAATCGTGCGCAAAAAAAAATATATCAGGAACTGTAGCCGGAAGTAGAGTGCTCTAATGATTTCCATGGCCTGACTTCCATGTTATCTTTTTTCTTTTGTTTCTTCTTCATTAGTATCTTTGGACATGCAACAGCAAAAGGTACTTGTAATTGCTATTTTGAACTTTCTTGCTATATCTTTCAATGTATCTTGATATTCAGGGTGTTTGAATGCGTAAATAAAAGGATCGCATGCGCTATGCAAGTAAATAGCCCAAAACGACAACTGCCCCAAAAAATCGGGTGGATGATCTAAATCTTTGGTTGTGATGACCAAGAAGACGAAAAACGGAGTACGACAAACCAGAAATGTCAGAACCACAAATGACATTGTCATACGCAGTTTCGTTTCCAAAGAAACGGGAGCACCTGCGACCGGTGCTGGCGAGATGGATGACGTCACTGCCATGCGCGATTGGTGTTCATGCAACGCTCGTAAAATACTGACGTAAGAAAAAATCATGAAAACACCAGGAAATAAATAACCGCAAAGCATCATGGTAATATTGTAGGAAATATCTGCTCTGTTTGTAGAGTGATAATATTCGCAGTTGAAAATGTTTGAAGTGAATTCGTAGCGCCCCCATTGTATCGCGGGTCCCGTGGCGAGGAATATAGAAATAACCCATATGCATAACACCATGACGAGGCAGCGGAAGTTGGTGAGAGATTTGTTCATTGGCAAAACAACAGACACGTACTGGAAAACACACAGCGAACATATTGTAAGCACACTGGCCATCGCGAAAAGCGTGTTGATGAAACCGTTGAAGTAACAAAATGATTTATCTATGGTCTATGGAGAGATAGAAAGAAGATAGAAAGTTATGTGCCGTAGGCCACAAGTTTACGTTAATAAGCCAACCCTTAAATTCCAATCATCTGATTTTAAACTTCTATGCAATTCCTTGTAAATAAGAGAGAAGAGTTTGGCGTTAGATCAAGGTAAAGTCCTTCCCCCGATACACCAGTCTATTTTCATTACCTGTTTAGTGAATGATATATTAAAGTTGTGGAGAAAAGTTAGAATTTAAGACTTAAAGCGCCAAGGAACTTCAACTTTGGTTGCCAAACCAACCAATATGCGATTGCGTTTGTCACCAGTCTCTAACTGTTGCTCCAAGAAATAAATTTTTATTTTCTTCGGGAATCAAAGTTCAGTCTCGAACGAGCTTAGATTTGATAAATCACTTACGAGCAGCTGTCACTAAAAAATTGTTAGAATTTCAATATCAGTCTACAGGGAAAAATTAGTTTGTTTGTTAGCTTCAATGAGGTGTTGGTTTCTATGTATGTTTTATCATCTTATTTTCTGTCGTTTTACATAGAAATATAAAAACCTTCGCAAAGTATTCGCTGAATTTTCAACCGAATCGCTAACTATACCCGTGAATTAAATTGGAAATGGAGAAATTAATTCAGTGTCATCCAAGCCATGATATTATTTCATTTCAAGCAGATAAAATAGGAAAACTATTTATTTAACATTACAGATTAGAAAGAGAGAAAAACAACCATGGCCATCCGATACATGTGACTAGGCTCAAAGACTTCTTCAACCAAGCATGCGAGATGCAACACACACTGACCTGTTCATGGAAGAGAACAGTTGCCACGGCGAAGGGCATGCAAGACGCCGACATTCCAACATCAGCTATCGCTAAATTGACTAACAAGAGATGTAATTGGTTCCGCATGGAGCGATTCCAAAACACCACGAGACACACGGAAATGTTTCCAAGGATACCAACGAGTGTAGTGATACCTAGTAATATTCCAATTATGAGAATAATGCCAGATAATGGCATGATTCACACAGCAGATGCTCGCGAAGTAGTTTGGTCCTTGGAACCAGACAAACAGTCTAAGATGTTTTCCACGGTCTTGAACTAGATTGTTTTTGAATCTCAGTGATAATGGTGGGATGCTTTATAAGTCCTCTAGAACAACGTAAACAGCTTCGATGATTCAAATGTGGGCAATCTTAGAGTGATAACTTAGCGTTAATTGAATTCCAGTACAACTTGCACAAACCTTCCGTTAATCAATTGGCTTGAATCTTTCATAAGCCTTGATCTTGAGTGTCTACGATTACCTTACTAAAGAGTAGCTTGAAGGTAATTCAACCGTAGCAAAGCAAGGTTTCCAATAGCCATCATCAAGTGCTGAAATAAAAAAACCGACTCTTTAAGCCGAGCGGTCACTCAGAGGCGATACCAGTACACCTTTGTAAGCAAGTTTCGATTTACCCCGTCTCAGTGGTCGCTGATTCCTTATTGTAAGCTTGAGGTGTAAAACCTCTAAAATTTGCGTCTGTTTTTAAAGTCAAATCGTCATGTCAAATCAAGACAACACAGTATTCACGGAAGCAATCGTCGATGAAAAATCCTGTATGGTCTCTAACAACTTGGCTTCATTGGGACTCTTTTAAGCACTCGAAAGGTGTTACATAGGGTAATCTTCCGGTAAAAAACAATGATCGATGTGTGAAGTTAAGGAGTTGATCTTTTGGTCTTTGTTTTTCACTACATGGTGAAATTTAGGTTAGATTGTTTAATAGTGAGGTGGAGAAGTACCTGTCATCACCTGTTCGCATCAATTATCCTTCCATCGGGTGATCTTTCAATTGAAAACAAGACACTTATGCATCATTTGTTTAACAAGAGAAAAAATATATGCCTCGGAGTTTCTGAGAGATGCAATCAAAAAGCACGAACGGGCCCACTTCGCGATCCCGTGATGAACACTTTACAATTTTTTTGCTACAAAGTAAATTCAATCGTAGCAAAACTGTTGGGAAAGAAGGAAGGGTAAACTTACTCTGAACTAGCGTCTAAACGACATTGCGTTAGAAAAAAATGTTTCCAAACATATTTTATCCAGTAACTATTTATTTGTATTTTTCTGGTGGAAACATGGATAGACAAATCGCGGCCGCGCTCACTGACTTTAAAACCTCTATATATTTGGCAGCAAAAATTAGTCATAAAAGCAAACGATATTCCGAACGTTCAAAGATTTTTTTTCGGTCTGAGAAAAATAAAAATGGGTCTGTTTTCGAATTTTCAGTATGATTGATCAGGTGATTATACCCTCGCACTTATTGGTCGAGAATTACGTCATACCCGCAATACATCCTACTCGTAATCACTCCGCCCTGAGGAAACCATATACTTAGGCACTTGCTTTGGAAATGGCCAGCGTGCAAATTGTTTTTGTTTCCGAAAAAGGAAATATGAGATGATTTTTCGTTCTAATCAGCATCTGAATAATCATACTGTGACGAAATCCTGTATTGTTTAGTTAACAATCATGTAACTCGAGATAGCTGTAATCCAACCCGCTTTAAGGGTGTGCTCACTTTTTGACCTCAGTAGAGTTGGATCAACACACATTCCGCTTGGTATTCATTACTGCCACCTTATTTTATATGTCCTTCTTAAGACTAAGCCCTGATGAACGTCACATATACCACAATCTATTATTCTTCCCATGCTCAGCGAATATTGTCAAATAATTGTTAAAAAAGTATTTTTTTTACATTTTTCGCGTTTCTCTTTATAATATATCATAAACAATCTTATAGTTCTATGTTCTCTTCTTTCTAAACTGTAACTTTTATGGCTCATAATTCATGTCATTTTGTCTTCTCTCTTTTTCCCTTTCTTTCTTTTTTTTTCTCTATGAAGACCCTTGATTTTTTTCTTTTCTTCTGTTTCCAATGCCGTACCTGACGAAATATCAGAAAATTCAATCTTTACATAAAACTGTAAGTTCAGAAAACTATCGTTGAAATATCATATATTTGCTAATTAAATTATTTACTAGTATTCGGTATATTTGTGGGGACATTTTTCCTTTGACCGTTTGGTCCTTAAAGCTGCCCATGAATTTTTGGCGAGGTAATTACATTTATTTCAATCATAATTTGCAGTGGGATATTTCTTGATCGAACCAAAAACAAACATAAACAGTAAGAATTTTGTACCTTACAAAGTAATTTAGTTACTGTTTGACGCTTACATTCCAAAAGGATCTGGGGTAGAACGAGTTTCTGCCAGGCGTTTCTTGTATCAGACGCTCTTCCATCCGGGATAGAGTCATTTTAAATTTTCTAAGCGATCTGATTGGCTTAGAATAAACGATCGGGAAATTTAACAAAATGTTAGCGTTCTTTCGCTTTCCATGCGTGAACTACACATGATTGTCTTTTGAGTTTTTACCAAAAATTTACAAGGCTTTGTCGTTTTCTGGCTTTGAAAGAGATCATGTAAATTTTAGAAGGTCATGCCGACGGCTGGTGAAGCGAGACTGAAATCGCAATCATCAAAAAAGACAGCGAAAGATGCGTAAGTACAGTGCGAAAGTAAATTAAACGTTGGCAGGTTTTGATCTCAGGAAATATTATGTGCTGGTCGTTGTTCTCAGAGCCCAATGAAACTACTTTTATGGGAACCACTCTTAGCCTGGCTCTATTCATGAATGGTAAAGGCAATTTTTTGGGAGAAACAAGTCAAAGGTTGCCGACGATCGACATCTTTCACGCTCACTTGTTTCATGTTTTGTTTATTTATTGAGCGAGGATAATTTCAAATGTCTGTGAAATCCAATATATGAAAATCATATATGAACAGCGGTTAAAGACGTGAATATGAAAGCGATCTTCGCAGTAATGAACACTTCTAAGTACAGGCTTGAATTTTTTTTCAGGCCTTATTATCACTACTGCTCAAGTAATGTTCATTACTGCGACGATCGCTTTCATTTACAGGATAATTTCAGTTGAACAGATTTCGATTAACATAAAGGCCTAGACTAGATTACATGTGTCTCATCAGTCTAATCAGTTTGTTAAATGCAACACTTCGATGTCGAAAACACGAAACAAACAGCTGTTTAACAACATGCGTTGTGAAATCACCGACTGAAAACATCTGATAAAATATGAGGTCATATGCTTTGATTGTACAGCCATGTAAATTATCGTATTTAATGTTACCATGTTTTCATCTATCAGAGCTTCCCATAAAGGAAATACCAAGGCAGTCAAGCCCAGATCTACTAATACTGGGGAAGGTTTGTGTTTTCAAAATTTTTCGTGATCGTACATTACTTCTAAAAAAAAAAAACAAACAACAACAACTGTCGCAGCAACATTCACAACGAAAGTTTTTAGGGGGGTAAACATTATGGTAATCAGTTGCTAAAATTGGATTACAAACAATTTTCTCTTAGCATTAAAGAGCAAGAAGACCACATCAAAACCAACTTCAGGGAAAAGGTAAATAACATTTACATCATATCTCAAGTGAAAGATTATTTGGGATTGTCCAGTCATTTACTGTATGGAAAGTCAGACTGAATAAAAGGGGGATAGTAAAAATATGTTTAAAGCTTTATTATGTACAAATGAAAGTCATCATAGTGGAAACGTTTCATGTGTAGTATTGCTTTTTTAGTTCAATTCCAGTCCCTGTGAAGAGAGGAGTGAAAGGAAAAGAAAATGCAGATCCAGTAAGATAATCATGTACCATTTAACAATTATATAATAAGCTCAGTTATGCAAGCATTCTGATTGGTTCTTACTTATGATCTATTGGAGGACAGACGTATAGATGATGTCATCATTAAAACTTTTTTTAATTCTTTATTATATAAAACAAATAGATTCCAAGTTGCTGTGTGTCTGTTCAGTAATAGATCACAGAGGACGTCAAAATGTGGTAAGAACATCAGTGACACACTTGGCTGCACCTTGTGTGCCACTTTTTTGTTCTTACCACATTTTGACGTCATCTGTTATCTATTACTGAACAGACACACAGCAACTTGGAATCTATTTGTTAAATAGATTCCACATAACCATGTGACTGCTCAGTAATCAATCACAGATGATGTCAGAATTGTGGTGAGAATGGAAAAAAGCACACAAGATGCAGCCAAGTGTGACACTGATTTTCATACAGCATTTTGACATCATCTGTGATATGATCTTGTACAGACCCACGGCAACATGTAATCTATTTGTTTTATATGATTAATTAAAAAACAAACCGTTGTCAATGATGGTGTTATCTATGCATCTGTCCTCCAATAGATCATAAGTAAGAACCAGAACCTTTATCAAGGTTTGTGCAAATCATGGAGAACATGGAAATTTTCTTGGAAGGAAATTTGTTGTTGATTATGAAATTTTAAAGTCACTGTGTTTTTATTGTTATTATTATCATATTATTATTATAATTATTTTCATTATTATCATTAATAGTAGTAACACAGTGAGTAAAAAATCACAATTAAGCTCAAAACTTGATTCTGATTGATTGATTGATTGATTCTGTAAAGGCCATCAAGAAATCCACAAAAGTTAAAAAAGCTCCAGACTTCAGTAAACTTCATCAAAAATGGGAAAACCAGTTTTCCAAGGTAAGCTGTGATATTTAATTTTGCAATACTAATTTTTTGCAATACTGCTACATAAACATGTTCAAACACAGGAGCCAAGACCTATTGTGCATCAGATATATTGTTTGTTTGGTTGACTTTGTAAGTTGGTCAAGACACACATCAGTGCTAAATCAATTTTATTGGTTAGCAAGCACTAAACTCTTGAGAGTGTTATTTCTCAAGGGAAGAAGAGAGAGGATGCTGAGAACAAGGTTGTCTGAATTTTCAAAGTGCTTGATCTGTTTTGGTGTTGTCCATAATTTTGAGTTTTCCTCTCTTGGAGTACAGATGATTAAACATCTCTGGCCATCAGTTATTTTAGTAACATGTACACATACATTCCTTCAATATTTTTTCTTTCTATTTCATTTTTCAGGGCAAGGCTGTTACAAAGAGGAAAAACACAAGGGTTAGTATACTGATTGACTAGTTGTATATTGCATAGTGTTTAGACTGAAGTAAGATTGATCCTGCAAGCTGTATCCTTTTACATATCACACTGTTCATGCACCAAAAGAATTTGCCAGCCAAGACAATCTTGTAATCTATTGATTTGAGCAGGAGTAAGAAACTGGAAATGATTTTTATTTTACATGTATTCTTTTTGAAATTGTGTACCTTTGTGCTTACTTGGTGTATATTTTATTACCCAGTATTAATACCAAATTACCATAGGAATAAGATAGGTACACATACAATATTTCCTTGAATAAGTGCCCACACTCTGGTAAGTGTCCTCCCCTGAACAAGCACTTACCCCCTCCCCCCCTTAGGACATAATGTCAGAAAGGCAATCCCCTCCCCTTCTCCCTCACCTTTCGTGATAGTAGGGATACAAGGAAAACATGTTTCTATTGCCAATTTATTTGTAACTGTTTAAGCTTCAACTACGGTGGAATCAGTACAAGAGTACTGTAAATGCCAGTAAGTGCCTTCCACCCTCTGAAATTGCCTGGGCACTTATTTGAGAAAATATGGTACAACGTGATAGACATGTAAATGTACGTACCTGGAAAGATAAATTCCTTTTACTGATGAAAGCAGGATGATTATTGTTGGTTGGTAAGGCTGGATTGTGAAAAATATTATTTCCACTTGCTGTCCATAGCAACAGTGAGACCTATTTATTATAGGAGAAAACTGTTTTATTTTACCATACCATAATGATTTTATTTTCAGTTTAAACCCTTTGACCTTGCTATAAGTGGCCAACAAACTCAAAAGTCAAAAAAACCATATGCTTATAACAGTGAAGATGAACAGGACGCAGTTGCAGATAGTGACATTGATGACTTTGAGATTGACACCACAGCTTTGAAAGAAATCTTAACTAATACAGGAATTAAGGTAAAACGGGTTCAGGATCATTCTATGTAGACTTGTCATAATTGTTAAGCAGTAAATTTCAGGGAAAGCTAATGGAATGTGGTACAAACTCTTAGGGCAAATACTTCTGTACGAATGTCATCCTTTTAATTTAGCCAATCCATGTGGTTTCCTTTCTGCGAAGGAAGCTATGTGGATTGGCCAATTTTTCCAAGTGCAGTTTTGTGCCCTTTTGAATGGCATCTTTTAGCCCTTCTTTCACAGCATAGTGCGTTGCAAGAGTAAAAAAAAAAAACAGACCCTGCAACGTCTGTATAGATTAGCCCAGAATCATATAACCTCTTGTATGTAGAGCGTGAGACTAGCCAATCAGAATTTACTTCCTAATAAGGAGTTGTTTATCTTCAATGAAGTTTACTGAATGCGTAATAAATATAGAATATTACACGGCCGTGCGGAGATACGAAAGACGAAATTTCTCTTTCTTCTGCTAGCAACATTTATAACTCTAGAAACGCAAAGCAAATTGTAGTTTCGCTGCTCACATTTTTCACCTTCTCGCTGTCTTGAAAGCACATGAATTGAAATGTCAAAATATCCTTTCGTGTTGATGAAAACTCAGAACACTGTCGAGGGCAACGGACTAAGTAGTCATAGAGGGACTGGTCATAGTCTTAACTTTTCTAGTGATTGTAGATCAAATTGAAATCTGCTAATACTGAGTGACCCCGGGTGAGGAACTCTTTTGAAACTGCAGCACATTCTTCATGTCAGTTATTCAATGGTTATTCCATTAGGACGAGGATCGCCGAATTACTGGTCGAGCGACAATTGCAGGAATACCCTCAAGGTGACAAACTATTTTTATTCAATTACTTTTTATACAGTACTTACAGATTACAGTTATATATTATAAAGATACAACTTACTAGGCTAGCATAACTTGCATAGACGAGGGCCAACATTTCCGAGTACAGTTCGAGCAAGCAAGGTTTGTAAATAGTTTATCAGCTATATAGCACTCAGATCAAAGTTGTATATTTTGAATTTGCCGGCTTTCGCGGACAAAAATACACGGCTTATGAATGTTCCATGGAAATGGTCCGTGTAACAAAATACCTACCAAGCAAGAACCAATCTGAACGCTCGGTTTTATCTTAAAACTACCTTGCCATATTAAAAAGTGCTTACTTTTTAGTGCCGATATAGATTTCGTCTGTGGGTTAATATTTCAATTCACACATTGATTACAATATGGTAAATTTTTCATCTCTTCCTGACAGCAAATCAGGCCTAACAACTCATTTAGCAGAAGAGACTGCCAAGAGAACTTCGATTTATTATACGGGACCGACAACCCAGCATGCTTTGGAAGCGTCAAGTCGTGTGTTCCGTACACCACGTGCTGCACTGACCAATGCGTCCTCCCTGAAACAGCGTCAAGTTGACAATGCACTCGCTACGTCCCAGGCTTCCTCATGCGTAAAGAAACAGGTAGCCTGGGCAGACGAAGGTAAATGATTTTAGCAGTTTACCTTTGAAGAGAATTTGGAGCAAGGAGTACTTTGATCATTGTAGCGCCTTTCCTCTGGAAGCCAACGTAAATGATAATTGGCCCTTTTCAGGTTCTTGTTGCCACTGTTTGGAAAAAATTCCTCGTGGAAATGTACGACAATGAACTCAAGCGAAAAGAGTTTCTTCATATTTTGCGCAGAACAAAGTTGGCCTCGTTTTGAAATCGAGACAAGCCTAGTGGTATCTCGGACAACTCTGAGTCTCCCAAGATCTGATTGGTTTACATTAGAATAAAAACATCTAGCTGATAATTTAAGTTCGTCTGTTCTCAGCCACTTCTAAATAGTAAGATCATTTTTCTTTCAATGTCTTTCATTTTTCTTTACGTTCCAGAAAACGAAGAATTCGAATTTCAACCTGATAGCCAGGCCCTACAAAGTATTCTGAGCAACACAGGGATAACTTTTAACCAATCTAGCGCCCAGCCCACCGGCCGAGTGACCTTAGCAGGCGGGCGGGTCACTCCAATCCGCAGAGCACGACAGTCCTTTCGGGAGGTAGGTGTACTTGTTTAGTCAATAGAACACTCATTTTCAACAGAGTTGTTTCTTTGGAACCTTACGAAACCACGACATTGGCAAGAAAGTCGATACACGTAGAGTTTACTGTAAAAAAACATTGACAGGGAACGTGAGAATATGAATTTGTTGGGTCTCCTTTGCTTTTCTTACAAAACAAAAACGTTTAACAATTCGAGGACTTTCGAGAACGTTTTGCAGAAAACAGTTCGGATATCGATACAAAACCTTTATAGATCTAAATCATGGCTGGGATCACTAGGCCATAAAACTTTTTACAGTTCCTCGCTATCTTCATCAAAAGTTGTTATCATAATACTTTCGTATTTGTTTGGCCAGAGGTGCCACATTGTGTTATTTTATTTCACTGAAATTGAACTCGACGGTTACATTTTCAACAAAGGAAAATTCTATCGCCTTAACGCGCGGTGTTGTTCGACCTCAGTTGTTGAAAATGCATTCCCCATCTCTTTTTGATAATAGCGTGTAAACTTCTATCACCAAACAATGCTTAGTCAACCTTCCACGGGGGTTAAAACCCGTGTCTGGTCGGTACACAAAGGGATAGGAATTTTTGGAAAGCTAATGCGGCGTAAACAGTGATCGATAGGATCTGCGAGAGCCCTCCAAATCCAAACCATTACCCACCCACACTCCCCGTCTCCACCCATCCTCTCCCCCATTCCTTTATAGGGTGGCCACGCAGGCTAACAGGGTGGCTGGGGAGGGGGCAAATGCATATAAGGCCAGATGAATAAGGTTAGCTCCAATGCGCGAAGATCTTAAGACGACTCACTCCAGATTTATCAATACATAAGTTGACCACAAGTTATAAGGGAGTCCCACGAGAGAAGCCTCCTGCTCTCTGGACTGGTGTTCGTCTGAGACTATGTAGAACAAAATTTGGACTGATTAATCTGCAATCCGATGTTTTTCCATTTTTTTTTTTTTTGATCCTTCGTCAGCCGGAACCTAAAAGGACGTCCATATATTATACGGGCCCCAGACTTACGCGGCCAAGCCCAAAAGCGCGGGGAATGGGACGAACTTCTGTATTTGGCGCAAGAACTGGCTCAAGACACGTGACTACTGGCTCAGCTGTAAGTTCACAGAAACTTACCATTTACGATCCATTGGCGACAATGGTTGGCAGGCAAGGACACCCAGAACTTGGTAAGTTTTAAATTGTACGAATTCCATAAGAATTGGCTAATTGACGCTCTTTTGTCCAACAAGCAGTTAATTGGCAGTCAATTTTCGATAGTTCTTCTTCATACTCTGTTGGTGACGGCTGATCTACCGTCCACTTCCCGTGAAATCCATGTGATCCTTACCCTCCCCCACGTCAAATAGTGACTGGTTCCTGATAAAAAAAAATATCCTATATCGTCTCTTTCATTTACACGCGAACACGTGCTACTAAAAGATTTCAAGCTCCATTTTTTTTGTTCTCGCCCACTATCGCATAATTCGCCACAAGGGGAAAGTTAGATAAGTGTTAGTGTTCTATCCCATCAGAATTGATGAAAATCTTTTGAATTTGACTTTGTTAAGGTTGTTATGTCTTTTAAAATCGTATTTGTACCTGAAGGCTTTTGGGGATTTCATTAAATGTTCTTGTTGTTCAGAATCAATGTTACAGATCTGGTAATTATTTCTGGAGAGAATTATTTGCATTTTTCCCTATCAATGTCTGAACGTTTCTTTTATTTTTAGTGCCAAACGCCGGCACAATTTGTGCGCTTTTAGACAAAAGAAACAGGAAAATTGTTTTTCCGGGTCTCGATTTACGTTTCTCATCTGTTTTTAATAAAATGTGCTTGTTTATCCGTCTGTTTTTGACAGAAAACAAACCCATTGCCAGTTCAGGAGCAGTGAAGGTTACTACAGCAAGCTGCGAACCAAACCTACAAACCGCAAGTGGAAATCTTCTGTTTACACCAGGACGGGAACAAGTATCTAATGCTGGGTTCGTCTCTGCCAGAAACCAACCAAGTTGGGCAGAAATTTTCACACCGCAACGAGCCACTAGTGCTCAGGATTTCGAAGCACAGGTTGCTCGTTCGCAAGCTTTTCACGAGCCACTACGGACTCCAGTAAACCAGCCATCTCTTCAAGGGGATATTTGTACACCGCAGCGAATAACCGGTGTTCAAAACACCTCGTTAGCACAAGCACAATCCGAGACTCTAGCGACACCATTAAGGCACGTTGCCATTCCTCCTGAGTCGTTTAGCTCAGATCATCCCCCGAATTGGTCCGAGATTTTTACACCGCAACGCGCTACGAGACAACCTGAAGCCATGATGACGAATCTTACAAGCAATCCTTTGTCTACCCCTGTGCAGCAAAGTTTGCCCACGAACCAGAGGTCTGGCGCCATTAAGGACCTCGGGTCCAGGCTACGATGCTCCAAGGTAGAAATTACAAGTTTCAAACCCAACACAGATACGAGCTGTTTTTCAAGGGATGAATTACAAGAACCCAAGCAGATGTCTGACATCCAAGATGAGCCATTGTTAACTCCTCTACAGGTTAGTGACTATAACTTCCGCAAAACGGTTTTAAAATTCGAGTTTTTCAATATTTTTGTAGAAGAACTTAATCGTATAATTAAAAAATGTGTTGCGCTGAAAAGAGACAAACGTTGTCACATTTCCAGAGAAAGTAGCTTTTTAAGTATAAAACGTCATGGTTTGTTTGTTTATTTACCTATTTTAAACAAAGTTTCGCTGTTGCTTAAACCAAACCCAAAACTGTTCTCATCTGGCAGGACATTTCGGTAATTATTAATTTATTTTATTATTAATATTATATAAGGGGGTTGAGTCAACCCTCTTATATGGAATCCTTAGACCCAGTGCTTGCGTAAAACTGCGGTTTGGGTTAGACCTCGTGTAAATAACAGGCCCAATGGGTTTAGAAAGTATTCCAAGCGACAGAGATAGAAGCAAAGTTCAAGAAATATTTCCTTGTGGCAACGCAAGCAATTTTACTTTATAAAGCGTAGCTTAACTTTGTGATTTTAGCAGAAGCGTGATCTTGTCGCAACCAACCAGAAACATTCATCATGTTTGCTGTGTCTAGTCGAGTTAGTCTCAGACAAAAAAAAACATCTTGTTTCGTCGATCCAGTTACATTAAAAGATCAAGTTCAAGGTGACATATGCAAAAATGGCGGGAAGCGATTTGTCTCATTCAACAGGAAGGTGCTGTTCTTTCCTGTCACAACAAGAAAAATTACAACCGATTTCTGATAAGCCCTTGATGGATTAGAAGAATAATTCTTTTTTTAACTGACGTTGGACTTCCACCCTGGAAGTTATAGCGATTCAAAGAGATACGTTTGCTGTCACAAAAACTTTTTTTCGTTTCTTTTATAACTAACGCAAGATTGCTGATTTCTGATGGCAGCAAAGAGCTTTGACTTTTTCATCGATGTAGAAACTTCATAACGTGGGATTGATTTAACTTGACTTATTTTATTTAATCGTGAAACAAGGAAGTAAAACGCTCGAATTTTCAGTTTCTTAAAAGGTGCGATACTCCCATTCTCGTAAATTTCCGCGTGTTTACTTCCAGTCCTTTTCAAACGCGAAGGTTAGTTAATAACTCATACAAAGTCGAGTTTTTGTAAGTGCTCTCGGCGTCCTCTCGAATTTTCGTTCTAATCATAACCATTACAATTTCCTTAAATGTGATTGGTGCATCAGCTGTTATATATCTCACTAATCACTCTGTACAGTTGTAATCGGACGGTGTAATCGGACAGTTGGCTGTAATCGGACACCTGTAATCGGACACTTGAAGCAGCCAATCATACCGAGTCCACTCAGCTAAATCCATTAATCACAGAATAGATCACAATAACCATAGCAACAACCACTTACTCTGAAAAGTAAACTGGGAAACGTGTAAGCAAGAAAAAATTCTTAGAAAGGGGAGAAACGCAACTGGAATCACCGTCAGTAGTTTAACTCGTTTTGTTTTGCTTTTCTTTAATTTTTGAAGTTCCTCGAAACTTCGTTAGTCACGTTAGACTGCACTTTAAAGTTATTTGATTTGTCGCGGTTCCATATTTTCGACTCAAGTTCACAAGATAATATGTCCCGGCACCGTGCATCAGACCCAGTTTCCGCGGTCAGCCAAAGCAAATCGAACGTAAGCTAATCTATCTGATGTAACATTCGATAACTTGGTTTTACCAACTGAGTTGACAATGTAATTTGGCCACCGTAAAGAGTTTTTAACACGTATTTTAGTTAATACCCCGTAAAAGGTCGAGTTTCTATAAAGGCTTCCGGTGTCCTTCGGCTTTTAATTCTTTCTAATTTGGTGTATCGATGTTCAATTTTCATAGACCGAATCACTTCAAACTGTTTGCGCGTTTAATCCAAGACAAAATTTCCTAAGTCACACATCTTCTGTCTTTTTGAGAATGTGAGCCATAATTTTCAGCCAAAATCATTTTAGTTCGGCGAACCTTGCTTACCAAAGACAAAAGAGATTGAAAGTGATAATCATGGCACATCTTAGAGATGAGTTGAAGATGAATGAAGCATTTAACTTTTCCAACAGTTTCAATTAACCTAACCTTAGACATTAATTTTGAATAAGTTGACTTATATCTGCAAGGTATAACTCCTCAGAAAAGTACTTACTAAGTACTTAAAATATATTTTTTTCTCTTTTTTTCGAAATTGTCTTGCAGGAAGAGGATGACGTTACTCGGCTGGAGCGTCAAGCGCTTGAAGATTTAGGTTTGCTTGAAATTACAGGGGAATCACCAGTAGACACTCAAGGCCCTCCTGGCAACCTTCAAACGAGCCCACGGTCAGTACCAATAAGTCGGTCGGCGGAGATTGCAAGTGACCTCTTTAGGTCGTCATTTAACCCAACATCTCAAACCTCATCGAGTTCTCAGTACTCAAGGTTCTCTCCGGTTGTGAGGTTGGCCACCCCCACTCCCATGAGGCAGTCTTCAACAAATTACCATGTTGCTTTGCACAACCGGTCCCAAAAAGGTACAAGAACTCCATCTGCCATTCAATTTAATTCAACGCCTCTGCATTGTCACCGAGATTTGCCAGCAAATATCGCTCCTCGCGTCGAAGCCAATCACACATGTGACGGTTTTCTTCGAAATCCGGTAAATTTACAATATTCTCAAGTAAATCAAACTCAATATGTGATGCCTACTCCGGTAAAAGCCTCATATCGTTCAGCTTCACAAAACACGCTCGGGGAAGAGACGGGTCAAGCTCAAACTGCTTCACGACAACCATGCAGTACAGCGGCATCACGCACGAGTCCTACCGATAAGAGAGCAATAACAAGGCAACAAAATCTTTATAAGGAACCTTGCAGTCGCCCTGTTCAAGTGGTATCACCAACTTCGAAACCACAGGGATTTACGCACACCCCCTCTAACAACAGGAGCCTTTCTCTTAGATCAGCACTGGCCTTGAATCCAAGGAATCTAGACAGACCCACCATCGAAGATTCAACAGCAGTCAGTGCCGATGCAAGTACACGATTTCGTTGGGAACCGAGTGTTTCCGAGGTTCTTCCGACTGCCTTTCGATCAACGATTTCTGGTTCCCGAAGAATACCGAAAACGTTGGCTCAAGAAGCAGTGTTAGATATGGAAGTTTCTGTTTACATGACAGCCGGCAGTGGTCGCTTGGTAACATCTTCGTGGAGGGAAAGGCCGTTGAATCCCTTGGCCAAAGCTTTCTTGGAGGGAGATTCAAGGGTAAGTGGCAAGTTGATCACTTCAAGGTTTTCCCAGCTTTTAAGTTTAGGCTCCCTTAGAGCTAATTACAATAGTATTACATCATGTTTTAACAGAGTAGGCACTGGGTATCAATGTCCTAAATCTACTTGGTTCGATTAGGTAAACCCATCCATGTAAAGATTCGTCTAAAAGAATAAGAAAGGCTAGTATAAGGCCTTGTACACTCATATGAGTTGATTTACTGCTATAGTTTTAATGTCTTTGTTCTTTTCTATTTTGCAGCACTTCCTACCAATTAACAATCACTCGCGCTAGAAATAGAGAGACTGCAGCGAATTGGTGACCAAGCCTGTAGCGACTTTAACTATGACTTGAAACAAGAATTCCTTTTCCTTCGTGGAAAAAATGACGGAATTTACCTCACAGTTTGTTCATCCTTAGCCATCATTGTTCCTGTTTAGTTAATTCTTGCCTCTTTTTTATTTTGAAGCGCTTCTCAAATGAGTGCCGTGAAAAAAAAACCCAAAGTAATCACAACAGCCAATCAGACCATTGTATGCTACGCCGAATGTGACAAAATATCAACGCAACTAATTAATAAATTAAGTCACACTCTTTGCTATGAAGTTGCTTGTAATTAGTATCAATTTGTTTGTTTACTCAATCATTTTTTTTGCAATTGACATCACCTCTTGTCTCGTGCTATTCATGAATTAAATGTCCGAATTACGTGCGCTTCGAATGTCAAGTTCAATTTTTTTTTGCAATTCAATGAATTGTACGAGAGAAGAGTTGATGTGCACTGCAAAACATATGATTTAGTTAGCAAAAAAATTGATACTTATTATAGGTAACTTAATTGTAAATTGTGTGACTTGATTTATTTATTATTCACTTTGATATTTTGTCTCATTCGGTGTGGCATACCATTGGCAACTATCACGAGGAACTTATAAATACCAAAGTAAAAACGAGCCAACTGCTCATAGCGCGGGAAATCGCGAGTGACCAAGCCGTGATGGGTTTTAGTTTTTAATCTGATTGGTTGTGCGAGTTTTCAAGACCAATCACAGCGAAGTTAAGCAAAACCAAAGCACTCTGGATTTCTTCTGACACTCAATCGAAACTTGCTTTATGTCAAAGTGACTCTCTCAGATGCTCGAAACGTTTGAAAATATCCTGGCCAGGGATCCGTTTGTCGAACGTCCCAGTAGATACTGATCCTCAGAAGCTTTTTCATTGATTTTTTTTCTATGGATTTATAAATAGTTTTGAAATTTAAACAACAATGATATAGGAATGCTGTATGGACAGGTGTTTAAAGCTCTGACATACTACTAGTTCTAAGACTTTTATTTTAAACGATGGCTTCAGCCCCTTTTTAGTTGATGGGACTTTCGAGAAACAACTCCACTTCTAATTATGCGCCGTGCTGTCAGCCTGAGTCTGCTGCCTGAGTCTGACTGGGTATAATTAGGCTGGTTTTTTTCCTATTCTGTATGTGAAAACCGACCCTTGTTCGGTCAATTGTTATGTCTGAGTCTGATATAGAGCTGAAATGCTGCCGAAATTGTTTTCGATTGGTAGTGGACCAGAGAAACCAAATTAGCATCGATTATTGTAGATAGGTTGTATATTTTTTATGGTTTCCTCAGATGAAAAGAAAATACGTCGGTGTGGAGTTAATTTTATTTATTTAACTGTGAAGCTTGTGTAGATTTGTAAATTGGTAGAAATTAAAAGTTCGTTAGGTTATTATAGGAGCAACAGTGGTTTAATAAATCATAGCTGGCAAGTGAAAGAATAAATGTTAGTCGGTGAACCCTTCTCTAAATTTTATGTGTTTGTGATCATTTTGTTAGTTTGATGTCGTAGAGCGAAGACGTCGAGCAGAGAGTGTGAGTCAACACAGCTTGACAAGCTAGAACTGACTGCACCCTCCCCAAATTAAATATTTCCTGACCGCAGGTGAATTTGTGTGAGGAGGTCAGGTTGTTTTTGGTCGCTCCGACATTAATATTTAAAGAACCAAAGTTATCCCAGAACAAAGGTTTACATTATGATTAGCCAATGAGCGAGCACTCAACGTGAAAACAAGCAAACTGCTTGAAGCGCGGGAAAGCGCAAGTGACTAAGCCGGGATTTAAGTTTTAAATTTTGCATCTGATTGGTTGAGAGGATGGTGCGAGTTTTCTGGACCAATCACAGAGCAAAATTAAGTAAAACCAAAACCATCCAGGATTACTTTGGACAGCCAATTGAAAACTGCTCAAATACGACCGAATGAAACTGGGCACGAACAACCCGAGTTTTTGATCCGTACGATTCAGCGACTGTGACTGCAATGGAAGCATAGCTTGCGCTCGACAATAACTAGTAAAATCAAAGAAGTAAACAAAAAGTTATTTTATTTGTTCACTCATGTTTTTCTTTGAATTATGGTTTAAAGTGTAAAGTAAGTACACAGGCAACTTTCTGAAACACCTCCGATTTGCTTTGAATAGTGAAATATTTACTGAGAAAGGATAAATTACAAATAAGACATCTTTGGCAAAACTTTATAAAGGTTCAGTTTTCCTCATTTCGTTTTGGGACACAACGCAAGAACCGTAACTTACGAGCAAGGCGACTGGATGTGAGGTTCTGCAAAAGAGAGAAAAAATAACATGTTACATATTTGAAGTTGACGACCGTCTTAATTAAGATTACTCTAGCGTGTTTTAGGCCTTCAGTTGATAAAACGGAACGAAATAGCAGACGGTGAGATAGTGAGACGGTGAGTAACTGAGGAGTGAAAAAGCGAGCGAGGTTTGGGTCGGGTCGGGTTCGTCACGTGACTCGACCCAAGCTTTACCCGTTTTTTCACTCTTCACCAGTATAGTGCTGTTTACTATCGCACTTTGTTTTACTAGCTGAACGCCTGCAACACGCTACAATAATCTTAATTAACCCTTTACACTCCAACGTTAGTATCCATTTTCTCCATACTGTTCTCTCTACATTTCCTATGGTACTGACTGCATTTTATTCAAGGGTAATACTGCAGGAAGGAATGAAAAGCCAGTCACTCTAAGTAGTCAAAGGGCTGAGCTGATATCAAAATAGGACTTTGAATTCGTATCAAATGCTAAATGCCAACTTTGGTTCTACTGAGAGATTCCATTTAATATTTTCATTCCTACGCCGGGTAATACGCGATAAATTCGGTGATGTTTTGTTAAAACGGTTCAAAATTGTATTATAGTACGAGCAGTCACTAATTTTCGGCGAAATTCGTCGTACGAGTCAAAAAATTCAGTAAGGAATAAAAGTTTGGGCGCGTCGAGCTGAACTTTGGGAGTGAGGCGCTTCATTTCAGAGTTCCACGCGGCACACTAACATCAATTTTCGCTGAATTGTTTTGAGTTTCACGGCGGATTTCACCGAAAAGGAGGGAATGCTTGTTGTCTCAAGTCATTTTTTCAAGGAGAATGACGAGAGAACCAAACATGAGCAGATAGCAGCCTCCAGAAGTCGACTATGTTATTGCGACTTCTCTTCTTACTTTTGCAGGTAAGCATGCCGCACGGATATTGTTGGGCAGGCATTATCAGTCGAGGACGTATCAAAGCAGCAAATATAGCCATGCTCAACTCAAGCGCGCTAAATGTGACTTGTAAGTGGCTATCACATAAACTGCCTTTAATATTTAATAAGTGCTAGAGACCCAACATCCTGATAGCTTCATCACGTGCAGAATCGTACCTTCTTTGGTGCATCTTTGTGGGAAAATGACAAATCTTCGACAAATTCGCAGCCATTTTCCGCACAACCTTCATGGGAAGATGAAAAAGTGGACTGGATTGAAACAGTATTGGTAAGTGTTGAACTTCTGTCGACGGAGTTATCACCCTTCCCCAGCATGTGTACTTTTAAGACGGTTATTTGTGATGTATCTGAGCTCTCATCGGTTTTGAAGCTGTCCCCGCAGTTATCGTTTAAGTTCTCTTTGGAGCACTGCTGCAACTGATTATTTTCTGAATTTTCCGCCGAGATTTCTCCTGATTCTTCTTTTGAGTCTCTATTTGATTTCTCTTCAGAATTTTGCACTGAGTTTTCTTCGGAACCTGTCGCAGACTGTTGATGAAATAACAAGATGAATCAAAGTAAAGAATCAATTTCTGTAAAATGTTCTAAGCCGCTCTTTTCTTGGATATAAATCCGGTGACGTTTTCTTAGAATTTCCCAAATTACTGAGGTAAAGGAATTACCCACAGCATCCTTAGAGTTTGTCGCGTGCACTTTTATGCTTTTATGCAACCTCACAATAAGTCTCTTAGATTTGAAAATTAAAGGGCGCCAGCTCGATCGATCATGCCGTTAATAACATTCAATAACAATTGGCTTTGAGAGGCATTTAGCACAAAAGTTGCGTAGTCTTTGTTTACATCAGATCAAGACCAAGAGAATTAAAAAAAATCCATTGGTCTGTGAATGATTTTATCCGCATAACACTTACTTAAAGCAGCTGGTTTGGTCATGAAGGCACACGCAAATTGTACAGGCTAAGTAAAAATTTACAGACCTACGGAAAGTCTCACGAGCCATTTCATTGAATTCCTTTTAAACAGGATGACATTAAGTCAAAGGATCCATATTATGAACAAAGAAGAAAACTGCGTTGCTGTGTGGGAAAGGGTATTACGAGATGATTTGATTTTATCAACTGATTTGATAATGTTAAGTGGCCACAGCAACGAGTTTAATAGCCCTTTGTCATTCGCTGTAACAGGGGCTGACGCTTGAGCTTTAGAAACTCTTTACGGTGGCCGATTTATATTATCAGCTCAGTTGATAAAACCAAATCATCTTATATCCTGAACAGACACTTCACCTTTCCGTGATGGTAGAGACCGTTCCCAGCATCGACAACTTGCTCACTACTGCTTTCTTTAAGAGTGGAATTTTCGACACATCTTTGGAGAACTTTATCAATTTCCCCTTCCAGTTTCCAGAAGGGAAATATAGCCATTTTCCCAAGTTCATATTGGAATTTAACCGTCAGATTATCAACGTCTATGCCAGCATCCATGACGTCCTTACGGAGGCGCACGATTTCCGAAACAGATCTGTCTTTCTCCTCTCGCCGAGTCCCCACCAACTCAGCATCAACTTTAAACTCTGAAAGCCTGCTTCTCTTTTTCGCCACGACCGCGGTCAATTCTCTTGTCTCTTGGTCGAGGTGCTTGGAGATACTTTCAAATGTTTCATCCAAAGATTGGCATTCATTGCGGAGGTTAGCGGTGTTTTGTTTAACCGCGTTCAACTGCTCTTGCACTTCGTCAATGTGCTGCTGAAGTAATCTGTTTCGACGTTTTTGTTCTTCTATTTTCTCGTTTAGCATCTCATTTTCGGAACAAAGAATATGAATTTTGGTAACTAGCGCATTCTTTCCCTATGTCAAATTAAAAAATAAGGCGTTTACAAACTCAAATTCCGAAGACTGATACGAGCTGACTAATCTTGATTATTAAAAACTGGATCATTGGATAATGCAGTTCAAGGGTTTTCATTGGCTCAGCCACCATGGGTTATGAGCCATTAAACCATGTATGCGCATGAAGACTAGTTAAACCGGAAGTGTTTTTGTACATCGTAACATTCCGTTTGTTCTTACAAAATAAAGTTGGGAAGATTTATCTATATTTTGGGGCGTTTTTATAAAACAATTATTCCACTCGCGCTTGGCTAACTATCAACTCATATCCAACGCGCTCTCGCGGAATAATTGCTTAATACATTTTAGTAAATGGCATCGAAATCTTTCGAATGTCTATCAAAAAGGAAAACTGTTTTCCGAGAATGGTAGCCGAGAACTATTAATACTTTTGTTCTATCTGTATTTTTCCATTCAAAACCTTGCGATCTCAGATAGTTAGATATATTTTTACCACCTAATATAGTGATTGCTGCAAATAGGATCGTCATCTTTGAACTCTGTTACAACAGAGGTGGAAATCACAAGGGGTGTGATTTCCGCCGATTGCAAAGTTGGCCTTTATTCTGGATTTTTGCATTAGGGATTAGTAATTATTTATCACGTAGGGTGGGGTTGGAGGTTTTTGTTTTGACTTACCTCAGGACTGCAGCTCAAATTTGTGTTCGAATCCAGCTGTTGCTGTTGAGCTGTAAAAGATGTTTTCTCGTCTTCTAGGTAATTGGCCATGTAAGGTACGTGCGCAAGTGAGTAGTTGACATGTTCTGTTGAATCATTCCAAGCGCAGTACTGGAAATGGGGCTGATATGAAAGAGCCAAGCATACTTGAGAGAGCTCTAAGGGCTCGCTGTCCTTGAGTGAGTCGTACCACATGTCTAAATAAAGCATAAGCGAAGAAAACAATTTTTTTTTCCTTCCACTTCCACTTTAGCCCCACTTCTTTCTAAATGGAAAATACTTATGTATGATCTTTAAGGCCAGACCACAACACTGGGAGCTTAGCTCTCTACTCTTTGCAAGAAGGGCATGGGTTTCGTTAGCGTCCGTTTGGCAACCGATACAGAGGAGATGGAGGGGACGGGGCTTACGATTTCACCGTCTAGTTGAGACGACTACAATGTCTGATCATTTGCAGATGTCATATCGAAGGCAGCACGTTCTCCTCGGTTATTTCAAGACCCTGAGTGTTGGTCCGATCTGGGGCTTGAATTCTCGACCTCCCGCACAGCAGTTCGGCGCTCCACAACATGAGCTAACCAAACGCGGTCTAAAGTACATCGGATTGCTTTTACAAGACTAAGCCCTGTTACCATGCTGAAAGAGAAGCTTCGAGCGGAAGGATGCCCTTTTAAAATATTTCAAAGGGGAAGCATATCCAAGTTAAAGCCAAGCTCGCGAGGTTTAGACGGTTCGTTTCGTTGAAGCGACTGAATCAACTCGATTTTTTAACATTGATGGATGTTCTCTCGAGAGAGGGAAATTGGGGGTATGAAACACAATATTTCACCAAGGAAACAGTGTGTTTCTTTGATTTGATAAAAATGGAAAAAAGGTATACTTTCTCCATACGACGACGATGGTTCATAAAACACGAGCAGTCCCTCCTTTACGCGCGAGTCGAAAAAAATCATTGAAAACAAAAATTGATGTAAGCGCGGCACTAACCTCAATTTTCTTTTATTTCCTCAATAATTTTTTTTTACTCACGCGACGGACTTCAACGAAAAGGAGAGGCTGCTTGTAATCAAATGGTGGAAAATAGCGCACTCTGAAAATAAACAAAACTAGCAACAACAAGTTTCTACTCACCCAGACTTAAGTCGTAACGCGCTTTACCGAGTCTAAAATTTTCTTCAATGTTTTACCAAAGTTGTTATTTCTGTTCAAGGCTGATTCCAAGGAAGATCTAAAACTCCCTAGATTAAACAAGATCACGCCACTTCTGTAAATCTCAATCTAATTGTCCTTACGCTAACGGAACTGATCTTTGCGGCACATAAATCACAACCTGATCAAATGTTTATCGATTGTCTTTTTCTCATTGTCATGGTAGCGCACGTTTAAAACGTCATAGTGCGCGCGTTTCTCAATTAAAACGCGCGCACTGTTTGAACAAGGTCAGAAGAGGAATCTCTCCCTTTACTTTCGACATTTTCGAGAACTGGAAACTGTGCATCAGGGTTTTGCGGGATGTCGAGTCAGTTTGTGTTACTTTCAAAAACACTTTGAATGCTCCTAAAATAGTTGTCGCTGTTCCTGTTCTCTTTTGTTTTCAGTCTTAACGTTAACCAAAATGCACTAGGCCAGTTAACGTACTAAAAATCAAAGTCTAAAGTTCTGAGAAACACTTTCGCGATTAAACTGTCTGCCGTTTCTAACTTATCATGCAGCACGAAATTTTGGTTCGACCTCTTGAACCCTATGATGGCTTCAGGTTGCCAAAACATTAGTCGCTCTCACCAAGACTTCCCAACCCCCCCCCACCCCCCCTCTCCCTCCCCTGCACCAAGACGATCGGACTACCTAGGTAACCTTCACATAATTCAATACTCTAACTAAAACACAATTTTTGTATGACGTCAGCCGTGTGTTTATCCTCTAACAAGGTCTAATTAAGACTGCTATGAAAACTGGACAGTGATGATGAAGGTTTTTAACGTTGTTAATGAAGTAATGATGGGAGCTGGTTTTGGGGGAGGGGTGATTAAATGGGAGGGGGTTCTTATTTGCTATTTTCGCCTAGCATGTGAGCGCGCTTGGTTTGTGGGAATTGAAGCGTTTTCCAAAGGATACAAGGCAGTTAAAAAATATATATCGAGAGTAACACAACGATGTAGTGTATTCAATATTGTAATGTTCACATACAGTTTGACAGAGGAGAGAGTCGTATACCTGACTACGGATACTGATTGCTCCTTTTATGAGCAAAATTAGCTACTTAATAAAAGCGCTAATTGTATACTACTCAGCTGAGCTAAATAATCCTCAAAATGCCATGAACATTGTCATTTCAACCAAGTACTCATTTCCTACAAAGAGAACCACGACCAAAAAACCAAATTAGGGCTCTCACAGACAGTACTACACAATAAGCTTTCAATTGAACGACTCAAAATTAGGCAGCTGCTCAGATATAAAATATAATAAACAAGATCAACTCTAGGTACATCTATGCGAGTAAAAGTACTAGTTTAGAAACATAAAGCACATTTTGACAGATTCGTTACCTTGCATGCTACCATTTTCCATACAAAAATATTTCACAATACGTTTAATAACTTAAATGGAAATAAGGGTATTTATTTTATCGCTTGTCATTCTACTCTATGCAGCGAAAAGAAAATTCTCAGCGGCTCCTGTTTCATAGCTCTGATAGTTAACGCTCGTATTAAGTAAACATGTCTCAGTTTGTAAGCTGTAGAGTTCCATCCACCACTCTTCTCTTCAGGATGTTGTCTTCCCATTCTTCAACCGTTTCTTTTCCATTTTCAACAGTTCTGTCGAAGAAAGAAAAGAAACGTGTTTCCATTTTAAGTTTTCCTGTAAAACTGGTAGTTTGACAAGTAATAGAGGTATTGGCCAAAGTGTCAGTCAAAATCAAGCTCACCAGAATCAGGGGTTAAAAGAAAAAGAAAAAGAAAAATTATTTACAGACACCAGTTAGAGAGGCCTTACAGTGGAATGAAATGGCTTCAATCAACCCTTTTTAATTCTCAAGCTCTGATGGTTGATGCTCTCCTTCAGCTACTACAAAATTCCCTGTAAATTGGTTACGAGAATTTGGTGTTTGATGAAGATGACAACTACCTGATAAGTTTGAGTATTCTCATTACCTACTTTCTGGGTAATGTATGGATATTTGAGGAAGAAGTTATATGTGACCCTCCACGGGAAAACGGACACTAACGCTTTTCCGTTAAACGGTCTCGAAAAACGGTTGTAAACGGATAGACTCACTTCTAGGAGTTACAGGGTTAAAACCTTTCCAGTTGGCTTGTTAACTAGCTGAGTCACCCTCACAAACATACATGCAAGCAATCATCATCATCATCCTCATCAATCCTTTTTGTTCAAAGTGGTGCATTAAATCTCCATGGTATTCCACTCCTCCAAACATGGCAAATAATTGTACAGCACCAAGAAATATTACACTCCCCAATTATCTCCTCAACTTCTCAGTCAAGGAAAATCATTAATTATTACATTCCCCTTAAATAAGCACCAATGCCCTTATTTACAATGTTGCCTGAAAGGAGGGGCTTGTATTGGAAGGAGGATGCTTAATTGAGGGGGCACTTATTTAGTTTGCACAGCAATAAGACATAATTTAAAAGAACAGATAACACACATAAAGGATCTCTGCAAACACATGGAGATAGAAATTACTCTCACTGATTTAACAGAAAAGAAACTTTTCTCATGTACTAATTCAACTGTAATTGAAGATTGAAATGTTACTCATAGAGTGGAAATAAAAACAGTTTCTTTCTTTCAATAAATTAAAATTAAATTAAATTAAATTAAATTAAACTAAATTCTCCTTGTATCCCCACAATCAAAGAAAGTGAGAGACAGGGGGGGTGGCCTTATTCAAGAGGGTGCTTGTTTGGCGTTATGGCCTACAACTAGGTGGGTGGGTACTTTTGTTTGGGGGAGGGTGCTTACTAGAGCATGGCCGCTTATTCGAGGAAATACAGTATTTAAAGATTTGTTCAACTAATGGACAACACAATTCAGTCTGTCCTTACTTTTTTGTTGTGATAGTTTTTCCATTAACAACTTTTGTTGATGTGGAGGTGGATTTAAAATTTCCTGAAAGAAGAAAATAAAAAACACCATCATTGAGTATACATCTAACTGTTATATATCAATTAAAATTTGATACATGTGTCTTTACTGTGCAGCATTATATCTATAAAAATTAATGTATATTACTGAAAAGGTAGAAAAAGATGGAGAAATACCTGAAGAAACATCCATATCCCAACTTCAGAAAGAAGAAAAAAAAAGTAAAGCAGCCCAAGTGGCCCATGGGGCCGGTGCTTAACTCCAGTTTCCTTTAGTATGAAGCGGCTAAGAGTATTGCTACTCCCCCCTGGATGGGATGCTAGTCCATTGCAGGAGTACTCCCAGCATATTTGCTGGTACCCATTTGTACACCTGGGTGAAGAGAAGCACTGTGAGAGTAAAGTGTCTTGCTAAGAACACAACACAGTGACCCCAGCCAGGGCTCCAACCCGGACCACTCGATCCGGAGTCAAGCGCACTAACCATGAGGCCAACGCACCTCCACATCCCAACTTCAGAAATGCTTTTTAATGTTTAAGGGTGCTAAGCTACAATAATTGTAAAGTTTCTTGGGAAGGCTAAAATAGGATCAAACTTTGAAACCCAAAAGATACTTTTAAACTTGCACCAAACACATGGCAATGCTTTGAAGAGATTAAAAAAGGTGCATTTGTGTGAAAATGGTCAGTCTGGTTGCTCATGGAAAATAAAGAACCTGTATGAACTCAGTACAACTCTCCAAACCATGTCAATTATACTGTGTCAACAAATAAAGGCCTATGGATCATCAAAGCTGGCATACAAAGCATAGGGAAGTCAGTTGAAACTTGCAGATTTTTCTTTAGTTAACAGTGGTCAGTGAAGGCCCTTTTAAGCAGGACATGGGTAAGATATGTTATTCCTATGAAATCAGAAATAAGGGTGGCAACATAAGCCAAACAATTCCAGCACTTTGTAGAAATCTCATCAACAATCTCACTAATAAATTTTCTATGCTGGGAAGATTGATTTGAAGTCAACATTTGGAAGTTTCATGTGAAAAAGAACAGCTATTCAGAACCTCCACCACAATTTCCATAGCTTGTGAACTGGCCCTTATTATCAGCATTGCAGAGTGCGCCTTTTTTCACCTGCAGTGCCAGACCTCTTAAGGGCTTGCATTGCTAAAGACCTCATACTTTCCAGTAGGTGAATAAAAACTCTTGTTGAAGGACTGTTAACAAAGACCTGCTAACAGGCTATAATTTTCCAAAAAGGACTTTTTTCAGGCACAGGAAAATCAATATGGAAAAAAATCAAGAAATTCCAAGTTCTGTGAGCCGCTCTCAAAGGTTATGATTATTATCGTTAGGTATGATAACCTAAACAACCTTGCATATAACAGTATGGTTTTTTAACCCTTAACACCATAACATCAGTAAACAAATTCTCTATACTGTTCTCCTTATTTTTCCTTTAGTGCCAACAAGGAGAATTTGCTTAACAATCAATAGCTTCTTTATTTAGTGATCATTTCCTTTATTCTTCTTACTCAAATGCATGATTCAGGGGAGTTATCATAGGGAGAAAATAGTTGCTAATCACTCTTTAGAATGAAAGGTTGATGGTCTTGCACATTAAGCTCTCTGAGTTGAAATCAAAATACAACAAAACTTACCTCCGCCACCAAATCCGCCACCAAATCCCCCACCGCCACCAAAACTTTGAAAAGATGAAAAGCTACAATGAAAGAAAAGAAAGGAACAGTATTGATATCATGAGATAAAAGATTTCATGTTTTTAAACCTGAATTTTATAAATTTGTATCTTGGGCATATTGGGTTTTGGCTGCATCTTGTGCACCACTTTTTTGTTCGTACCACATTTTGACACAATCTGTCATCAATCACCAAACAGACAGGCCAATATGGAATCTACATTATTTGTTTCATGAAAATGTGTTAACTTGTTACAAAACAGCCAACATGGGTCACCAAATGGCAACCTACACTGCAAATTCAGTTCCATAATGTTTTTTCAAGTTGCCACAGCAACCAAAATGGTCACAACTTAAAGCACTGGACATCGCATATTATCAAAGGCTTAAGTGTTAGTTTCTCACAGACCAGATTGCATTGGATAAAGGGAAGTTTTTCTTTTTAATCTTTTAACTACTTTGTCCTTAGTGCAAGTAAGAACTGCCAGTAAATTGAAAAAATAAATGTTGAGCATTTCTGTCTATGTAAGATAAGAGAAAGAGCTGATGAGACAAAAAGATGCAGAGGCCCAGTGGAGAGTGGACTGAATAGTTTACCCTTTCACTCCCACAATTGATAAGGATGTAACTTCTCCCTATAATATCCTTACATAAATCAGCAAACAGGTAGTGAGAATCCATTGTTATCTTGATGTCACACCAAATTCTTGAAACTACATTAATTAACAGGGAAATGTGTAGCAACCAGAGAAGAGAATTCATAATTGGATCTTGGGATCAAAAGGGTTAATACTAATAAATATACCCTTTCTGAATGGACCAGTGTGGTCAGCCATTTCTCACTTATGGTAATAGTAGCCAGAATAATTTTAGAACATTTAGGTATTCATCATATACCTGTTTGATCCAAAAGGATCGCTGCCAAATCCATCACTAAACCCAAAACTTGAGCCGAAAGTGGAGAAGCCTGCAAAAGGGTCTCTTGGTCTCATCCTGTTTTGATTTCTGCTTCTGTTTCTCCCTAATTTATCACAAGAAATAACAAATAATAATGATAAGAAAAGATTTAAGGTGCACACCTTTGGAAAATTACATCTACAAGGGTAAAATTCTTAAACAAAAATAAATGAGACATTTGCAGGAATTAACTCCACATTACACTTTAGAAGTAAACTTTAATTCCTAAATTTCTCTTTCTGTTCATCCCTTCCTCCTTCCTTTTTATGGTAGTACTTGCAAGTACACATCAAGCAGTACATGTACATCCAGAAACAGAAACAGAAATATTACACACCAAATGGGTGAGTAGAGGACTGTATAAAATTCATGTTTTTCCCTGAAAGAGGGCAGGACAACTTGCACATTTTGTACAATTGTATTAATCCTTTAACCCTTAAGAGTGATTAGTAACCAATTTTCTCCTATCAATATCACCCCTAAAACAAACATTGAGGTCATGGGAATAAAGGAAATGATCATCAACTAAAGAAGTTCTTGATTGTTAAACTAATTCTTTTAGCCAGTACCATAGGAAATGTATAAGAACAGTATGGAGAATATGCATACTGATGATATGGTGTAAAGGGTCAATATTAAAAATTGGTCTGACAATATCATATAATAGCTAGGAGAAAAAAATGAATCCCTGCCCATAGAAGATTATTTTGTCAGTTTTTTCATCTACTGCATGTGTGATCTAAGTGATCATGGGTCAGGGAGCTCCTGATCTGAAACTTCTGAAAATAATAGATCCTTGAGATAATCATGTTGCCTGATTGGCTATTAAAAGTCATGTTGAAAAAAGGACTGTTGTTGGCAGCAGTGACTGACACTTCAACCACCTCAGCAATCAGACAACTTAATCAACTGGTACTCCGGAGTTCAAACTTGTTACTGTGATAAAACCTAATAATTTGAAACCCATGTCCAGGATATAAGTAAATTGTTGTCATGTTCGCAAAAGAAAGCATATTAAGGAAAATACACACTGTAATTAGTTTGATATTTCAAGGAAGTTTAAATAACTTGCCAACAAAATACAACAATATGTTTTGCTGTAAAACTACACATACAAGTGGATTACAGATAATATAAAATTAGACTAAATTATTGATGGTACAATAAAATTTCCTCTGCAATACTTTATTTTCCAATTTTTTTTCCAAGAGAGGAGAACAGATTCCATTTGGAGCAAACAATGATGCTTGAAAACTTACCAAAGAACTCCTCAAAAATGGATGAATCATTCCGGAAAAAATCTCTGTTGAATGAAGCAAATACAAATTAGTTTTTAAATTAAATTGATTTTAAAAAAATCACTTAGTTTCAGAGTAATTAATAAGTAGTAGTCATGGTACTGCTAATTTCAGAGACTGGAAACTACTGGTAACTGAAGAATGTTCATGTATGTAACATAAAGACAACATTTGAAGGGATTGTAAATGTTCAGACACATTACAGGTATTCATAGTTATAACACCATTTTAACTGAAGAGTGGTTTTTAAACTGGAATAGTGATAAAACCACCATGCAACAAATTGGCCACATAAAAAGGTTTACAGCCAGAGACTGAAATAATACAGTATGATCAGATGATCAATTTAATCCTCTACAACCTAATGTTCATCAGTATTTTCCATACTATTCTCTATAAATTTCCTATGGTGAAGACAAGGAAAATTTGTTTAACACTGTCTTTACTCAGTGATCACTTTCTTATTCTCATGACCTTAATGCTTGATTCAGAGTTGATAATGTAGGGAGAAATTAGATATTAGTCACTCTTAGGGGTTAAGGGGGTTAAGATAATTATGATGTATAGCAGGTTTGAGGGGTCAGGGGGTGCAAAATGAGGACTTAGTGGGAGTGGCTTGCTAAAATGCATTGTACTTAAAAGTTATCATTTCTTGTAGTATGTTTCAAGTTCATCGTCAACCCTTATCATCTCTACTAAGCTATCAGAGATGCACAGTTACCTTTGTATTTTAATGTTTTTCTATTTCTTAAACAACAAATTATCAAACAACAATTTCACACAATACCATTCCATACATGTAGTATGGTCACACAACATTCTAACCAGGTATAATGGCATAATGAGAGTGCATTCTTGCTGGTCACACAATGGTTTTCACAAAGAGGACATTTAGAAATCTAAGTCATTACCTAAATATCTCATCTGGATCACGGAAATGGAAATTGTGGAAATCGTTAAATCCTCCACCACTCGGCCTTCCTCCTCCACCACCTTGGTATGAAAAAGTTACAGAAAAATATCATGCAACAATGTTAACTTTCAGTTCTGGGACAATTTATTATGAAGCTGGTTCCCTGTAACTTGAATCAACAGGAAAAATATACATTCTGAGCTTCCAAGGGGATAGAACAAGATGGCTAGATATATTTAACACAGAGGGAAAGGCTGTTTACCTGGCATGATTGATCATTGTTCACCACAGAGAGAATGTGTAGTAAACAGTACTTTGTTGTTACAACATCTTGGAAAAAATTATATGGTTCACTTTGACAAGAGAGCTCAAGTGGAGTGTCAAATTGAGCCAAAAATAAAATTGTCAATATGTACAAAGAAAAAACCTACACCTTTCAGTTGTCAAGATTATTGAGTTTTCTGAAAGCTTGGTTTATTGAGGTTTAACTGTGCAACAAACCCCAGGGAAATGATTATGATTCAGGCTAGCCTAATATTCAAGCTACAGTAGGTTTAAGTAGCTAGAAGTCTGTGCTGTCTTAATTTAATTAAACACTTCTGCATTCATCAAATTTCCAACCTCCATATGCAGTAGGGTGGTAGTTAATCTCTAGGCACCAATCAGAACAATTTAACCGTTCATCCCTTGTGTGTTTTGGTCTAAGGTGTCAAAAGGACCTAAGGCCAAGAATGGTTGGTAGGAAATTGTGCTACATCTCTCCCTGTATATGAAGGTTGTCTGTACAAAAGTGTTTTATAAATTATGAAAACTAACCACCTGCTAAACCTTCCTTGCCACACTTGTCGTAAGTTCTTCTTTTTTCTTCTGTTATAAAACAAATGGACAATGAAAATGAATAAAGAGATACAGAGGATCTTGCTAAACTAAGTCTTGGGAAAAGTTTTTTGGTGAAATATCCCTTAGTGCTTAACTCAGAAAAGAATTAAAAACTGCACCATAATTGAAAAAAGAAAATTTTATAAAGATACCTTTCTGAAAGTAAGATTTCATGCAAAGTATAGCGATTGGATAAAGGGAGTGTAAATGATAACTGAACTTGAAATGTTTGTCAGTGTTTGCCAGAAGTTCTATTTGATGTGAGTATTCAAACAAGTCTCTACAGTCCCTTAACTATGAGATAAAACTGGAGTATCCATATGGAATGCATTATCATAGAAAATCCACCAATCACTGCTATCTATGAATTGATTCTCTACATATGTGACTGCATAACCAATCAAACAAATCATTGATCTCAGAACAAACAACTAGTAAGGGGAAAAAAACCAAAATAGATTACAGAGCAGAAATTTCCTCAGATGATCTCAATAATTGCTGAAGATAGTTAAATGAAAATGGTACCTGGCAACCTTAACTACTGTGCAAAAATGCTGTCTCTCTGAGTGTATCCATATAACTTTACCCCTAACTTTCCTGTTTATCAAGAGCATCATCTTTCTTGCTATCAGTCTTACTAGGAGTTTGAATAAAAGGGGTGAGTTTCTAAAGAAACTACCATGCTGTGGTAATAAAGGGTATAACAGGATAATTTCTTTCTTTCACCTGAATTGATAAATTAATGTAAACTAGCCACCATAGAGAGTTTTCTTTCAATCTAATGAAGGACTAATGCTTGAAACATCCACTTTAGAAACTCTTTCTGGCGACCAATGTACATTATCAACTCATTCGATAGAACCAAATCACCTTACAAGGGGCTTGTTTTGTTTTCTCCCATGACTTCAAAATTTGTAAACATCAAAAAAACTTACTGTCTGATAGAACATCATACGCCTCTGATATCAATTTGAATTTTTCTTCTGCCTCTTCCTTGTTGTCTGGATTTTTATCTGGATGCCACTTAAGAGCTAATTTACGATACCTATAACATTGTAGAAAATGAGTAACAATCGTGCAAGAAGTTCAATTTCATTTCAATGTAAATTAGCATACATTTAACAGCTTTTGGTGGAAACACATTTTCATTCTAGGTGGATTTGATTACGTTAGAAATAGTTTTCCAGAATCATTAATGTCTTGGAACAAATTTAATTTTTTGCAAAGAAAATCTGGCAGACTCGCAAATCTGGAAATGTCTCGCGTATTTTCTGTATGTGTATGTTGTAAGTATCCCTAGAGAAGTGTAATTACTCCGCATTTGTTTTGTTGTTGTTTTTTGGCAATCATACATCAAATGTCAAGAATAGATGTTTCCCAAGAGAGGATTATTGTCTAATTAAATCCCTCAGATTAAGCTCACAAAATTACAGTGAAAAGGCTTAGGCTGACTTGTTATTATATTATTATTATATGAAATCTTTGATGCATGGGACAAACAAACCGACCCGGCACGAAATATAACGTGTAACTTCGTCGATATCAAGGCCGAAAAACAAACACTGAGTGTGTACTTCAAGCTAAAGAAATTGTTTCGAAGTGTGAGAACACCTGAATACTGCAGCAAACTGAGCAAGGTAAAGAGCTATATTGGATAAACACACAGTCAAACTGAATGTCAGTATTTCCGTTAGCACAACAGGAGCAAGAAAGAATTTAGCTTATTTAAGGAACATTTTAAGTTGATGTATCCATCTTTTAACACGAAGAAACATATCACGCGATCTTTCAAGAGAAAAAGAAATAAGGAACGATCTGGTTCCTTCGAAAGTTGAACAGAAACGGGCAGGCAGATCAAGTTCGAAAGTCGCTTCCGTTTATGATACGTACTGCGAGAGGCAAGATTGATGTGCAAGTTCACAAAACAACCACAAATACTTACGCCTTCTTGATTTCTTGTTCGCTTGCACTCTTTGGAACTTCTAAAATATCGTAGTATTCTGTCATCTTCTTTCACTAGAGGCAAATTTCTTCAATTATCAGTAAGGCAATTCCATCGACTCGTACGACAAAAAGTTCCTGAAGCAGCTCGTTTCAGATCGTACATTCCCGACGCGTAGCCTCTCTTTGGCGTAGAGCCGAACTAATTACGAAGATTTTCGCCTTTATGTCGTCAGCAAAGAAACCGCCTGAGCTCACCAAGTTATCGATGGGGAAAGACTTTCAAGTTTATCTATGGATACAGTGCATGAATAAATTTAAATAGCTGATATCAAAAAGTAGATGAAATATTGCGGAGGTGAAGAAGAAACTTGGCTTGGGAATATACGCAAGACTTAGGTCCGCAAGGCTTACACACGACCGGTGCCGATATCTAGCGTGCCAGATATTGATATTTTACGTGAAGACAGTTTCGATCGACGAAAATTTCTGTAACTGAACCAGGCAAACCTGATTATTTTCGACGATCTGGTGTATGAGATATTGTACGAGATGTGCTGATATTGAAGGTTTGTCTGGCGCGTTATGGATTTGAGTATGAGGCCAGGTTACTGAGTTCATTCAAAATGGCGGCATCTGAAATTTCTTTAAGAAAGATTAGAAGGCACTTTCTGAACAATTAGATTATTCTTTAGCATTTCATAATGCCGAAAGTAGTAACTCTACCAATTAGCTTGTTTTTATCATCAGAAATGAATTAGAACATCAATGATTGTTTCAATAAAACAATGATTTGGTATCATTGTTTTAGGTAGGTACGAAAACGAAGACCTAAGACCCCCGTACGAAAACGAAGACCCATTACGAAAACGAAGATCCCCGTACGAAAACGAAGACCCATTACGAAAACGAAGACCCCTACGAAAACGAATACTCATTACGAAAACGAAGACACATTACTAAAACAAGTTCAAAAGAGTTTGGTATTACCTTTGTGGACAATGATTATGTTTATCAGACACACTACGAAAACGAAGATCCTTACGGAAATCTTGAATTCTGAATTTGGCACGTCCGTAATTTATTATGGAGCCTTCAATGAGACTACTTTAAAGCTGAAACGAGATTTAAAAGAAGAGACATGACATGCATATGGGGATGCGTTGCGTGACGCTTTAAGCGCTGGAGGTAAAGATAACATATAAAGATAACGTGATTTCATGAATAAGCCAATCCCGTCAAAGACCTCTAACCTTGACATTGGAAAACTGACGTGGACTTTTTTCGCTTTCTTTTCCTGTTTGTTTTTTACGGAGTTTAGTGAGTCGCGCAAATTTGTTATCCCTTTGTCTGGAATTTTAAGAAGTTTCGGGGTTTTATTTAAGCCAAATGTTGTGGTTCATTTAAGAAGTTTAATACATACTGTTACTACGGAGTTTGGACTCTAGCCTCTTCTTTCGTAAATTGATTTGTTATAATATGGATTAATGTCAGTCTGTACACTTATCGCTTCCCTAAACCAACACCCACCCCTAACCTAAGCCAACGCTTACTTCTCCCCAATCCAGCACTTACCCCTCCCCAACCCAACACTTACCCCTCCCCTAACCCAACACTTACCCCTCCCCTAGGCCAACAACAGTCAACTGATGACAAGTTAGGGTTAATGTTGGGTGGGGGAGAGGGAGAGTAGGAGCGCGGTTACTCAGTTGCTAAGAAACTGACATTGATCCTGTCCTTCAGTAGCATGTTGATTAAATGGACGATTCGATTGAGGCCTTGAGCTGCTCTATTTCTTTTTTATCCTAAACTTTTGCTAATCTACGGCATCATACCCTGACGCTGCCGTAGATCGGCAAAAACTTGGAGTAAACAAGAAATACAGTAGCTCAAGGCCTCAATCGAATCGTCCACGTAAGTATTTTAGTACTTGACGGTGTTAAAAAGTTCAAAAGCAGTTGCAATAATAAGAAAATGTATCTTGTTTTCGACGAATGTGGATAATTACTGTGCAACATTTTTCATGAACGGAAAAAATGTAATTTTGGCATGAAACGACAAACAGTGACTTCCTAATGAATTTTTTAATAAAGCTGTTGGGTTAGGGAAAGAGTAGGTGTGCGCATGCGCATTTGCTCAGATACCTTCATTGATCCTTAGGACAACTTCAAAGACCTTCAAATGTTTACTGAAACACTTAGGCCCCTTCTTGATTTAGAAGACGCAGGACACGTCACAACAGAACGCCACTCCACCCACCGATTGTTTTTCTCTTTGATCTCAACTTATTTATGTCAACGGTGTCTTCTTAAACAAATGAGAGCCATGCTTATCTATGGGTAAAACTGACTAACCTTACTGGTCGTTTTAAAACAGATTACATGTTCCGTTCGAGGTAATTCATCCCTTCACTCTTTTATTCAGGAAATGTAAGCAGAAAAGGACTGGGAGCGAATCGGACAAGACTGAACACATGTTAAAAGAGTGTTTAAAGAAACAGCAAAGAGGTTCTCAAGGATATCCTAAACACGTAAAATCGGATGACTCAGTTTTGGCAGAAAAGGAAGATTATCTGAAGAAGAACATGAAGATAAAGGGGAGCCTGTCCCAAGGGTATGCTCTGGGGGCTGTATCCAGTGACAAGGAATGTGCTATGGTGGAGATCATCTCAAATTAAGATCTCTGCTGCTCTGGAAATTGATTTTATCAATCAGTCCTCTGATTGGCGAGCTGACAGTCATCTGCGAAATGACGTTAAAAGCGATTTGCATTATGTAAATCAAAATATATTTTTTTCCAACACTTTTTCTTTGCCTCCTTAGCTCTTTAACCCCTTACACAGTAACATCAGTATGTAAGTTCTCCATACCGTTCTCTACATATTTCCTACGGCTCTTACAAGGAGAATCTGTTTAACAATCAGCGGCTTCTTGAGTTCGCGATCTTTTCTACTATTCTCATGACCTTAATACTTGATTCAGGGGCGGTACTGTCGGAAGAAATTACATGCTCATCACTCCTTGGGGTTAATTAAAGGGTTGATGTAGCAATGTAGTACTCTTGTTTTTATTTATTTGATCTTTATAGTCCTTGAATATCCTCTGTTTTATAACAAATTTTAACGGGGTAGTACACTTTAAGATAGAAACATTTTTCATGTGTTTATTATAATTTAAAAGGGAGGTGGATCAAATAAATTTTTAAATGGAGTTCGACCATAATTCTTTCCTCATTTCGAAATACTCATCGTTAAGCTGTGAACGATCTCAAATACTAAACTGAAAAATTTCTCCCTGAGGATACCCGTCAACTTTCAAATGCCTTGAGATTTAACCATCAACCCGCGCTGAGATCGGGAAATTTCAAACATCAACTGTCATAGGTATCTCCTTTTAAGACCCTCTTACATCTAATATAACGATACATGAAAACTTATCTTCTTCCCAGCACATCTTCACCGCGATATATCTCGCGAGATATCACGGCGACGATACCTCCACCGCGCATTGGTAACATGCCATTCGGTTCCACCGTTTTCTCGGGTACAGTCTTTCATCCTTCCGAGGAGGAACTTTATCTCCTAGGGGTCGCTGCTTGGGCTCACTTCCTGAACAGCGGCTAGTAGTCAAGTCTATAAAATGGTTTTTGCGGGGGCCATCATGCACAGTTTTGTCGACCAAAACCATTGTCCATTGAAGAGCGTTATACACTTTCCCCGAAATACTAAGATAATGCCCTCAGCAGTTAAAATGCTGTTTTTTTGCGGCATGAATCCGCCGGTTCGCTTTCGGGCTCCATTAGACCTACAATAGAATACCGATAAGTATACCGATATAGAACATAATTGGTGGTACGGGTTAATCTCGTACCCGGCTCCTACCGTGTATTAAAATGTTACAACCACTTGGCCGTGCAAGGTCTGGGTACGAGACAAGGTAAGGGCAGATAAGGAATTTATATTCGAGTGTTCACCTCGATTTCTCACAATTGATCACACAACTTGACCAATCTCCGACGTTCAAAAACAAACCACTTGCGAGGATAGGTATTTTAGGAAAGGTTTAAAGTTGTGACGTCAAATTATTAACACATGCGTACGTGCAACATTATGGCAATTAAATGTGACGTCACAAAGCGCTAATGATCACTTGAGATTATTCAGTTCAACTTCGTCCGCGTTTTTGAACAGCTTCGAGATGATTTCGAGAAGACAAAGCATTGTGCTCATCATGATTATTTTGTGCTCTTATACTCAAGCCAAGCATGAGTGTCCGTTGCAATGTGACTGTACAGAGGACTTCTCCATCGTAGTCTGTCGAAGAATGGAAAAATTCCCCGTGTTCAGCTTTGCATCAAACGTCAAAACTCTGTAAGTTATACTTTCCATTTTCCTGGACACGGCTACTTGAAACTTTAGTCGGCATTCAAATGATATACATGAATTCGCTAACAAATAGTTTTTAAGAAAGGTTTATTGAAAGAACCGGGAATCAAAAAAGTAACTGTATCATTCCTAAAAAAAAAACAACAAAAAAACCAAATCAAATCGCTTAAAAGATAAAAGGAACTGGGGATACAAGGTGGGTTAGGGTGGGTATGTCACTAGAAACACTTTTATTTGCCTTATTTGTTTGTTTGTTTTTCTGTTTCTGCAGGGATTTGGCATATGGACAAATCAAACACATTGACTTGAAAGACGTGAGGGCTTACTCGAACCTGGAAAAATTGTAAGAGGAGACATGCTTCTTAGACTTCTAAGGGTAGAAACAACTCGAAAGCGTCGAGTTTTTTTTTCACAGTTCAAGAAGCAAACGTCATTGATTAAAATAAGAAAATGAACGTGCACAGCACAATATGTCCGTCTTTTACTTCGAGGTGTCTTCAACCCTGAATGGTCAGCCCACGACAAAATCGCTCCGGGAAGAAAAATTCCAAAATTTCACTATTGTTTTGTCTATCCTTAGGTATGTTAATCATAATCCCTTGGACTGCGACCACGAGACTATCCACACGCTGAAACACTTGAGAGAAACCGCTGGATTGAAATCATTTGACGGCCACAAAATTAAATGTCCACCAAAACTTCCAGTAATGAATGATGGATTCCACAGTAAGTTAAACCTATAGCTTTTCGTTATACATGAGCCTTTGTTATGAAAACCATTTCAATTCAAATGCAATTTTTACATCAAACTTGCACCCCTTATGAATAAAAAATCTTACTTACATTTACCTATGAAATCACGATGCAAAACTTTTTTACAGACCCCAATCATCATGGACATCATCATCCTTATCACGGACTAACAGGAGGTGCACCTCTGATTTATTTCCATCATGGAAGTTTTTCTCCATCGGCGATGGCTGGTATGATTGTAGTCAGTGTTCTGAGTATGCTCAGTGTGGCTGTTGTTTGTTGTGCCTTGGTTCGCTATCGGCACAAATTCTCCCGGTGAGTTTCCAATACCTTCACGCCTTACAGTGCACAAGACTGAGACCTCGTTGGTTCCTAACACTTAGTTTTAATTGACAGCAATAAAACTTGACAAGATAATCCCCTAACTGACTTTTGTCTCTTTGCCTCCAGAGAATCTAAGCGCCAAAAGTCGTCTCATGGAGACTCCCTCAGCAACATGGAGAAAGGAGCTGGGTATGAATTTAACACAACTGAACACTTGTTAAAGGAAGATTCAAAGAAACAGCGAAAGAAAAAGAGAGGTTCCAAAGGATATCCCGAACGTGGTACAGTCAACAAGGATGATTCGTTTGTGGCGAAATGTGTAGATTATCTAAAGGGGAAGATGAAGAAACAGCAAAGAGGTTCCGAGGAAAATCGTGAGAACGTGAAATCTCATAACCCGCTTTTGACGGAAGACAATGGTTTGAACAGGGCTGTGGAGGAACAGGGAAGCAATAAGAAAGGAACCGAAAACAAGTCAGACACTGTTAAACACAAGTTAAAGGCTGGTCCAAGGAAACAGCAAAGTGGCCCCCAGGGACACGCTAAAAAAGTGAAATCTGATGAGTCGCTTTTGGCAAATAAGGAGGATTATCTGGAGAAAAAAATCAAGACACAGAGGAGCTTCTCCCAAGGGTATGCTGCGAGGACTGAATTCAGTGACGAGGAATCTGCAATGGTGGAGATCGACTTGAATTAAAGTGATTGCTTTTCTGAGGACCAATGTGATGAACGAGTTTTATACTTTTGAACGTAAACATTGTTAAATTTTACACAGTCGAAACGTTTCACTACCGATTCTTTATTTCCCAGATATATTTAACAAAACCAAGAAGTACCTATTTGTAAGTTCACAATGATTTAATCAGTTATATCCCTTACGTTTGTGTTTGCGTTTCTTTGAGGTCTCAAGACAGACTTTTTCATATCTTTATTGTAACCCTAAAAAAGGAATTTCATTAACAAAAAATGTTGTGTTTTAGATCGAGAGTAATTGTGACCTCGTATGTATACAGTGACTCTTCTCCAAGGGGAAGTCAGCGAGGAAAACAGCAATAAAAAGGAAATCGTTATGTAGAATATGGCAGGTTTACTTTAAGGTGTCTTCAACCCTGACTGACCGCCCTATGACAAATCATCTCCTGGAAGACAAATTCAAAAAAGTTTCAATGTTGTTTGATTCATCTAAAGGTTTATCAATCACAGTCCTCTGGAGTGTGATTACGTGACCATTCGCACGCTGAAACACTTGAGAGAGACCGCTGGATTGAAATCAATTGACGGAAACGAAATACGTTCAACTTACCATAGATTCCCTCATTCATTATTGGAATTTTCCATGGATAAATGAGAGAATTATGGTAAGTTGCACATATATAGCTGGTCGCTTAACTATAACAATTTATTAATTTAATAATTAAAAATTCTTCTTTTCAGCTCCCCTATAAGCCACCTTATGCCTGATAATGAATACGTTATAAACGAAAGAATTTTTGCACAAGGTGTAGGGTGAACTAAAAGGAGGAATTAACCAGCGCCGCTGAGGGGGAAGTTTACATGCAGTGTAGCGTCAGTAGGCTTGCCAGAAGAGAGAGATTTTCCATGCAACGGCGTAGAAATTCGCGGGGATCCTACGGCCAATAGAGTTCAGAGTTATTCGATTAACTAATTAGACACGCGGCCGCTTTTACGCAAATGAGAATACTAATAATTATAATTCGCCTAAAAGTCACCTTATGCCTCACGATGGATAAGTTGTGGGTGAAACAATTTTTTCCCGTGCCAAGGGGTTGCTACTGACGATGGGTGGAACGTTTTTTGCTCGGTTCAAATACAGCAAATCTTCCCGAAACTCAAAAACTCAGGAAACCCCTTTCACGTGTTGTACATGCCGTTATAGAAAGCTAAACGACAGTAAGAAAGGATTTTAAGTGAATGGAAGGCATCTGCAGAATGTTAGCTTTGCGAGACTTGTCCCTGTCACGGATGTGGTGCTTTGAGAAAGCATGTCAGGCGATTTTGTAACGCCGAGGATCTTGTCTGTTTGAGTGTAATACTTAACAGACTGGGTACATTTTTAGCCAGCCTGGGTTGCAATCTCATCCGTAGATGCGCCCATCATAGAGAGTGTGATAGAACAACCATTGACGAAGGGCTAACGCTCGAAACGTCAGCTTTTAAACTCTTTACAGTGGCCAATTTACATTATCAACTCAGTTGATAACACTGAATTACTCTGTTATACTCTCCCACCGACGCCCCCATTTATTTCAAGGGCAGACAGATAATTATTAAGCCTAGCGGCGACTACAGATTCAGCGTAATACTGTCCTGATGCAACAGATTCGATAGAGGGGAGTGGCCCGGCCCAGCTTTAAGGCTTTCCCTCCCAATTACACAAGAGCAAAACCAATGGAGGGACTGAAAAGCCCGTTTGAAGGGAGATCGAAAGGAAATGAATAACTTGGAGAGGAGTAGGGCTGGGAACGAACCCTACAGCCGAGTGGAGTCATGAAACCGTCCAGAGACTGGAAGAGGGGTGTGTTTAGGAACCTCCCCTGGAAACGACTTGAGTGTGGAGAGAATTTGAAAGTAAGATCTCTAATAAGAAGTTGTTGGTTGGTCCCTGAACTCTGCATGGGTTCAACCAATGAGAGAAAAGAGTGGCTATCATGTGACCAAGCATATGGTTCAATCATGCGCCATAAACAGAGCCTTTACTTAATTGCTCTGCATATGTCCCTCAGGAAAACCTTGGAAGCAAAGAAATTAATTTTTTTTGTATGCCAAAGAGCAGAGTATGCAATTTTAGAGCTTAAGCACAGCTTGTGCAGTTTGTGCTGAGGAGACATTAAAGTGTACTGTAGCAAGTTTCAGTGTCCTATGACCTCTCTTCATTGCGTCTCACTACGAACCTAGAGAAACAACTCCTTCACCTCTGCAAGCCGTATTCCACCTCGCTCCCGACAAAAATAAACACTCATATCAGCCCCAGCCCCACCCCCCTCCTCTAAAACACAAACTTGTAAAACAGAAGTTACCAACATTTTTAATCGTTTTTAATTTTGAAAATACATCCGTTGGTGACGCTAGTCTCTGAAAGCCAACCTTCTCTTAGCTTTAGTTTCAAGGTCTACATCGACGTAAGACATAAAAAGTTATTAATTGAACAAGAAGTTGGGAAGTTAATCTATTCCCTCTTTTCCTGCATGTGTGTATACTTTGAAGAAAGACTCCGCTTCACAACAGGGAATTGTTTATCAACACAGAGAGAAAAAGAATTTTTCTTACAATAAAATATAACTAAATAAAATAAAAATAAATGAACATTACAATTCTTTCCTTCACTAAAGCTTTTCAAGAATCAGGAAGAGTCCTGTTACATTATGAACCCTTTCCTCCTCACGATGCAATCCGCAATTCTCCTCTCTATATTGCATTTATTCCTTAATTACTGGTTATGAGAATTTGGAGTTTTATCAAGGCAATACATCTTAGTTCTTCACTCTCAGTTTGCCTATAAGTGTCCCAATAATTCATGGAGATATTTAAAACATAATCATCGACAGTGAGATTGAACGTGTTAGGCGAATGAACACACTAAAATTAGCACAGCAAAATCAAGAAATGATTGAAAAAAATCGTTGTGCAGCCGTGATAATTTGTGTTCGTTTTTCCTCTAACAAGAGGACAAAAAGCACTAGTATTAAGGACATTAATTTTAAGCCTTAAGCTTCCAGGTTGGACACAAATCAAAAGTAAGACGAATATCAACTGGTTTTAACCTCTTCAACTCTACCTTAAAAACATACAGTTCAGAAATCATGGTAAGAGACGAAACAAATTGGTGACAAGGCCCACATAAAATCAAATTTCACTTCTGCTACCTTGTGAAGGCACACGGATCCTCAAGTGAACACCAAGAAATCACATTACAATACTACCAACTGCAATAATTGCAACAGCGCAACACGAAATGTTTGATAAACTCCAGTACACAAGCAGCTTCAACAAGCCACAAAGACTCTCTTGACTTTCGACCCAGTACACGCGGGTTACACATTTATAAGGTGGCTCAGTCAATCTTACCACTCTGCCACTAAATTAAGCCATAACATTCTACATTCTTAGAGCTAAAAAGTTTTAACTATTTATAATATATATGTATATCGCATTTACACAGTATTGTCACTTCCCTGTTATATATTTGCTATGCAGGGTAACATTTTAAAAGGCATAATTTAAATGAGAAAATCCTTTAGCAACTGGGGTCTTTTTTTAAAAAACCCAGCCACTTTTGACAACTATGTACAAGGAATAATTACAGAGTTACCGAGGGGATATCTCGGCTAAATTACACACTAGAAACTCCTTGGAAGTCTGATAGACAAGTCTAATCCTTCAACTCTCACAACTGATGTACAGAGAAATTCTCCTCGCGATTTCCCAACAACTTTCAGTACACAGGTGATGAGAATAGAAACAATAATCAGCAGGAGGCTCTTGTTGCGATAAGCTACCACATTCTCATGACTAATACATTAGGGATTGTATAGCAGATGGAATGGAAAATTTGTAATCAGATCGTGAAAGTGGAAGGATTAGCCCCCACGCCGTGTGATTATGATAATACAATGAATAATGAAAACTTATAGCTAAGCTTAGTATACATAGTTATATTTGAATAATGCTTCAGTTTTAAAGAGTTGATTCTCGGCGTGTACACTACCAAGGAATGATTTCAACATTACTTTTTCATCGGAAGAAACCTTTAAGATTAGCGCATTAGCCAAAACAAAGCACCCATGCCGGACGAGAATTACAACAGGCATTGACAAAAGGAGAAAAGGAAGAAAAAAAAACGAGAACTTCTGTAAAATCAATGCATATTTATTCGGAACGACTCTTTTCGAATTCTACGGTAGTGCTCGTCAGTAAGACAGAATCTACTCCAGGGTCGGGATAACCAAGAGAAGTTCGGAACGTTTTGAGAAAATCAGATTGGTTGGCGACAATAATGGAGAGGCGATTTGGAGCTACGAACCTTCCACGCAAGTTTTTAGGTTCGAGAACTCACTACAACGGACAGTGATGTATCGAAAGCCTGTTCTTTCACCCGCTATGTAAACACTGCCAATTAAAATAAATTTCTGGCGTAAGGTTGCGAGCGACGTGATAACTAGGTTTCTCTTGGATATACCCCGAATCTTCGCACCCTTACTATAGAAATGACACCCTAAGAAACAGTTAATTCAGTTTCTCCCGACCTACGGAACAAGAAATCCATTTGACAAATAATAAATAAAACAAGCAAATTAAGCCTACAAAGTGTACCTGTACGATAAAAGATAAAACCCCTTCAACACAACATAATGCAACCGTGGAATTCAGCCATATCAATATCACTCTTTGCTGACTCTTGAAAATATGGATCAATATCAGTATCAAAGCAACTGCGCCTTCCTTTACCTAACACTAGGGACCTTCAGCAAACCACGACAGCGACGGCAACGAGGACGTGGCAAAACAAAAGATCTAATGAGTAGAACGATAGCTCAGCGTGTGCGTTTTAAAATTGCGTACATTTCTTAGCCGTCCTCTGCAAAATAACGTGAAATCATCAGAATTTGCGTGGTCCGAGAAAGGAAACCCGGACGGCAGATTATTTAAGTTTCCATTTGGAACTCAAAGCCGCTCTCATATGTTATGCTGAGGTTAACTCACGGCACCGTAAGAGATGTTAAGCACATCCAATTATTCGCAAAATTCCAACTATAAATATGTATTCATTTTTAAATCGACGTCTTCCTTGGCGTTACCGTCGTAACTGCTTAAGGTCCCTATTATCCCTAACTTGTTAACAGTTGACTTGTGTTGGGCTAGGCTAGGGAGGGTGCAGTTGCTCAGATACAAACATTGATACGAAAGATTCGTGACTACATGACAACACAGTAGAAGGGCGTTCCTTAAACCTCGTTTAAGGCGAGTTCTGTCCATTTATTCTTGGAAAGCTTGCCTTTTTTTTTTTTTTTTTTTTTTAAGGGGGGGTGTGGGGTGTGGGGTGGTGAGATCACTGATACATTTCTGTCCCGATAAATCGCTTTACCTCAATGCAGCTCGAGCTGGGTCAGCAGTCAAAATGTAACGATTATTCGTCCGTCATTTAAACCTACACGACTGTGTACCGATTTATAACGAGTGCTGTGATTTGCGTGATAGACGCATAAAGGCATTTACACAAGATATTTATAGAAGCTATTCTACCTAAAATCGTTCTTTGCTTTTGATTTGCTCTGTTTTGGTTTCATGTTTCAACTTGTTCTTCTTCCATGGATTCGTCAATACTTCTGAAATTTCAAGAGTGAAAAATCTCCACAGTTATTTAAGAAGATAACGCGAGTATAGGTCTGTCGTCTAAACAAAGGGGTACCCACTGGGGTGGGGATAGGTGATCAAAATGCATGCGAGCCACTGAACTCGGAAAATGAATCACACAGGAGTGAGATGTCTAGGTCACTGAACTGACCTCATATCTTAAAAGTATTGGTTAAGAAAAGTCACGCTTCATCAAGATGGTCTACTTGCTGAAGCACATTCTCATTAGCAAAATACACTCTTCAAACTTGGCGCAATGGATAGCGCTTCTCTTATCATGCAAGAGATGAGTAGAATATTTCTCAGCAGACTGTTCGTCCAATTCTCAGCTATAAGTTGAATATCACATAGCAACCAAACATGCAAAAGCCTTTTGAGCTATTCAGCGGACTTAACAAAACATTAACAGGAACGAAAGGAAGGAGCGACGAAGAGGGAGGAGGAGGGGGGGAGATGGAAGGAGTGAATTTTGGGTTACAACAACAACTCGGAAATAGCTTTCAGTCGTTTTCTAAGTTAAAATGAAGCCAACCTGTAAAACTAAACCGATCTCAAAGGCTTAGGACCTAGTTGACATAAACACCAGTTGCAATTAAAAAAAAAGGGATGGCTCTGCATCCATGTTTCTTTACTGGAGAGAAGGAAACGAGCTTTACGCCTGAACAAAGAAAGAGCCTCCTGTCAACGAACAGAATGACATATCTTACTTGTCTGATTCCTGTACAACTCCCATGGAAAGTGACGCTAGCGCCGTCACAGTATCGGCCTCTTCTTTCTCTCGCTGTTGAGCTTGGACTAATGATTGGCAGATCTGTGTGGCGGCTCTCTTCACACTGTTCCAGTATCTGCCTGCAAGAAATGAAATGAAATCTTACTTAAAAAACACCTAAAATGTTTACTCTTCTGGGCCAGGTTACCCATTACCACAGGGTAAAGCGACTTGGAGTGCACCACTTCCCTTACATGGTCATTATTATTTGTCCATTGTGGTGAATATCCGTGGATCGAAACCAGACAAGGATCTTGACTACACAAAATGTTCAAATAAGATCAGGTAGGATCCTGTTTGAAATTTTCACCGAATAAAACGGGAAAATGCTCAATTCACTTACCTTGAATATTTATCGTTTTCTCAAGCACAGCTACAGCATTTGGATTCGGGGCCCGTTTAAGGCTATCCTTAGAAAGTTCAGGAAGCTAGGAGAAGGCGAATAATAGGTTGCTGTTACAAAAATTGACATCCTAAATACTTCATTGCACTCTAGTTCGTTTGCTTGTTTGTTTGTTTATTCGGTCAACATTCGATCTCTTTTCCGTTCGTTCGATTGACTTCGATTTCATTCGCTTGTTTGCAAATTGTTCATTCACATGCTTGTCTGCTTGTCTTGTTTGCCTCTCTGAATACATAACACCCTCCCTTCTGTTAATCTAGCCATCAGTAGATGAAACCAGAAAGGAAAGAAAACGACCACAGATATAAAACAAAGTTAAGTTCTCACTGTTTCTCCTAACAAGGCCTTCACACACGCCTCAGCTGCGTCGCACAGGGACGGCAAACTGTAGCCTCCTTCCAATGCCATGACCACATGGCCCCCAGCAACATCCATGAGCTGTTTCGTCAACTGCGCATAACCTGAAAATGCACCATGTGTAAATAACCGCATCACAAAGTTATACCTCAACAGTATTTCTTTCTCACTCGAAGACTGACCCCAAAGTTACTTTTCCTCTTACTGTTTCTACAAACGACACTTTACCTATACCACCAGAGTGCGAAAAGCCTATCATATATGTAACTAGAACATGGCATTCATCACCAACGAGCTCATAACGTAGCACAACGGAATTCAAAATCAGGCCTCGTCTGAGGGCTCCATTCCTCACGACTGAGAGAGTGGGATGTCTCTTTGACCCACACACAAAATACCTGTTTATCGAAACATATTTTCAATCGACGGCCGTAATCAAAATTCTGGCTTCCTCTCTCAGTAAGCTCCATACTAAAGGATTTCAAACGCATGATTAAGACCCTTAGTGCTCTTTTTCAGTATCCTTCCACCACGAAGCTTAAATCAACCAACAACTAGGCTAAATATTACCGAAGTTTCGCTTCCATTTTGGCTTCGAACAAAAATCATCATCAAATTCAAGGAAACAACAAATTTAGACTTGGGAAGACAGAAAATTCTTCCAGGATAAAATTAGTTAAAGAAGAAACGAGGATAGTCGAGGCGAGCGGAAAAACCCAAATCACAATTTACAAACTTAAAACATATCAAGCTACATTGTAAAATAATCACGATACACGAGGCGTGACGAAGCCTCCTTAAATATGTTGGATCAATGTCAATATCTTAACAACTGCGCCCCTACCCATCCCCTAACCTAACAACAGTCAACTGATAACAAGTGGAAGGTTAATGTTGGGCTAGGAGAGGGGTGGGTAAGCAGTTGCTCAGACACTGACATTGATCAAAGATGCTTTTGTTTTCATTTTTGCTTGTTTTTTTTGGTCAGTCCGGCTGTCAGCCCTGTACCCATACAGCAACCATTGATTTTCACTCGCCAGACAAACTGATTCACTCGTACTGAGTGAGAAGGCGACAGCTAATTTCCCGCAACACTACTCCTTAGCTTGATACTTACACGCTGCCGTGACCTGGTAGCCACCCAAAGCAGGCGAATGTCCGGCCGCAGCGTCAAACCCTGCTGAAACTAATATAATGTTGGGCTCAAACTCCTTCGCTATGGGAATCACTATGGAACGGAACGCTGCGAAGTACTCAGCATCACCATATACAGGCTCTGTTGAATAACAAATACAAAAAGCAATTACAATAAACTGAATTACGCACACATTTTGATTGGTTCCCATTTATCATCTTAATCTGCTGAATCATTATTAAGATCATGATAAGAAAAGAAATGATCGCCAACCTAAGAAGCTTTGATTGTTAAACGAATTCTCCCTGTCAGTACCAACGGAAATTTATAGAGAAAAGTGCGGAGAATGTGGATACTGATATTAGGATGTAGAGGGTTAAGGCAGGGTGGTGAGGAGAAGTAAGAAACATATCAAGTTAAGGATATTGTTTGATTTAACATCAAATGTTTTCGGTGAAAATTCGAAGAAATTTTATGGCAGAAGATGAGTAGAACTTACGTTTTATACCTTTGGAGCGAACAAAGTGGAACGAGTAATGTTGCCGTAACTTACCTAATCCGCCCATGAAGGCAATATTGACATTGTAGCCGACGCCTATTCCAGCACCACACTGAAACAAACAAGACAAATCCAAAGGTGCTAAGTCTTTCAAAAAGTATAATTTTTAGGTTGAAATGATTTGTTCATCTTGACACCTACTTTTAATAACTAAATCAAAAACAACAGTAGATAAACTTTTTTTGGCTGTCAAATCTACGCCTGTTGTCAATAAGGAGTGTTCAACTCTTATTTTGACCAAAACATCTGCACATTACTAGTGTATCAATTATTGTAAGAGACTCACAATAATCGATACGTTGTCAAAATTAATTCATTGTAACTGATTGTTGTGTGCGATGACTTGAGCCGCGCTGCCCTGCACCCAATCCTTATCCTTACCCATCCCAACTACACTAATGAACGACTTTTGGTCGTTACATATCAGAATCAAAGCAATGGAGAAGTTTTCAATTGAGGATCGAAAGTAATCCATCACTTCGCTTTGGGATTGGTCCAAAAAACTCATGCCACCTTCTCAAACAATCAAACAAACAACTTGAACCAATTGTGATTTAGTTCGCGTTTTCCCGCGTTTCATGCAGTTTGTTTCAATTTGAGTTCACTTTGACTAATGATGATGACGACCTTCGCTCTGATTGGTTGTTGTGATTACTTTGGATACGGCTTTGGACACTCAATTGAAAACGACTCCTCTCTATGATCATGCATGACACTTTCTACATATCTGGTCCCGGCAGTAAGCAGGACGCTTATCATATTTAAACCTGGTGTATGGCATTACATTCCATACTAGTTCTCTGAAGTCCGATAGAAAATCGAAATGTCTGAAGTTAGAATCCTAGTCGAGGGAATCAGATATTTCCCCGTCTAACACGAAAAATGGTTTACCTCCTTCTTTAGGAGCAAAACTGTTTTCTACGTTGTTTGTAGTTGTAACACTATCATTTTACCCTGTGACCCCTAAGAGTGACTAACATCTCCATACAATATCACCCTTGGATCAAACAATAAAGCTACAAGAATGAAGGAAATGATCACCAGCTTAATAAACTCTTGATTGCCCAACAAATTCTCCTTTTCAGCACCTTAGGAAATGTACAGAGAACAGTATGGAGAATATGCATACTGATGTTTGGGTGGAAAGGGTTAATACCTCTTCTGACTTTCCAGTACCAGGGAAGAAGGTCCCGTCATCATGGCGGTGAATTGAGATGTACATAACATGTGGGTCGTCATAAAACATCTGCTGAGTTCCATTTCCATGATGAATGTCCTGTAGAAACATGGAGAAGTTTTTGAAATTGTATAACCAAGCACTTCGGCGGCAAATACAGCTCAAATTATAACAGAACTCTCAAAGATCACCGAAAAGACAGTTGCTAGGTTTTGCCTTAAACGAAAACCTTTTTTCTAATCTCTGTACAGACATTAAACTATGGGAGAGTTTTCAATTGGGTACCGAAAAAGTAGAGTAGAGTGATCACGGGAGTCAAAGTCAATGAGAATTCAAAGAGAAATAAGCAAACTACTAAAGCGTGGGAAAACGCTGTTGACCAAGTTTCGGTTGGTTTTACTGTTGCGTCTGATTGGTTGAGAGAATAGCGCAGATTTTCTGGATCAATCACAGAGCGAGGTAAAACGAGACCAAAGCAATCCTAGATTATCTTCGACCCTCAATAGAAAATTGCTCCAGAGAGGAACAAGCTACATTGTACTTACCCAATCCACAATAAGAACTCGTTCAACTGACAGGTTCAGTCTCAGTAGTCTCGCAGCAATTGCCACGCTATTAAAGTAACAGAAGCCCCTGCAAAGAAAAAAGGTCGCATTGAAGGTTACCCGACGCTTTTTCAGAAACTTCCAAGGACTTTAAATATTGAGACACACTAGAAGTAATTTTCAGATAATTTCAGCCACTTTTCTTCGGGAATACTCTTTTTCCATATGACCCGGCCTCGTACGCGCTTTTAATGACAAACATTAGAAAACAATCCTCTTATTAAGGCCGTAAGCGATACGGTGAGCAGCAAGGCCAAAATGTCGTAAGGCCCCGCGAGCTGTAAGAAGAAAGGAGGATAAAAAAAAGAAAGAACCACAGTAATGTGATTAAGTACTTGTTAAATGAGTTAGGTCGAGCCGGACGGGAAAATATGTGGCTCTCGGAGGATTACATTCGACCTAAGGCCAAAACTTTCCCCTTCCGGTCTCCAACTAAGTCAATAAGTACATGTCATTTGAGGACAAGACTTCACGCGGCACTTTTGCGGGCTTAAGTCGCGGCGAAAATTCACTTTGTGTAACATGGAGAATTTTTGTGCCCATCTTTGTTCCCGTTACAGAATTTTGTCCCTACGTGATGAAATGCAGTGACGTGTTTTGGAAGCCTTAAAAAAACACGAAACACGAAGCGGTTAATAGTAGCAACATTTCTGTTATTCTCTCCTGGCCTTTCAACTTACATCGCTTGATGAGCTTCCGCATGGTGTCCTGGAGGTCTCACTAAAGCGAATCCATTCTGTAAAAAAAGGACAGAGCAATAAGTTACATGTATTATTACGAGTTCAATACGATCCACTCTTCTAAATATTATATCACTCCTTCTATTTCCCTCTTTCCTTTCATTGATCAATCACTTTTTTAGTGATGAATACGTGTAAGATTTTTCTATACAAGATACGATTCTTTCAGAAAAACAAAACAAAAACGGCAAAAACGCGAGTTCAGCAAGCTCTGGAATCTCTGTGTTTAAATACTCTCTTGGCTTAAAACTTTCCCACACCAATGTTATTTTTATTTAACACCGTTATGTACTCATCGTCAAAATCCTAAAAGAATTGAATAAAGGGACAAATATTGCACCACAACATACCCTGCATACACAAGGTGCGCTTGTTCCTAAATGAGTACGATTATGAGTACCGCCTCTCTCAATTTAACCTTTAATTTCCAATTTCAAGGAAATAACTGACCCTCTGAGTTGAAACGTAAGCCTCAACGGGTCCGGGTGCGTAAGAGAATTATCTTGTTTTTTTCCTGTTTTTCTTCCCCACAAGCTTAGAGCTTATTAAACCAGCATCAGCAGAGAGACAGCTGTGTCTGAGTTCTCTGATTGCCCTCTGTAGTCTGTTTTCATCAAAAGTCATGCTTACCTTCAGTTCCCCTTTGGCAACTTTAGATGCAAGTTCCACGACACACCCGACGGCCTTAACAGAAACAGGAAAATTGCGTTAGAAATGCACCGATATGCATTATCTGTTGGTTATGTATTCTTTAACTTTAATTCTCATCCAAAAACACCATACTTTAACTGACCCAATTTACTGAGGCTGTGGTTCAAAGGAACAATTGAAATAGTGGCTGTTACTTTATGGTATTTAAACAGGAAGTAACTTAGGTTTGAGCCTGCAGGTTACATAGACCGTGAAGAAACGACCTCGACACATAAATTGCACAATAAGTGATTGCAGAGAAAGAAAAGCCTTTTTTTCAATCTTCTTTTTCCGGAACCACTTCCGTTGCGGTTTGCTTGGAAAGATCATTTTGCCGCTTGTTCACATTTGGCTGCAGTTGTATCACCCTTTCCTAGATTGTTCATTTTTATAAATATCAAATTACAAAACAGGAAAACGTACCAGACTGAGTAATGTTACTCTTGGCTCCAACTCATTGAAATCAGTGCAAATTCTATAGTTTAGGCATCCATACATTGTGCTATAAACAACCTGTTTTTCTTACCATTCTGGCTGCATTAGCACTGTGCATTTCATTCCATATTGTATCTCCATCAACCTAAAAAACGACACTCATTAAAAAATTACCATAATTGTCGCAGCCATCGACTTTTAAAATACCCTAACGAATGTAAAATTTCCCTAACCAACTCATTTGAAAAATGAGTCGTAATAGTCTCCAACCTCTCCTCACAACCATCCTTTCCACCCATTTATTATGCTCACAGCCACTCCCATACAATGTTCAGGAACTGATAGTTCCTTGATGTAATGTGGAAAGAAGATTGACTCTCCTGGAAACCCAACATCAGCATGTAGTTCAATTTCATTACACAACATTCTACCGTGATTATTTCCACTCATGTATTTGTGCTTAAGCCAATTTACATGCAGTGTACAAGAACTGACAGTTTCTCGATGTAACGTGGAAAAAGGGATTGATTCTCCAGAAAACCCAGAATCAGCTTGTGGTTCAATTTATATTACAAAATATTCTACCATGATTATCTGATACCGAACAAAATGATATGTAAAATATAACTAACTAACAGCTTTATGGCTCAACTTACCCCAATCCCACCACAAAATAGTTTATTGAAACACTTGAGCAAAGTACTTGTCCCTGATAAAAATACAAACCAAAAGACCAAAGGTCATGTTTGAACATAAACAAAGATCACTTCTGAACACCATGCGTGAAATCCGGTCAACAAAGCTTTCATCAATTTTTTTTGCACCTTTCCAACAAGTTTGGTTTTTTTCCTCTTGTTTCTTCCAGAGAAAAAAAATTCAAATTTTTAAACAAAGATCACAATTGAACACCATGCGTGAAATCCGATCAACAGAGTCTTCGTTAATTTTCTGCACCTTTCCAACAAGTTTGTTTTTGTTTTTCCTCTTGTTTCTTCCATAGAGGAATTATTTTCATAATTTTTGATGAAATAAATTTCTCTCACCATCCTCATTCTTTGTTCTACATTGTGTGCTGCCACCAAACAACATGGTGTGTTGTTCACTGAAAATAAAAAAAAATTAAAATTATGTATAATACATAATGTTATTCCTTCTTCTTAACAAATGTTATTTTTTTCTACCACAGGGTTTACTAGAAACTTAATTTTTCCTTTCAAGTAAAAAAACTGAACGTTATGAGAGAAACTTTTTTTCCTGCAAAGGTCCATCTTTCTAAATACTTTAAACACCAGCGCGTAAACCGAATCATTTTCCCCAAAACTTTCGTAACAAATCAGGGGTGAGACCTATCTGCACGAACATTTGGAAAACGTGCCGCAAATTTGCAGAAATAAACATTATTCATTGAAAATGTACATGTATGTATAGCAAACTAACAAGAACTTCATAAAATTATACCACAGTTCCCACCGATCATTGCTTTTGCAAGTTTCATGGCTCCTAAAAGAGCTGTTTGTTGTTCTTAAGGATAAGCATAACCTAAACCTTCCGTGTTAAAAGAGCTTCGTCAACCTGTAGTCTTGTGGAACTGTGATCCAAGTCGTTAGTAGTTTTAAGATATTTTAAAATTTTAACCTAACATTTCCATTTTGTTGTTCAAAATTTTGGCGGTATGAAGTGATTCGCAATAAAGCAGCATTATATCTGTGTTAGAAAGTTTACTCAAGCGTGAAGTGGACCTACCTGTGAACTGTAAGAATTTCAGCCAAGGTAGCTTTTCTAGGACGCACTCGCTGTATGAACAAAAATAGCATCATCAATTTCGTTCCACTGCAAAATTTCACCAGTCACAATTTAATTACAAATACCTATTGAATCCCCTGAAATTTCAAGACTAATTGGACAATCTCACTTTCGTATACACAGCACAATTACAACGCACAAGTTAAATGTGCACACACTCACTTCGCAAAGATTAGCTACACCGGTCTCCTGCAGTCGTGCCCAGATACTTTGTAATCTTCCTGGGTGTTCTGGATGGGAACTGGCATCACCACATGAACATTGATGTTTTAACATAACTGTGTCGTAAACAAGGCCGGTACGATTCCCTGTGTCAGCCACTTGACCACTACCTAAGAATTACGACAATTATTTGTCAAATGTGGCTTAAAAAAAGTAACTAATTGATTCACCATCTTTCTCCATTCCCGATCATTCAATTCAAAATAAATAAATATAATTACTTTTCCTTCATGAAAATATAATTTACGCTGTACCACCACAGTTTTGGCACTACATCTACAAATGCCTAGATTAGCTTCATTTTTTTGTTCACATAAAATATTGCGATTCAAACTGTACATTCATATTCAGCAAAGGGTACAAACCATATTCTCTTCTCCCCCCCCCCCCGACCCCAAAAAAAAAAAAAAAAAGAGAGAAGAAGAACAAATAGCTAAAATGATAATTTTTATGTGCTTACCTACAACAGGTGATGAATGAGCTCTTGATAAAGGCCTGTGACCCACAGTTGCCCCAGGAGAAACAGATCCTGCGGATGACGCTGCAGCTAAATCTGCTTGGCGCAGCTGTAGAGCTTGTTGGTTTCCTTGTAGCAAGGATCCTTTTTCAGGGGAGTCCTGTTGACGTAGCTGACGAATAAGCTGAAGTTCTTGTATTTGTTGCTCTTGGCTGGTCTGAGGTGAGGGAAGGTCATCATGACTGTGTGTCTGTCAGAGAAAATATACAGGTGTTTTCTTTTTATTTTATTTCATTTTTCCGTTTCATGGTTTTTTACCAGAAGTCCAGCAACAGGAGGTTATCTTTATCAGTGCTTAACATCACCTTAAAGTCTTCATACACTGTCAAATAGATTAGTAACGTGGAAGTTTACTAACCAGCAACAACGATATATTGTCACGATCGCAAATAAATTTCTCAAAATCAGCCAGCAAACAGAAACGAACTAAAATCAGTTTGGAGAATTGGCTGCGAGAACTCAAAAAATTCCAAGGGTTTTTGTTATTGCAAAATGCAGGAGCAGGAGAATAGCGTGAAATAAATATAACCTAAGACAAGGAAATTAAGCTGAGGAATTCTGCATGGCTGCTGGAAAATTCTCCAATCTCTGAAGTTCAGTGAATATCCTGAGAGAAGCTACAATATTGTGTTGGAAAATTTTTAAAAATGAAGGGTTTTGACCGAAGATCTACAAATAAAGTCTTGGCATTCCCATTATTACCATTACAATTGTTTATTTGACAATGAGAGGAGGTTTAGAGGGGCAGCAAAAATCAAAGTTAGCATGATATGACGCCCAGAAACAAAATATTTGTCACAACTTGACATTACCAGTAAAACCCTCAGACTTATTCCCCTTTTTTCTAGACTCGCTCTTTATTTTCCATACTTTTTCCCGGTTCCAGTTTCTAAAAATTTTCACTAATTTAAGACTCTAAGAATAAAGGAAATGTTCACGACCTAGAGAAGCTCTTGATCGTTACACAAATTCTCCTTGTCAGCACCTTAGGAAATGTATAGAGAACAGTATGAAGAATATGCACACTGATGTTACGGTGTAAATGGTTAAGAAATTTAATTACTTACACGAACAAGTCTGGGTAACGGTTGGTGTGGTTGATGTTGTTGTTGTTGTTGCTGCTGCAGTTGTTGCTGCTGCAACAATTGAGCTTGAATTTTTTGCTGCTGCTGTTGCTGTTGCTGCTGTTGTTGTTGTAACTGATAAAAATGCTCCTTCCATGCTTCTTTCTGTTGGATATGTTCCAAGTGTTCTTTGAGCGCTGCCTGGGATTCTTTGTGCAGCTGCTGTTGCTGTTGTAATTCTTGCAGCTTTTGCAAGTTCATTTGGAGGTTTTTGGCACCAATTTGCTGCAGAATAAACTCCTGCTGAAGTTGTTGGATTAACCTAGCTTGATTCTGCTGTTGCACCCGTTGTTGTTTCATAAATTCCATATGCTGCTGCTGTAACAGTTCTTGGTTTTGTGGCTGCTGGTGCAGGGCTACACCATTTGACAAAGACAGTCCTGGTGCTGATAGAGACTGACGCAAAGGCCGGTGCACCTTTAATTGTCTTTCCATCTGTGCTGATGTTAGTGATGCAGACAGCCCTCCTCCCACTACTCGGGGTGATAACAAGTTGTTTTGTGCTTCTGGTGATGTAGATGGTGGCCCTGCTGAAGATGACGAGGGTGGCACCACAGAATTCACTTTCAATTGATGCGCCCCGTAACCCATGGACAGCATCTGAGCTTGTGCTTGGACTAATGCCAGCTGCTTCCACCGCGCCTGATGTTGTGCAGCTGCAGTGACATCACTCTCATCCTCTTCCTCGATTCCATCTGAAATAGTTTGACTAGAATACGGACTTTGTTGTACTTCCATGTGAGTTACATCATTGCTTGCTAAGCTACTGCCATGACTTAGAACACGGGGTTTGTTAGCAAGCTGGCTTGAATTCCACAGCTGGCTGCCGCGGCCGTGATCCATTCCTGAAGGGTAACGTGGAATTGCTTGGAGATTGGGTAGACTGTGGCCAAGACCAGACCCAGGACCAGTGCTCAAGGGTGACGAACCCTAACAAAATAATTCTCTTTAATTAAACCATGTACCAAACAAAATTATTAAAGATGTCCTCACCCGCAAAAAGTATGAAGGTGTTGTTGCCATATAATGGTGGAATAAAAAAACCAAATCCTTTTAAAACTAAGGTTACATTCGATTGTAAACACTAGGGAACTTAAACACAAAAATAAAATTACTCCACCAAATTACACAAAGTATTTACTTTTAGCAGCCCATTCAGTTATTACCACGTGACATTCAGTATAGTGTTTTACCTCTCTGTGTGGTGAGGTAGATGATGACTGGTTTGGTGACCCAGGATTGGAACATTCACCCATTTCACCTCCTGCATTTTCCACTGAAAAAGAGAAAAAAATATATGATTTATCTCTATAGATAAATTACAGTCTAAAACTACTATGAGTTTAGCTGGCTCTTCTGGTCAGAAGGCAAACTTACAAGAGCAGGCTCACGAGTAAAACTGCAGCTCAATCAACAATGGCTGAATCTAAATGAAGTTTTCAACAGCTTTTGTGCAGTCTCAAATTTTTTTTTTTTTACAAAACAAAGAGACTGAGTGATGCCGTGTGTCTGTTCAGTAATATATCACAGAGGAAGTCAAACTGTGATAGGAACATCAGTAACACACTTAGCTGTACCTTGTGTGCCACCTTTTTGATCTCATCACATTTTGATATCATCAGTTATCTAGACACATGGCAACATGTATCCTTTTCGTTGAGTTGATGGGTGCCTGGTGGCAAGGATTTGCCAGACATGGGACTGTACTCTATTTAACAGCTGATTTATAATTGTCACAGCCCCTAGACATCCCAGGGTACATAATAAATACAGTGAGAAAGAGTATGAAAGAGTGCCTGACAAAAGAGCACATGAAGTCCACATCAGATATTGAGATATCTTAGTTATCGGTGGTTAGAGGCAAAGAGCGAACATATATATTTACCCTTGACCCCAAAGACTGACTAGCATCTGACTAATTTCTCACTGTAACATCAAGCCTGATTCACAGATAAAGGTCACAATGATAAAGGAAATAATCACCAGCTAGAGAACCTCTTTATTGTTAAACAAATTCTCCTAGTGAGAACCTTAGGAAATCTGTAGAGACCAGTTTGGAGAGTCTGCATACTGATGTTAAGACAATTTGTGAAACAATCACTTACAAGTTAGGCTCTTGTTTATCCTATTTCCATTTCGACGATCTTGACGCCTATATAGCAATGGGCTTCCATGACAATATTTGAGTCTGGCTTTGAGTGTTGACTTTGCTTTCAGGGTTGGTTCAGAAGCTGTTATGATAAACAGTGGTTGTTTTGACAGGTTTGACTAAACATGAGATTTACTTGACCAGTATAACATAACTGTGTTTCAATGAATGAATTCAGGCTTTTAGCCTCTCATTCCCTTAATTCTTGGAAGTTGAACCATTTGAAATCTCTAATCAACATCTAATGTTGACACACAGTTTGAAATAATTTTTCATTGGAAATTCTGTTAAAATTGTTCAGCTGCCCAACTTATAGCCAAAGGGTACATGTACTTTATATGCTAATTAAGCCAACTAATTCATAGTTGGCTTTTTCTTGCTTTCTTATTCCATTTTTTTTTTTTGATAACACTGTTATAGCAATTAGGTGTAAGCAAATGGCTTTCAGTGAAAAAAAAAAAAAAAAAAAAGAACTGAACATTGATCTACATTGTTATCCAAAGGATTACAGCTTTGATAATGAAATTATGACTGCAGAAAATTTGTACTCCTGACCTGTTTTTCTCAATGGATAATTGACTCCCTCATAACCAGTTCCTAGGGGTGCAATTCTATCTGAATCACCATATTGCTGGTTCCTGTCAACAAAACAATTCAAAAGGAGAAAAAATATTAGAGTGATACAATGTTCCATTGGCACCTGAGCTTGGTTAAAGACAGAACCCTCAAAACATGGATAACTGACCACTTTAAAAATGAATGGCATTCAAAAATAATTACAGTGCAACAGAGGTTTAAAATAGGCAAAGTAGAGACTTTCAGGAAATCAGGCTTCAAAAGTGAGGCATCATAGCCTATTGTATTGTACTAGGACTGCCAAGACTTCAAAGTCCCACCTGATGCATGAAATGATGTCAAGTAAAACTGCCTAAATCTGGAATGCACAGCAAATATCTTTTTAACAATAAGAAAACAAACCTTTGCCCAATTGAATTCAGATATAATCCTTGACAACTTAACAAAAACTCAGACTAACCAGTGCTTAAAGGCTTGTGCATGTGCTCCAGAAGCTAAAGCAAGATCCTTTTGCTTCTTGCTGATGACAAATTCATGAAGACGCTTCTTCACCTCACTTGAAGATACTGTAACAAGATTTCAGAGAAGCTATCAAAACTAAGAATCCACATCAAATTTGTCAAAACCTCTATTTTCTAAATTACAAAAGAACATGTGCTTAAATGCCATTTCTGAAAGGTAATCCATGCCAACTTTCAACCATGAGTGCCATTAATAACTAACTTCTCCTCAAGATGTCAATGCATTCTCCAGCAATTTTGTTACGAGAATCTGATGCATGAATCAAGAAGATTGTTAGTTTAATGATAACCATATCCTGTGAACTGCAAGAAAATGAACCAGAGCTGCAAAGGAAAGTTCCCAATCAGATCTTTGGAATGTAAGGGTTGGCAAATTTATCAATTAAATACTGAGGTCAACCAAATTCAGAACCAAAGTATTGCATGCCCATTGAGTAGTGAATTTAAGGACTTAAGCTGCTTGGAATTTTGTTTTCAATAAAAATCCTTGGAACATTTAGAAGGACAAATTTCCAATAGAGGGCAATAAGTGTAAACATGTATCATGCCAGAATAAAAATTTCACTCCATTTCCGGAAAAAAAAAAACCCATGCAAGCAACCTTGACCTGGTTACAAAATTAAACTGTTCAAGTACAAGGATATGACATCAATCTGATGTTCACTAACATTCTGGTGGAGGCAGCTGCTGAGATCCTTGGGACTGCTGTGGTTGTGGCTGGGGTGCTTGTTGATGTTGTGACTGTTGCTGTTGTTGTGAATGATGGTTATCCTGTGCTGGTGCCTTCTGAAAGTGCTGTTGTTGAGTAGCTATAGGAGGCTGTTTCGGTGGAGATTGAAGCACTTCTTGCTTTATTTTAGATTGCTTTTCTGGAGGCTCATCCTGATCCATTGCTGAACAACCTTGTCCTCTTTCATTTGATTCTTCTGGTTCAACCTTCAAAAAAAAAAGATATATCATAAAACAGATTCCTTGCAAGGAAGTGGGCAATCTAACACCCACTTTCCTTCCTCACAAATACAATTCTTCATACCAGAGGTACGCAGTTGCTTTTAAGAGTTACATACTGTGTCCATCCTTTCTAACTCTTTGATTCACATGAGTGACCAAGACAGAATTTCTCCTTACAATATCATATACAATATCAAGAAGACAAGTGATGAGAATAAAGAAAAATATCAACAAGGGATTACTGGTTGACCCAGAATGAAATTCTCTGAACTATCATCAAAAGAATTGTATGACAGAGTAAGGAGAATTACAAATGAGGTCAGAAAGATAGACAAAAACCCTTTAGTAACCCCTATTTTCTCCATGTCAAAGAGAGACGGATTACCTTGAGCAGTAATTGGCTGCTACGCTTGTGAGATTTTGGCTTGGGTTTTAAAACCCTTGACAATATTTCAAGCTGTATCAACATGTATCCACTAACAAACAAATAAATTACAAGCCGGAGATTCCTATCCTGTGATAATTACATTTATCATATATACTACTGTGTTTTACAAGGATTTCCAGCCCTGAGAAAAGCCATAACAACACATTAAGATATTTTTTCACATGTGTTTGATATCACCAATCAGCTGCAGACACATCACTCGTCTTTCACACCACTCAGTCAGGTTGATGAATGAATGGCAGAGCTTTCACAATTCTCAATACAAGGTAGGTTGTCAGAACTTTTACCAATTATGGCTGCTAAAACATTGAAAAATCCATACCACTCACAGGCAGTGATATTCAAACTTTTCTAGAAGGGGAAGAAAACTAATATACGAAAAGGAAAACCGAAAGTTATGTATTCAGTGACTTTGGTAATGGCATTTCTTGTGGCTGAGAGCAAAAATTAACAACTGGAAAATCTGCCATAGGCTGATTTCGGCCACAGACCAATGGAGGACTCTGCTAGAACTCCAACTTAGGATTGCTGAGCTGGAGACCAATGCATTAGACAAACACATCTCCAAGAAATGAGCAAAGCTTTGGAATCAAAAAGTGTTCTTTTTATGACATCCCTCTCCCAAAAGGGCTATCATAATTAGTATCCAGACAAGGGTTTCCAACCAACTGGCCCACAGACCAACTCACCCACAGACCAATTTTCTCACAGACCAATTTTCCCACTGACCAACTCACCCACAGACCAACTCGCCCACAGACCAACTGGCCCACAGACCAACTGGCCCACAGACCAACTGGCCCACAGACCAACTGGCCCACAGACCAACTGGCCCACAGATCAACTGGCCCACAGACCAACTGGCCCACAGACCAACTTTGCCATGGACCAACTCGCCCACAGACCAACTCGCCTACAGATCAACTTGCCCACAGATCAACTGGCCCACAGACCAACTCGCCCATAAACCAACTCCCCTACAGACCAACTTGCCCACAGATCAACTTGCCCACAGATCAACTGGCCTACAAACCAACTTGCTCACAGACCAAATGGCCCACAAATCAACTGACCCACACCAACTTGCCAACACATAAAATTACTTCAATAAGCTGATTACAGAATTAGTCTGATCAAGTGATAATAAAGTAATTGAAGTTTCAACTGTTGTATTGTCCATAAACTTTATGCCATTACAATACAAACCAAAGTGTTTGGCAATGAGCATACTGTTACATACAAACACTTAGATGCTATGGACGCTTTCCAACACCTTTCCAACACTTATTACACTACCAAAATGTGTATTTCTTAAGTAAGAAGGTTTTTATTTTGTTCATATGTTACAGTTTCTTGCTGTTGTGTATGTTGTGTTATATTGTAAGCCAAAGAATCAAAATGAATGTTCACCGATTTGAATCTCAGCGTCTACTAGTGTTTGAATGTAATAGTATGCTGGTTACTGAAGACTTTGGTCTGTGAATGACTTTGAATATATGAAAATCATATATATGAACTGTGGATTGATAAATGCTTACAAGAGAGATCTTTGAAGTAATGAACTTTACTTAAAAAGCAATCAAAAAGTTATTTTAAGCATGGGCCAGTTTGTCTGTGGCCAACTTGACTGTAATTCCAGACAAGACTAACCTTAATTTTTGGTTGAGGAAAGCGGTACTCCCTTTCTTTTGGTGTCTTTTCTTGTGGCTCTCTATGGCGGTGGTCTTCTTGCCTCTTCATAAGCAATCTCTTACGCTGTTTAAAATAACTGTCTGGTAAATGACTAGATCTGAATTAGCACTACACAGATTAAGATACTGAAAGGATAAAAAAAGGGTTAGAAGTCTTGCAAAATAGGCATCAAATGCCTTGGGGCTAAAGGGCGATTTGTCTAGACCTGAGCCCCACTGTAATATTTGCATACACTGGCTCTTTCTTCATGGTTGATATTACTCTGTACTGATTTTTTCTTTCAAATTGCCTCTTTAGTAGCATTCAACTGTAATTTAACAGTCTCAATTAGAAATTTAACCCTCATTTCTTCAAGATATAAAAATAAAGAACTGAATTAGCTGAATTACCTGAAGGATTAAGTTTTAAGTTTTGACTTTCAAAATCAAAAATCAGATTTTGAGAATGGGTTCCGAATTGTGAAAGGCTCTAAAAGATATATATATATATATATATATATATAGTATATATATGTTTACATCTATATTTGTGTATATTATATATATAGAATAGACACTTTTTAAAAACATAAATTTGCACCAATGAGTTATTTCCATACCTGCAATTCGTGCTGATGCTGTTGTTGAAGTTGCTGTAACTGGTGTTGGAAGTTTTGGTAGAGGAGCTGTTGCTGCAGCTCCTGTTGCTGCTTGAGATAGAAAATGTCTGAAAGTTGTTGTTGTTGGCTGGGTGACAGAATAAAGCGTGGCATGGCTACTCCTTCTGGAGAAACTGTTGATGCATAATGGTTCATGTCTGAAAGACAAAGAAAAACTTATGCTTGCATACATGAACATGAAGGAAGTAATATGAAGAGAATTCTATGGCCCAGGGTTAATTCCTGACCTGATATCACATTGAGTAAATCCTTTCACTACCAAGATCTCATTACTAAATCTCCTTGCTGTCTTCCATACTACTGATCCCCAAATTGATATTTTTCTTTATTCTCATCACTCATCTGCTTGATATTGTATTTCTTATTCAAAGGAGAAATTATGTCCTGCCCCACTTGCTGTTTTCCAAGCTCTCTCAAATTTTCTCCTCCACAAAAACCTTACACACCTATTACCAACTTGGCCTTGATGCCCTTACAGATGAACAAATTAAAACATAACAATTCTCATTGCTCACTATTATTTGTCTGTGCTTTTGAGAAATAAACGCTTTTACTGAAATCATCAGTCAAGATCCTCTTCAGCTGCTTCAGTTGCAAAAATTGAAAATACAGACTCAGAGAGAGTCCTCCATTAAAAAAAAAGACATCAAGATTTGATTCAATTGTCTCCCCAATAAGTTTTAAATAAACCCTCTTCTCTCTAGTCTGACCCTCTCTCCATCAAGCACTCTGTTTCAGAGCCCCAGAAATCAGTAAGTTCCCACACGGCTAATTAGAGTATTTCTGGCAAATAGACATTGTAGGTACAGTGTAGGCCAACATCAAGTTTTTCAGTTATTCTAAATGTACTTCTCTCCAATTCAACTTGAGTTGATAATCTATATAGCCAGTGGAATAGGAGATTGTAATTGATTTAGGTAAAATGGCATACTAGTTCAAATTCATCCTTTCTTACAACTAATTTTACAAGGCACATTTGTCTAAAAATTCCTTATTTTTATTTTCTCTTTTTACATAGATATTCACTTATTTGCCACACTACAAAAATTTGCAACAAAGCATGATACATTAAGTTAGATTTTACAATGTATATGGCAATGAGTCCACAAGGCTAATATACAGTTAGGTTTCCTCCCTAAAGAACACACATTCATGTAAATATATAAACAAACTAGACAGATACAGGTGTGTAGGTGTGATGCATACATGTAGTACAATAAAGGACAACATCCCTCATAGAATAATTCCTTACAGAAAAAATTTACTTACCACTAAAATTTTGCACTAAGGGGACCACTGGTATCCTACTGTTAGTGGATGTCACGCTTGTGGGAGAATCTGAGGAAGAAATCAACAAGACTAGGCTAAGATACTAGGAAAATTTGGCGTGTTTACATACTTGAAGTACTACACATTTCAAAATCTAAGGATCAAGAATGAATTGAATGCTATACAAACCAACACAGTAAAGAACAAAGTAAAAACTGATTTTCTTGATGCCAGTCTTTCATGCTGAACTTAATTGTGTGCCTTGAAACTTGAGTCTGGGCCCATTAAAGGTTTTGGTGATTGAGAATCACAGGATTCATTCAAGTTTTGAGTGACTTTCAATTTGACCAGTAATGCACACTTGAACTTCTTTAAAGATTCTCCAACCTTAGTCAAAGCTGACAATAGCACTCAAAATGGGTTGGTGACATGAGCTTCCAAATACTGTAAGAAGTTTTTGTGGCCCAAACATGGCAGCGTTACTTTTGATATGAAATTGTAGTCTCATGGAGTTATTTATAATCTGTACTAAATTACAAGTTCAGGTGAAACCTACAAACTATAAACTTGTGAAGCACTTTCTTAAATTCTAATTTTCTGCAAAAACTCAAACAGCCAGTCCTGTCTTACTTACAGACAAAATCCCCAGTATCATTGCAGACCATCCCAATCAAATTTAGAGAAATCTATGTTGAATCATATAATATAAATACCAACATACTTAAACAATATTTTCACTGTTAGTGATATATGAGGATGGCAGTGATCATCCGGTTATGAATACTATTTGAGCAGTAGTGAAAATAAAGCTTGAAAATAAAGCTTGAAAATAAATTTCAAGCTTGTATGGGAGTTAAACCCATGACCCCTGTGATATTGGTGCAGTTCTCTATCAATTGGACTAACCCATCAACTGGGTGCTTGTCATTTTGTGGTTTTTAATAAGCCCACGAGTAAAGAATGAATGAAAATATAAACATCATACAGTAATACAAAGAGATGAATATAGGAAGTCAAACGTTATCAGCTTGTATGACAATGGCCATAAATTGACAATTTGTTCAGCAACAACAGCTACAATTTCTAAACCTACTACTGACCAGAAAAGGGAAATCAATAGCCCTTGTGAGGACAACCCTTTGGCTCAGCTACTTAGTTAATATTAATGCATCTAACTATTTTGCTGGAGGTCAGTTTCTAGAATAAGCCTATCTTGGATCAACAAAAAATGCTGAACTTCACTTTGGTGTAACACCAGCTGGTTTACACTTTTATTCTCTAAAAAGCACTCACAGCAGCTCTGAAATTGTAAACCAGCTCTTTAAAAAACACAAATGCAGCAAGACAAGCTTAAATTTATCACCCTTTTAGTTTACCACACAGCATGAACATATTGTGAGTTTTAAATTACTTGAATGTGGATTTTGCCAATTTCTTCCATCCACTAAAGTAGTATTTTTTGCGGCAAAAAAATCCAACAAAATAGAGTGCTTCAAAATTATTTGCCTTTTATTAAGTCCAATGAAAAAGTTTCAGAGAACAAGCAAGGTTGGGGTATGTTATTTTTAGATTTTGTAACTGTGTAAGTCAAGCAATGCTAATGACCTACTCATTAGATCTCCTCCTCAAAAAAAAGACAGACAAAAAAAAATTGTGAAAATTGCCTGGCTCCTAATGTGTGGCTTTAAAGCTCAGTTGGTAGTAGTGCCCAACTAAAATCCAGGAAACACATGTTTGAATCCTGCCAAAACCTGAAAATTTTAAATAGATGGCTTTCACTTACAAATTTGATCACAATTCTGTTTTAGTACAAAAATTTTTACAATTGCCAGAAAAGCCGCAGTTCAAATGAATGAAAGATAACATTGACTGAGAAATAAATATACATATTTAGTTCTCATGGTGAATATCATTATTCCAAATGTTATTTAAAAACAATTCTGTATCAAGTGCACCCCCTGAGGCAAATTCAACTCTGTGCCATTGTCAAGACTGAGAAAACCTTTAAAAAGTATGTTACTTAAAATAAATGCAGACTGCATTCTAGTGAGAAAGCTCCTCACTTGATTTTCACTACCCAAGTGCATTTAACAGAGACTTGTATTAGACTTAACGCTTTACTAAGTTCACATCTTCTTTAACAGAAGCCAGGGTCTGATTTTCCCACTCCCTGAAAAAATTTCCTCCTTTGCTCTGAAAATGCCTGGAGCAATTTTGCATTAAAATTAAAAAAAAAAGTGTTTTTACTTGCATCCTCAAATCTTATTGTACCTATATCTACTTAAAAACCAAAACAGAAAATAACAGGTGATAGCTGATTGCAAATTTCTTAGTTGATGATTGCTATTTTTAAAAGCTCAGTAAAATTAGCATGCTAATTCAATCTCCCAGAGAACCAATTATAGCTGATGAAAAATTAAAAGACAAGCTGTTTAAGAAAATATCTGGTTTAAAAATTAAACCTTATGTCGAATAAATAAATTTGCTTGTATATAAATGTAACCAAAATTTCACATTTCTGTCTTTCCCAAAACTTGAAATGGTACATGTATACCATGAAAAGATATTAATTCTGTATACTTTTATAGATGAAAAGTACTTTCATCATCTGCCACATTAACAATGAGCCACAAATTAAAAATAGTATCTTTGCAGAAAAAGGTAAGAATATTGAACATGTGTTTCTAAATGAGGAAAATAAAAGAAGTTGAGGTGGTGATGAAACAATGAGTGAAGAAATATATGTATGAACTGTAATGACAGAGATTAAAATTAATCCGGATTTGATATCAGCGTTGAGGAAATACATTAAGTTCAAACATCAGTAACAGTGAAAAATAAATGAATATCCAATCAAAGGCAAATACAGCTGAACTGAAAGCTTCTTATGGACACACATTTACTGAGCAGTTGCTACAAGTCAGAATGCTAAAATTAGTAACCATACCCTACCAGACGATGAAACAAACCAAGAGTCCAAGAGGGAATGGTACAAATGAGTTGAAATTGTTCAAAGCCAAGAAAACTGGGCTCCAAAAGAGGTTCAGCTGCTTGGAAGATATCTCTCTTAGCAACGACACAACCAAAACCAAAAAGTGTGGGATTACATGTAATATTTCCTAACTTGTCACAGATCTGTCACAAAATTTAACTAGGGTAGAATCTATTATTGGAAACTAAACAGTAGAGCCTACGAACAACAAATAAAGCTCTGATTTATAATTAAAAAGAGAGAAAAGATCAGAATTTGAATTGCTTCCTTATATGTATGTCCCTGGTTTGGCTTCAAGCTCATTTCTATTCACCCTGCAAAACCATTCCTATGAAATTGTCTGACCCAAAATATATAACTCTCTCCACTACTTTATTTAGAGCTGTCAATAAGAGTCACAAGCTGGCCAAGATAGGCTGCTAGTCCAGTGTTCATAAGAAGCACTAGTGGCCAGCATTTTCAACAGCTTTGTTTTAACAACAGTTTCTGATGCAACAGATACTTTATTATGACAAGGCAGTAAAATACCTGTCTTCGTCGGAAAGAAATTCTAACCTTTACATTATTTTTGTTTGTAACCAGAAAGATTGATTAAAACTTGAAAGAAATCATTAAGGAAAGGTTAGAGGAATACATATGAACAGCATAAATGCTTGTGTCTTCTGGGCCCACACTTGTTTCAAATCAGCCAAATCCTTTATCACTGGTTTTCAAAAAATCTCTGGGAACATTGCTAGTCTGACATCTGTATCCTGCTTCTATCACTTTATTTTACCAAAACTGCTGATGAATTGTTGTACATTCTAACCACTATTGAAATACTATCACAGAAGTTTGTATAGCAACCATTTCCCAGTTTTAAGAAAAATGAATC